GTGCACCACTTACGCGTTGTGCTTCACGTTCGCGTTGTGCTTCGGTTACGCGTGCTTCGCTTACGCGTTGTGATTCGCTTACGCGTTGTGCTTCGCTTATGCGTTGTGCTTCGCTTACGCCTTGTGCTTCGCTTACGCCTTGTGCTTCGCTTACGCGTCGTGCTTCGCTTACGCGTTGTGCTTCGCTTACGCGTTGCTTCGCTTACGCGTTGTGCTTCGCTTACGCGTTGTGCTTCGCCTTGCTGGTTGCGTCTCAACTTACTCGTGGTCCCAGGGGGGAACTTGTACCCTGCAGCCCTGTATGTGCGCGGTGTGGGCTTCTCAAAGTTTCTGCGCACCTCCACTCCCTCCTGCAAGAGGAACAAGCAGGCAGAAAAAAAACTATTAATGATTCAGATCTTGAAGGACCTAAAGAGCCACCTCCATGGCTCCATAAGTTAATGCGCACCTCCACTCCCTCCTGCAAGAAAAAGAAGAAAGCAGAACAGTAACCTTTTTAGTATTAGAAGTTTAACCATTTTTTTGTGGAAGGACCTACAAGCACTGGGAACAAGCAGGCACAGGAGCAGGATGCAATTTTCCTCTCACCTTTTCCACGACAGTGCTGACCTTGAATAAAACTTTTCTTAAAACAATTTTCCGCAGTTTTAAAAAAGGCTCAAACAAATAACGCCATCAACACCTTCCAGCGCGTCTGAAAAAAATCGCCAGCCATCCAATTAGGCGAGCAGCAGTCCAAAAGAAACTTTTAGCAAAAGATTGACAGTAACTGATACCTTCCAGGCGTCCGAAAATCTTCAAGAGGGGCTCTTGTCCAGAGCACGTGGGACTATAGAGGGATTCCTAGGTACCCCATCAGCCGTACCCCATCAGCCATACTCCATCAGCCGTACCCCATCAGCCGTACCTCATGAACAAAGTGACTCGGTCCGGGGAAGTTACCCCATCAGCAGATACTGATATTGATAAGGAGCAGGTTATCTCGGTGGTGATGTTGATGTCCACGTGGCTTGCAGCCAGCATGACAGGAAAGCGACAGCTAAACCATGTACTTACCTTGGTGATAATGTTGATAAGGAGCAGGTTACTTTGGCGATAATGTTGATAAGGAGCAGGTTACCTTGGTGATAATGTTGATATCCACGTTGCTGCCACTGCCCAGGTCGTTGAAAATACCCGCTCGGATGGCCGCAGACACCAATGCTACTCCTTCCTCCTTCTGCTCTTTTCGCAGGGGGGCGGGGGACGGAGAAGGGGGGAGGGAGGTCGGTGAGGGGGGAGGAGGACGAAGAAGCAGGAGGACGATGAAAGGATCGAAACAGGAAAGAGAGCGAGAGAGTGCCAGGCGAGCATGCAAACCAGCAAGAATAACAGGCAACCAGGCAAAGAGAAACCAGGCAAAGAGAAACCAGGCAAACGTGTCGTCTAACCTCCAAGGCATGAATCGTATGGGTAGGCGATCAGGGCAGTGCTGGCATGAGGATAGATGGTGCACAATCGCGAAGGAACAATCACAACAATAAAGTTAATACCGATAATAAAACAGTATATATTAGGAACACATCTAGTCTTAACCATTCTCATTACAGGGCTCTCTGACATGCCCTCCCTTGAATAAGGACAATCATCACGGAGGTCCCATCCATACCCGTTATAAGTCTCACCGTCATGCCGTACTTGCACTGCAGCTCACCATCAGAGCCCATTTATCCTCGTTATAAGGCTATAGCACTCACCGTCATGCCCCCCTTGTACTGCGACTCGAGGATGGCCATGGCTGCCAGCGATCCCGACCCCATGGAGCCAAAGGGCAGGCGGTCCGAACCCATCCATACGAACATCCTCGTTATAAGTCTATACGGTTATAAGGTTAAAAGGCTCACCGTCATGCCCTCCTTGTACTGCGACTCGAGAATGGCCATGGCTGCCAGCAATCCCGACGCCATGGAGCCAAAGGGGAGGCGGTCCGTGCTGCCGTGCGGATAGATGATGTGCAGCTGAGGGCCTTCAGAACCCACCCATACAAACATCCCCGTTATAAGGCCATACTCGTTATGAGGTTATAGCACTCACGGTCATGCCCCCCTTGTACTGCGACTCGAGGATGGCCATGGCTGCCAGCGATCCCGACCCCATGGAGCCAAAGGGCAGGCGGTCCGAACCCATCCATACGAACATCCTCGTTTTAAGGCTATACGGTTATAAGGTTAAAAGGCTCACCGTCATACCCTCCTTGTACTGGGACTCGAGAATGGCCATGGCTGCCAGGGACCCAGACCCCATGGACCCAAAGGGCAGGCGGTCCGTGCTGCCGTGCGGATAGATGGTGTACAGCTGCGGGCCCGTCACGTCCACTCCCCCTAGCACCAGCGCTGCCGAAATATGGCCCTGGTAGCTGGGGGGAAGGGAACGGTGGTCGGGTAACAAAGGGGGAAGGAGGATAAGAAGGCGAGGAAGGGGGGGATAGATGGTGTACAGCTGCGGACCTGTCACGTCCACTCCGCCTAGCACGAGTGCCGCTGCAATGTGCCCCTGGTAGCTGGGGGGGGGAGAAGGGGAGGGAGGTGAGAGGGGAGAGGGATCAAAAGGGGCGCAGCCAAACACGGCAAGAAAGGTCGCTACTCCGGAAAACTGGCTGAGGCGAATCACTTTTGAGAATTCTCAAAAGTGATTCCCAAATAGCCAAACACGGCAAAAAAGGTCGCTACTCCGGAAAACTGGCTGAGGCGAATCACTTTTGAGAATTCTCAAAAGTGATTCCCAAATAGCCAAACACGGCAAAAAAGGTCGCAAGTCCGGAAAACTGGCTGAGGCGCGCTTGTACGGGAAAGGGCAGCCCAGGGGAAAGGCAGCGATTACAAACGGAGTGGTGAGGTGAGAGCGAGTCACGACGAAGCAGGAACTCACGAGAAGAGGTGCTGCTTGAGAATGGTGAGGGCGCTGACGACCCTCGACTGCCTGTGGCGTGGTTAGTAGATGCGCAACTTGCAATGCAAGGAGAAGAAACAGCCACTCACGAGAAGAAGTGCTGCTATCGGATGGTGAGGGCGCTGACGACCCTTGATTGCCTGTGCCCTGGTTTGTACAGGCGCACTTGCATTGCAAGGAACAGTCACGAGGAGACACAGCGACTGATAAGAGCAGTTGTGGGGGCGACTCACGAGAAGAGGTGCTGCTTCAGAATGGTGAGCGCGCTGACGACCCTCGACTGCCTGCCCGTCGCCTGGCGGTGCAGTGCCAGCTGCCCGCTCACCATCTCTGGGGGAGGCGTGGGGGTGGGGAAAGAGGGGGAAGGGGGATGGTGAGCGCGCTGACGACCCTTTACTGCCTGCCTGTGGCCTGGCGGTGCAGCGCTAGCTGGCCGCTCACCATCTCTGCGGCAGGCGTGATGTGACAAACATGAAGCATCCGGGAAGGGGAAAAAGGAGGGAAGCGGGATGAGTTAAGCACGCTACCACCCTTGACTGCCTGCCCGTGGCCTGGCGGTGCAGAGCCAGCTGGCTGCTCACCATCTCTGCGGCAGGCGTGATGTGACAAACATGAAGCAGCGGGGGTGGGGAAAAAGGGGCAAGGGGGATGAAGTGGAGGGCGCTGACGACCCTCGACTGCCTGCCTGTGGCCTGCCGGTGCAGCGCCAACTGGCCGCTCACCATCACTGTGGGAGGTGGGAACAAGAACCAAAGGAGGAAAAAAAGATTGCTGGCAGTGCAGCTGCCCGCTCACCATCTCTGTGCTACACGTGACCCATAACGGGCGTGTGGCGGCAGCGTACCCATAACAGGGGCACAGCGGGCGGCGGGAGCACGACCCTTCTTACCCCCCCATCTCTTCCCTCTCCCCCCTTTCTCTCCCCCCTTCCATACACACACCCACACACGCACCCCACGCCACGACTGGCACTCACCAGTGACGAACGTGGTGTCGGCGGCGGTGCCTGCGCCGCAGCAGTAGATGTTGGGCGCCATGTAGTGGATCTCGGGGAGAAATCAACACACATTCGACCCCCCCCTCCCTCTTCCCCCCCCCCCCCCTCTCTCCCTCCTCGCCCTCTCTCCCTCGCTCTCCCCCCACCTCCCCTTTTCCCTGCTTCCCCTTCTCCAACCCCTCGCCTTCACCCGTCCTCCACCTCTTTCCAACCCCATCCGTACAATCACGCCCAGACACACAGACCAAGCCAACACAGGCTCAGCTCACCAGTGACGAACGCGGTGTCAGCGGCGGTACCAGCGCCACAGCAGTAGATGTTGGGCGCCATGTAGTGGATCTTCTCGCAGTTCTTATCCGCTACAATCGCCCCGTTAGTGGCCCGCGTGTCCGCTCCTAGCACCACGCCATCCTGCCGTACCAGGGAGAAATCAAAGTGGAAAAAAAATGTCGAGTAACCGGTTACCCGCTTTTAACCGCCACGCAATCTACCCCGTGCCAAAACCTATCGCGTGGTTTATACTCTTTTTGTCCCATAACCTACCTGGAACATACGCTATCCGTCTCATACCTACCCGACTCAGTCCCTATCTGTTTCATGAACTACCCGGATCATACCCTGTCAACGATGCGATTCGTGCAATTCGCCTCTAACCCAACCCATCCTTCAGCCGCGCAATCCGACGGACCAGATCCGGTATGATTTCCACTAACGGTAATCCCGATTAAGATCGGCCGAGATCCACCAGCCTGTACAAAATGCTCGGCCGTAATTTACGAGGCATAACGAATCGAACTGGAAACTAGATTTGGCGAACTACCTTGAAGACGGCGCCGACGATGGTGGTACCGGTTTTGAGAAATCCCGGAAGCTTCACTCCCTGCTTCCCGAGGTACTCGTTTCGGCGGCACAGCTCGAACGAGAACCCGCGCTGCTCCTCCTGCTCCTCGTGCGCCATCGCGGCAGACATGGCCACAATCGAATCTTGACAAAAGCGGGTGATCCAATGACAGGACAGGAATTACCCGATTACGCCCAGCAAATCTAGATGCCAGAGTCTTCGGCGTAGGATCGAATGGACCTGCGGAATGAAAGTGGCGGGTTGGAATGGTGAGAGAAAGGATGGAGAATCTGATCTGATAGATTCAAGAGCATTATCTGTTAGAAAGCAGTCGTACACCTCTTGCCCTCGTAGTAGTAACGCATCATCTGTTAGGAAGAAGTTTCAAAATACTGTACTGGCGAGTGTAACTTTCGGGTAACCTTACGGACATTGGGATCTCCCCTTCGCTGCAGCCACGTCAAAGCGGCGAAAGGTGCAGTCAAGCCGACGTGTTATGAGTTTCCGAGGCTATCCGATTGGCTGTAACTCAATTGAGGTAAGAGTAGAGGTTCGGGAAAGTGGTCCCCACAGTTCATACTCTCTACGGATATTCTCCGAAGAGGGTAGAGTAAAAATTCTACTCGATCAAATATACTCTCCCCTGTCAAACCATATTTCCTCCTCGGATAATCCCTGGTACCCCCAGCAGAACCCATTTCTGCTTCGGCTGCTGCTTCAGCTTCAGCAGGGTGGCTGAAGCTTTTGCGTGCTCAGGAAGAGAGCATGCTTCCTGAATTCTAGGGTGATGCAGATGTCATAACTTCGTCGTCCTGCCGTCATCCTGCCGTCGTCGTGCTGCCTCTCTGCCGTTTTCACCTCACATTGCTTAGTAGTCTTCACGGTTCTCATTAAATTCGACCTTTTCTGAACCACGGTCCACGGCGGCATCATGACGTGGCATCGTCTTCTGCTGCTTGCGCGAAGGGCCAGTGGGCCCTCTTCCGGTTCTCCCGCCTCGTCTAGATCCGCAGCCTACCTTCGTCGGTAAGCGCAACCCTTTTATTTTGGTCGAACCGTAGACAAACGTTACGACGCGTTTCCTTGTCTAGGTCGATTAGCTTTAACCGCTGTTCGTGCCGTTTCAATTGATATTTGAAAACCGTGCCTTTAGGAGGTCCTAAAAAACACTTTGTTTCCCCCTTCCTTTTTTTTTCGTGCTACGTTCCTAGATAAAGGTATTTAATGCGCATAACACCGTCTGCCATCCCTCTCACTAAGTGTGTCGCAAGCATCCGCGGTCTCCGATGCGTCCCTCACTCCATAGCCTTCACGTACCTAGTTCTACTGTCGATCTGCGTGATTCTCCACCTTGCTTATCTCCCCGTTCCCTCAGCTACTTGACAACCCGCGTAGCCGCAGCTCCCGCCGACACCGTGATCTCCGCGCATGGCCGCGGAACCCCCATCCTCCTCGCCCGCGCGCTCCTCCCCGCCACTTCCGCCACTCCCGCCTCCGCGAGCCGCCGCTCCGCCTTCCACGCGTCCTCCGCCTCCGCCTCCGCTCCCCTCTCCGCCTTCTCCCGCACGTTCCACTCCGATTCCTCCCCCTCCGCCAAGCTTTCCGCCACTCCTCCTTCCGAGCCGTTTGGCTCGTCAGCGCCGTCTGCAGCTTCGGCAGCCGGATCTGGAGGTTCGGCAGCCGGTGCAGCAGCAGCCTCGAAGTCGTCGGTTTCGCCTCAGCTGACGTCACCGCCACCCCCCAAGGCCGTGCCTCTTTCGACCCTGATGGATAACTTTCTGGACGGCACCAGTAGGTGCGTGCGAGGAGTGAGCCGAGTTGAGTATTTACTAAACTCATATTTTCCTTCCTATCGCAGTGCCTCTTTCGACCCTGATGGATAACTTTCTGGACGGCAGCAGCAGGGTGGATGGGAAGAGTGGGAGGGTTGGATGGGAAGAGTGGGAGGGTTGGATGGGAAGAGTGGGAGGGTTGGATGGGAAGAGTGGGAGGGTTGGATGGGAAGAGTGGGAGGGTTGGATGGGAAGAGTGGGAGGGTTGGATGGGAAGGGTGGGAGGGTTGGATGGGAAGAGTGGGAGGGTTGGATGGGAAGAGTGGGAGGGTTGGATGGGAAGGGTGGGAGGGTTGGATGGGAAGGGTGGGAGGGTTGGATGGGAAGGGTGGGAGGGTTGGATGGGAAGGGTGGGAGGGTTGGATGGGAAGGGTGGGAGGGTTGGATGGGAAGGGTGGGACCAGAACATGGGAAGGAAGAGTGGGACGACCGGGTAACTTTCTGCCCTGCTCTCTGCTCTCTCTCCTCTGCTTCTTCACTCCTCACAGTGTGTATCTGGAGGAGCTGCAGCGGGCGTGGGAGCAGGACCCCAACAGCGTGGACAAATCGTGGGACACTTTCTTCCGGAACTTCACAGGTATCCCTTCTACTTCTGGGTAACTTTCACAGGTGCCACTCTTGCCTCTGGGTAGTTTTGCAGGTGCTGCTCTTGTTTCTCAGAAACCAAAGACGTGGAGGTGCCTTTGCTGGATCAGAAACTTCTCAGGTATCCCGCCCGCTTTTGAGTAACTCTCTTTCTCCTGCTTCTTCTGCTTCTACCGCAGTGGCTCTGCCTCTCCTGTTTCATCCTAGAGCATTCATCCTGCCTGCACGCATCTCTCCCTCCTTAATGCCTCCACTCCAGCTCCAGCATCCTTCCATAGTATAGTACCACACGTTTGGCGACTTTCTGAGTCGGCATGCGCCATATCACTTCACATAATGTGTGTGTACGCGCGCACATGTTTGTGTGTGTGTGCGCGTGCATATGTGCATAATGTGCGTACCATTTGCAACCTTTCTGTGCAACGCACTAAGGCAGACATCTGGGGGCAGACGACCCCCCACCCTGGAAGTCTATTGAAGACAAGAGACTTTCAAGGCACTTTAAAACTCTATAAATCCCTGTCTACCTATCTGTACCCTTTCCAACCGAACCCCATTCCTCTTAATCCAGGCAAGACGTCGGCAGAGCCAGTGCTGCGCGTGGAGGGGGGCATATCAGGGCAGACGATTCAGGAGAGCATGCGGCTGCTGCTGCTCGTGCGCGCCTACCAGGTCAACGGGCACATGAAGGCCAACCTCGACCCGCTTGGACTGGATGCCCGCAAGCCCCCCAGTGAGTGAAGTGGGGGGGGGGGATGCATGCGGAGGAGTGGGACAAAGGGGGTGGCTGCTGCTGCTGCTCGTGCGCGCCTACCAGGTCAACGGGCACATGAAGGCGAATCTCGACCCCCTCGGCCTCGACGCCCGCAAGCCACCCAGTAAGTGGGTGAAAGGGGAGGAGGTGGGAGGGGAGGCATGGGAGGGCTTGAGGCTGGGGAGTGGAACAAAGAGGGTGGGTGCTGCGGCTGCTGCTGGTGCGCGCGTACCAGGTCAATGGGCACATGAAGGCGAATTTCGACCCCCTCGGCCTAGATGCTCGCAAGCCTCCCAGTGAGTAGGGGACACGAGGGGAGGGAGGCGATTAGAACAAAGTGGGTGGTTGCTGCTGCTGCTGGTGCGCGCCGACCAGGTCAACGGGCACATGAAGGCCAACCTTGACCCCCTTGGCCTTGATGCCCGCAAGCCCCCCAGTGAGTGGAGTAGTAGGTTTGGGTAGGCGGGGAAGTGATTTGTGAAGCTGCTGGACCCCCCTTAGGCAGGGCTTTCCGCCTCCCCTGATCCTTCCTTCCTCACCTCACCCCTCTCCACTCCTTCCTCCACTCCCTCTCTTCCCCACTGCCCACTGCTCCCCCAGTTGAACTCGACCCAGCCCTGTACGGATTCTCAGAAGCGGATTTGGACCGGCAGTTCTTCCTGGGCGTGTGGCGCATGTCGGGTTTCCTTTCTGAGAACCGCCCCGTGCAGACCCTCCGGGAGATCCTGGCACTCCTGAAACCGCCTTAGGCAGGCCTTTCTGCCTCCCCCGTCCCTCCCTCACCCCTCTCCACTCCTTCCTGCACTCCTCCTCTCTCCACTGCTCTTCGTCCCTGCAGTTGAACTCGACCCAGCCTTATATGGTTTCTCCGAAGCGGATTTGGACCGGCAGTTCTTCCTGGGCGTGTGGCGCATGTCCGGCTTCCTCTCTGAGAACCGCCCCGTGCAGACCCTGCGGGAGATCCTGGCGCGGCTGGAACAGACGTACTGCGGCACGGTGGGGTACGAGTACATGCACATTGCGGACCGCGAGCAGTGCAACTGGCTTAGAGATAAGATTGAGACGCCCACCAAGAGGAAATACGGGAAGCAGCGACGACAGGTGAGGAGGGAGGGGGAAGAGAGAGGGGAGGAGACTGAGAGACGGAGGGTGAGGTGAGGGAACAGGGAGCGAGGGAGATAGGAAGAGAGGGAGGCGGTGAGGGAGGGAGATCCTGGCGCGGCTGGAGCAGTCGTACTGCGGCACGGTGGGGTACGAGTACATGCACATTGCTGACCACGAGTAGTGCAACTGGCTCAGGGATAAGATTGAAACTCCGACGAAGAGGAAATATGGCAAGCAGAGGCGGCAGGTGAGGGGGAGGGTGAAGGGGGGCGATGGGGGCTGGTGGGTGGGGGGTGTCAGTAGCAGGTTGTTTGTGAGAGAGGGTTGAGAGGGTTGAGAGACAAGTGGCTTTGGAGTAGAGTCAGAAACCCATACCAGTTTCTTGTGTGAACACTGCCCCGCCTTCCTTCCCCTCCTTCACCCCCTCCTTGATGCACGACGCCCATGGTACGCACGCACAGGTGATTCTGGACAGGCTCATCTGGAGCTCCGAGTTTGAGAACTTCATTGCCAACAAGTGGGGCGCGGCCAAGCGCTTCGGCCTTGAAGGCGCTGAAACCCTCATCCCGGGGATGAAGGAGATGATCGACCGGGCGGCAGATCTCAGCGTGGAGAGCGTGGTGATTGGCATGGCTCACCGTGGGCGGCTGAACCCTGCTTGATGCCCATGATACCCATACCCCCCGCACACACACACCCACTACAGGTTATTCTGGACAGGCTCATCTGGAGCTCCGAGTTTGAGAACTTCATCGCCAACAAGTGGGGCGCAGCCAAGCGCTTCGGGCTGGAGGGCGCTGAAACGCTCATTCCGGGGATGAAGGAGATGATCGACCGCGCGGCAGACCTCGGCGTGGAGAGCGTGGTGATCGGCATGGCCCACCGCGGGCGGCTGAACGTGCTGGGGAACGTGGTGAGGAAGCCGCTGAGGCAGATCTTCAGCGAGTTCAGCAGCGGGATCAAGCCGGCCACCGGGGAGGACGGGGAGGACTCGTTCTACACTGGTGAGTGCGGTTGAGAGCGGTTGAGTGCGGTTGAATGTGGTTGGATGGGGCTGAGTGCGGCTGATTGCGGTTGGGTGAGGTTGAGTGTGGTGATTGGCATGGCTCACCGCGGGCGGCTGAACGTGCTGGGGAACGTGGTGAGGAAGCCGCTGAGGCAGATCTTTAGCGAGTTCAGCAGCGGGATCAAGCCGGCCACTGGGGAGGACGGGGAGGACTCGTTCTACACTGGTGAGTTTGGTTGAGTGCGGTTGGATGGGGTTGGGTGGGTTTGGGTGCGGTTGAGCGCAGTTGGGTGGGGTTGATTGCGGTTGATTGCGGTTGAGGCGTCTCAAGATCGAATGTGCTGGGGACGTTGTGAGGAAGCCGCTGAGGCAGATCTTCAGCGAGTTCAGCAGCGGGATCAAGCCGGCCACCGGGGAGGACGGGGAGGACTCGTTCTACACTGGTAAGAGTGGTCGAGGGCGGTTGGGTGGGATCGAGTCCAGTTGGGTGCGGTAAAGTGCGGTATTCACTGCCCCCCTTCCCCCAACATGGCAGGCACTGGAGACGTGAAGTATCACCTGGGCACATCCTATGACAGGCCGACACGTGGCGGAAAGAGGATCCATCTCTCCCTCGTTGCCAACCCGTCCCATCTGGAAGCTGTAAGCAGTTGTGCTGGGCTGGCTGGTGGTTGGGATGGTGGGTGGGTGGTTGGGATGGCGGGTGGGATGGTGGGTTGGTGGGTGGGTGGTGGGTGGGTTGGTGGTTGGTGCTGGGTGTCCCATCGCTTATTTCTCGGTGTTGGGAAATGAGAAATAAGCGATGGGACACCAACACCCAGCTCATTTCCCACTTGTTCTTTGTCAACCTAACCTATGGTTGTCCTCGGTTGTCCTCGTGAATCGTGCCCTTTTCGTCCCGCCCCCATCCGCCCACCCAACCTTCCACCACTCTCGCCCTTTGCTTCCCCCTCGTCCTGTCCTTCTTTTTTCACCCGTCCTCCGCCCCTCCCTCTCCCCCCCTCCCCCCTCCCTTCCTCTGTTCAAATCCTTCCCAACACAGGTGAGTCCGGTGGTGATAGGCAAGGTGAGGGCGAAGCAGTGGTATGCGAGGGACACGGAGCGCAAGCGCAACATGGCAGTGCTGCTGCATGGCGACGGCAGCATGTCCGGCCAGGGCGTCGTCTACGAGACCTTTCACTTGCAGGACCTGCCGAATTACGAGACGGGAGGGACGGTTCACATCGTTGTTAACAACCAGGTGTGTATAGAGAGGAGGACGGGGGGGAGAGATGGGGGGGAGAAAGGGGGAGGACATGCCGGGCCAAGGGGTGTTAGAATTCTGTGAAGGATGACTTGAGAACTGAAAGAAGTTGATGATTGATTGAGGAGGATGGGGGTATACATAGGAAGTGGGTTGGATACTAGCCTAGGTGAGCATTATTGGACCCCAACCAAGAAGTTGGGTTGGGAGATTATTGGTGGGGTCCAATAATGTTGGCCAAGTTGGAGTTGGGCCAACATTATTGGAGGGGACCAATAATTCTACCCAACCCAACCTTTGGGGTCCAATAATTGGACCAAGGTTGGGTTCCAACCTACAAACTGGGTTACTCCTGTTTGTACACCCAAACTAAGTTTGGGTGCTTAACTCTAGACAAGCGAACTAGCATATGCAGGATGAATAGAATAGAGGTTTTCTAACACAACCCCTCAGCCTGCATAGGGCTAGGAGGCTTGAATGAGAGACGGGGCAACCCCTGAAGCATGAACGCGATGCCAGGCAGAGAAGCTGAAGGAAAGAGGCTTGCGGCGTGAAGTCCATCTGCGAGCCGGGGGGGAAGAGGAGGGGGGGGACCTGCTGACGGTGGCCAGCCGAAGGGGTAGTGGCGAAGGGAGAAGGCGGCGGCAGCGGGAGGGCTGCGACGACGAAGGGGGACGACGGCGGCAGCGGGAGAGCTGCGGCTGCGAAGGGAGACGGCGGCAGCAGCGGGGGGGCTGCGGCTGCGAAGGGGAACGGCAGCGGCAGCGAGAGAGCTGCGGTGGCGAAAGGGGGACGGCGGGGGCAGCGGGAGAGCTGCAGCGGCGAAGGGAGACGGCGGCAGCAGCGGGAGGGCTGCGGCGGCGGAAGGGGAACGGCGGCGGCAGCGGGAGAGCTGCGGCTGCGAAAGGGGGACGGCGGTGGCAGCGGGAGGGCTGCGGCTGCGAAGGGGAACGGCGGCGGCAGCGGGAGGGCTGCGGCGGCGGAAGGGGAACGGCGGCGGCAGCGGGAGAGCTGCGGTGGCGAAAGGGGGACGGCGGCGGCAGCGGGAGAGCTGCGGCGACGAAGGGGGACGACGGCGGCAGCGGGAGAGCTGCGGCTGCGAAGGGAGACGGCGGCGGCAGCGGGAGAGCTGCGGCGGCGAAGGGAGACGGCGGCGGCAGCGGGAGAGCTGCGGCTGCGAAGGGGAGCGGCGGCGGCAGCGGGAGGGCTGCGGCGGCGGAAGGGGGACGGCGGCGGCAGCGGGAGAGCTGCGGCGACGAAGGGGGACGGCGGCGGCAGCGGGAGGGCTGCGGCGGCGAACGGGAGACGGCGGCGGCAGCGGGAGGGCTGCGGCGGCGGAAGGGGAACGGCGGCAGCGAGAGGGCGGCGGATGGCCCTTAGGAGGAGGAAGCGAGGGGGAAGGAGGGCGGGATGGCCCTGAAGGAGGAGAAAACGAGGGGAAGGAGGGCGGGATGGCCTTTAAGGAGGAGGAAACGAGGGGGGAGGAGGGCGGGATGGCCCTTAAGAGGAGGAAGCGAGGGGGAAGGAGGGCGGGATGGCCTTTAAGAGGAGGAAACGAGGGGGGGAAGGAGGGCGGGATGGCCCTTAGGAGGTGGAAGCGAGGGGGAAGGAGGGCGGGATGGCCCTGAGGAGGAGGAAGCGAGGGGAAGGAGGGCGGGATGGCCCTGAGGAGGAGGAAGCGAGGGGGAAGGAGGGCGGGATGGCCCTTAAGAGGAGGAAACGAGGGGGGAGGAGGGCGGGATGGCCCTTAAGGAGGAGGAAGCGAGGGGGAAGGAGGGCGGGATGGCCTTTAAGAGGAGGAAACGAGGGGGGGAAGGAGGGCGGGATGGCCCTTAGGAGGTGGAAGCGAGGGGGAAGGAGGGCGGGATGGCCCTTAAGGAGGAGGAAACGGGGGGGAGGAGGGCGGGATGGCCCTCAAGGAGGAGGAAGCGAGGGGGAAGGAGGGCGAGATGGCCTTTAAGAGGAGGAAACGAGGGGGGGAAGGAGGGCGGGATGGCCCTTAGGAGGTGGAAGCGAGGGGGAAGGAGGGCGGGATGGCCCTTAAGGAGGAGGAAGCGAGGGGGAAGGAGGGCGGGATGGCCCTGAGGAGGAGGAAGCGAGGGGGAAGGAGGGCGGGATGGCCCTTAGGAGGAGGAAGCGAGGGGGAAGGAGGGCGGGATGGCCCTTAAGGAGGAGGAAACGGGGGGGAGGAGGGCGGGATGGCCCTTAAGGAGGAGGAAGCGAGGGGGAAGGAGGGCGGGATGGCCTTTAAGAGGAGGAAACGAGGGGGGGAAGGAGGGCGGGATGGCCCTTAGGAGGTGGAAGCGAGGGGGAAGGAGGGCGGGATGGCCCTTAAGGAGGAGGAAGCGAGGGGAAGGAGGGCGGGATGGCCCTGAGGAGGAGGAAGCGAGGGGGAAGGAGGGCGGGATGGCCCTTAAGGAGGAGGAAGCGAGGGGGAAGGAGGGCGGGATGGCCCTTAAGGAGGAGGAAACGGGGGGGAGGAGGGCGGGATGGCCCTTAAGGAGGAGGAAGCGAGGGGGAAGGAGGGCGGGATGGCCTTTAAGAGGAGGAAACGAGGGGGGGAAGGAGGGCGGGATGGCCCTTAGGAGGTGGAAGCGAGGGGGAAGGAGGGCGGGATGGCCCTTAGGAGGAGGAAGCGAGGGGGAAGGAGGGCGGGATGGCCCTTAGGAGGTGGAAGCGAGGGGGAAGGAGGGCGGGATGGCCCTTAAGGAGGAGGAAGCGAGGGGGAAGGGCGGGATGGCCCTTAGGAGGTGGAAGCGAGGGGGAAGGAGGGCGGGATGGCCCTTAAGGAGGAGGAAGCGAGGGGGAAGGAGGGCGGGATGGCCCTTAAGGGGTAGGAAACGAGGGGGAAGGAGGGCGGGATGGCCCTTAGGAGGAGGAAGCGAGGGGGAAGGAGGGCGGGATGGCCCTTAGGAGGAGGAAGCGAGGGGGAAGGAGGGCGGGATGGCCCTTAAGGGGTAGGAAACGAGGGAGAAGGAGGGCGGGATGGCCCTTAGGAGGAGGAAGCGAGGGGGAAGGAGGGCGGGATGGCCCTTAAGGAGGAGGAAGCGAGGGGGAAGGAGGGCGGGATGGCCCTTAAGGAGGAGGAAACGGGGGGGGAGGAGGGCGGGATGGCCCTTAAGGAGGAGGAAGCGAGGGGGAAGGAGGGCGAGATGGCCTTTAAGAGGAGGAAACGAGGGGGGGAAGGAGGGCGGGATGGCCCTTAGGAGGAGGAAGCGAGGGGGAAGGAGGGCGAGATGGCCCTGAGGAGGAGGAAGCGAGGGGAAGGAGGGCGGGATGGCCCCTTAAGGGGTAGGAAACGAGGGGGAAGGGAGGGCAGGATGGCGGCGACATGGCCGCGGCGGCGAGGGTAGGAGGCGGCGGCGGCGGAATGGCCGCGGCGGCGAGGGGAGGAGGCGGCGGCGGCGGAATGGCCGCGGCTTGGGGGAGGCGCAGGCGGCGGCGATGTTACGGCCGCGGCGGCGAAGAGCGCGAGGGCGGAGGCGACGGGAGCGGGGCGCCGTTAGGCGCGAGGGCGGAGGCGACGGGAGCGGGGCGCCGTTAGGCGCGAGGGCGGAGGCGACGGGAGCGGGGCGCCGTTAGGCGCGAGGGCGGAGGCGACGGGAGCGGGGCGCCGTTAGGCGCGAGGGCGGAGGCGACGGGAGCGGGGCGCCGTTAGGCGCGAGGGCGGAGGCGACGGGAGCGGGGCGCCGTTAGGCGCGAGGGCGGAGGCGACGGGAGCGGGGCGCCGTTAGGCGCGAGGGCGGAGGCGACGGGAGCGGGGCGCCGTTAGGCGCGAGGGCGGAGGCGACGGGAGCGGGGCGCCGTTAGGCGCGAGGGCGGAGGCGACGGGAGCGGGGCGCCGTTAGGCGCGAGGGCGGAGGCGACGGGAGCGGGGCGCCGTTAGGCGCGAGGGCGGAGGCGACGGGAGCGGGGCGCCGTTAGGCGCGAGGGCGGAGGCGACGGGAGCGGGGCGCCGTTAGGCGCGAGGGCGGAGGCGACGGGAGCGGGGCGCCGTTAGGCGCGAGGGCGGAGGCGACGGGAGCGGGGCGCCGTTAGGCGCGAGGGCGGAGGCGACGGGAGCGGGGCGCCGTTAGGCGCGAGGGCGGAGGCGACGGGAGCGGGGCGCCGTTAGGCGCGAGGGCGGAGGCGACAAGAGCCGGGCGCCGTTAGGCGCGAGGGCGGAGGCGACGGGAGCGGGGCGCCGTTAGGCGCGAGGGCGGAGGCGACGGGAGCGGGGCGCCGTTAGGCGCGAGGGCGGAGGCGACGGGAGCGGGGCGCCGTTAGGCGCGAGGGCGGAGGCGACGGGAGCGGGGCGCCGTTAGGCGCGAGGGCGGAGGCGACGGGAGAGGGGCGCTGTTAGGCGCGAGGGCGGAAGCGACGGGAGCGGCTGTAGCGATGCGGCGGACGGAGGGTGCCGAAATCGCCGTAAAATTGAGTCCGCGCGGCTGCTGGTCGCGACGGCTTCGATGGTCGTGATTCGGCGGACGGCACCGAAACCGCCGCGAAATCGCGTGGAAGGACACGCAGGACACATGGTCCTAGGATCATGAGGGGCGTGAGCCAAAATGCTCTGACACCATGTTAGAATTCTGTGAAGGATGACTTGAGAACTGAAAGAAGTTGATGATTGATTGAGGAGGATGGGGGTATACATAGGAAGTGGGTTGGATACTAGCCTAGGTGAGCAATCAAGAAGTTGGACCCCAACCAAGAAGTTGGGTTGGGAGATTATTGGTGGGGTCCAATAATGTTGGCCAAGTTGGAGTTGGGCCAACATTATTGGAGGGGACCAATAATTCTACCCAACCCAACCTTTGGGGTCCAATAATTGGACCAAGGTTGGGTTCCAACCTACAAACTGGGTTACTCCTGTTTGTACACCCAAACTAAGTTTGGGTGCTTAACTCTAGACAAGCGAACTAGCATATGCAGGATGAATAGAATAGAGGTTTTCTAACAAGGGGTTGTGTACACAACAGGATGTTCTGTTCCACTGCATTACACGCTGCTTGTACAGACGTGGCCAAGGCACTCAACTGCCACATCTTCTCCCCTCCCAATTGCCCTCCCTCCCTCTCCACCCCCACAGGTCGCCTTTACCACGGATGACAAGTCCTCACGCTCCTCAGTGTATTGTACTGATGTGGCCAAGGCACTCAACTGCCACATCTTCTCCCCTCCCAATTGCCCTCCCTCCCTCTCCACCCCCACAGGTCGCCTTTACCACGGATGACAAGTCCTCACGCTCCTCAGTGTATTGTACCGATGTGGCCAAGGCACTCAACTGCCACATCTTCTCCCCTCCCAATTGCCCTCCCTCCCTCTCCACCCCCACAGGTCGCCTTTACCACGAATGACGAGTCCTCACGCTCCTCAGTGTATTGTACCGATGTGGCCAAGGCACTCAACTGCCACATCTTCTCCCCTCCCAATTGCCCTCCCTCCCTCTCCACCCCCACAGGTCGCCTTTACCACGAATGACGAGTCCTCACGCTCCTCAGTGTATTGTACCGATGTGGCCAAGGCACTCAACTGCCACATCTTCTCCCCTCCCAATTGCCCTCCCTCCCTCTCCACCCCCACAGGTCGCCTTTACCACGGATGACGAGTCCTCACGCTCCTCAGTGTATTGTACCGATGTGGCCAAGGCACTCAACTGCCACATCTTCTCCACTCCCAATTGCCCTCCCTCCCTCTCCACCCCCACAGGTCGCCTTTACCACGAATGACGAGTCCTCACGCTCCTCAGTGTATTGTACCGATGTGGCCAAGGCACTCAACTGCCACATCTTCTCCCCTCCCAATTGCCCTCCCTCCCTCTCCACCCCCACAGGTCGCCTTTACCACGAATGACGAGTCCTCACGCTCCTCAGTGTATTGTACCGATGTGGCCAAGGCACTCAACTGCCACATCTTCCACGTTGCCCTCCCCCACCCTACTAGGGCCCTCTTCCCCCTACTCCAGGTTGCCTTTACCTCAGACCCCAAGTCATCCCGTTCTTCAGTTTACTGCTCGGACGTGGCCAAGGAGCTCAACTGTTTCTTATTCCATGTCAACGGGGACGATCTGGATGGAAGCAGTAGTGCACTCCACGGAGCTCGCAGCTCCTCTCTCCAACCTACGCGCCTCGCCTCACGCCACGCCACCAATTCACAACGGTCTTTCTTCCTGTTCTCCTCCCCCCTCCCCTCGCCCTGCCCTTCCAACAGGTTGCGTTCACCACGGACCCCAAGTCCTCGCGCTCTTCAGTCTACTGCACCGATGTGGCCAAAGCGCTCAACAGACAGCCCCATCTTCCACGTCAACGGGGACGACGTGGAGGCCGTGGTGCACACCATGGAGTCCCTTTGCTGCTCTCTTCCGTGCCCCTCATGCCGCACCACCAACTCACAACCACCGTTCTTCTTGTTCTTCCCCATTCTTCTCTCCCCCTTCCCCCCTCCCCATGGGCCCTTTTCCCCCTCTCAGGTTGCCTTTACCACAGATCCCAAGTCTTCCCGTTCTTCAGTGTATTGTACCGATGTGGCCAAGGCACTCAACTGCCCCATCTTCTCCCCCCTTCATTGCTTGCCCACCCTCCCTGCATTTTCACTCCTCCAGGTTGCCTTCACGACAGACCCCAAGTCCTCACGCTCCTCAGTCTACTGCACGGATGTGGCCAAGGCACTCAACTGCCCCATCTTCCACGTCAACGGGGACGACGTGGAGGCAGTAGTGCACACCATGGAGCTCGCAGCCGAGTGGCGCCAGCGCTTCCATTCAGATGTGGTGGTGGATCTTGTGTGCTACCGGCGGTTCGGACATAACGAGATCGACGAGCCTTCCTTCACGCAGCCCGTCATGTACAAGGTACGTTGGAGACTCTGGCTGAGGGTGGTGGTGGTGATCGTGTTCTGAGGCTAGCAGTAACTCGCTTCCTTTCCGACGTGGAGGCCGTCGTGCACACCATGGAGCTCGCTGCGGAGTGGCGCCAGCGCTTCCATTCAGATGTGGTGGTGGACCTTGTCTGCTACCGCCGGTTCGGGCACAATGAAATTGACGAGCCGTCGTTCACTCAACCTGTCATGTACAAGGTGAGCCCAGCCCAGTCTAGTGGTGAGTCAAGGGGGGGGGTGGCAAAACCCGCTTCCACTTGGACAAAGACGTGGAGGCCATAGTATCCCGCTGTCATAGTGACGTGGAGGCAGTGGTGCACACCATGGAGCTCGCAGCGGAGTGGCGCCAGCGCTTTCACTCTGATGTGGTGGTTGATCTTGCGTGCTACCGCCGCTTTGGGCACAATGAGATCGACGAGCCTTCGTTTGCCCAGCCTGTCATGTACAAGGTAGGGGTGTGTGAGGCTTTCGTATGGTTGTTAGTTGTCCGGTGAAAAGGAGATTGTGGAGCAGGAGAGCTTTTAGCTTTGAAAATTCTCCTCTCTCACCCCATCCCCAACCCGATACTCCCCGTCTTCCCATTTCCCGCAACCACCCCCCGCCCCTGGAGCTGTACAAGCAGCAGCTGGTGCAGCGGGGGCACATGAGCGAGAGGGAGATAGTGGAGCAGGCGAACCTCTAGCCTAGAGGATTCTCCCTTCTCACTCCATCCTTCTCCCCTCCGTCACCTTCCTGTTAACACTCCAGGTGATCCGAAATCACCCGCCACCCCTGGAACTCTACAAGCAGCAGCTGGTGCAGCGGGGGCACATGAGCGAGGAGGAGATAGTGGAGCAGGCAAACCCTTCAAGAGTCCTGCTTCCCCTCACATCCGTACTCACTCCCACTCCTTGCCTTGCAGGTCATTCGCAACCACCCGCCTCCACTGGAGTTGTATAAGCAGCAGCTGGTGCAGCGGGGACACATGAGTGAGGAGGAGATTGTGGAGCAGGCGAACCGGGTCGACTCGATTCTCAACGACGAGTTTGCAGCCAGCAAGGACTACGTGCCCTCCACGCGCGACTGGCTGGCCGCGTACTGGTCGGGCTTCAAGTCCCCGGAACAACTCTCCCGTATCCGTAATACCGGGTGAGTCAGTTCGCCACCAGCAAGGACTACGTGGCCTCCACACAGGGACTGGCTGGCTGCCTACTGGTCGGGGTTCAAGTCTCCGGAGCAGCTGTCTCGCATTCGCAACACTGGGTAAGCTGGCTGTAGAGACGAGTTTGCTGCCAGCAAGGACTACGTGCCCTCGACCCGCGACTGGCTGGCCGCGTACTGGTCAGGGTTCAAATCTCCGGAGCAGCTGTCTTGTATCCTCAATACTGGGTAAGACAAGCATTGGTTAAGCTGGTGGGGGCTGAATTCGCCGCCAGCAAGGACTACGTGCCCTCCATATGCGACTGGCTTGCTGCGCACTGGTCGGGGTTCAAGTCCCCGGAACAGCTTTCCCGCACTTTAGTCCTCCTTGTCATCTCACCCCTGTTTTCTCCGCTCACCATCCCTCCTGCCTTGTCGCCTTGTCTGCAAGCTGCCCCAATCCCTATCTTACCAGCACCTTGAGGCGCCGCAAAACTTTCCGGTCTATTCCGTCTCTCATCCCCTGTTCTTCCCCCCCGCCTCTACCTCCCCGTCCTGCTCCCCCCTCTTTTGCCAGTGTGAATCCCGAGGTGCTCAAGGAGGTGCGTCGCCTGGTCTGCGAGCTGCCGCCGGACCTCAAGGCCCACCGCGCCATACCTCTCTATACTCACCCTCACTCACACCCCTCCCCCCTCCCCCCCCGCACATCAGTGTGAACCCCGAGGTGCTCAAGGAGGTGGGTCGCCTGGTGTGCAAGCTGCCCCAGTCCCCACCCGTTCAGCTATCTGAGGCATCTATATAACTCTACCATCTCTCTCTTCCATCTCTCCCCCCCTCTCGCTGCCCGCCAGTGTGAATCCCGAGGTGCTCAAGGAGGTGGGTCGCCTGGTGTGCAAGCTGCCTCCGGACTTCAAAGCCCACCGCGCCATCAAGAGGGTGTATGACGCTCGCCTGCAGTCCATTGAGACGGAGGAGGTGAGGCAAGGTGGGGAGACGTGGTGGAGAAAAGAAGCAGGGGGTTTGGTAAGTCTGTTCACTTCAAGGCCCACCGCGCCATCAAGCGCGTGTATGACGCTCGCCTGCAGTCCATTGAGACGGAGGAGGTGAGGCAAGGGGCTGCGAACAAGGGAGGGGGGAGGGGGATGTAGGAAGGGAAGCCGCCTCCAGACAGACTTCAAGGCCCACGGCGCCATCAAGCGTGTGTATGATGCTCGCCTGCAGTCCATTGAGACGGAGGAGGTGAGGCAAGGGGGTGAGAACAAGGGAAGGGGGGGGGGGCGATGCTAGGAAGGCAAGCTGCCTCCGGATTTCAAAGCCCACCGCGCCACCAAGCGCGTGTATGACGCTCGCCTGCAGTCCATTGAGACGGAGGAGGTGAGTGAGGGACAGCTAAAGGAGGTTGTGTTGTGTGTGGGAGTTGAGAGGGAGGGGAAGGGGTGTGATGAGTGGTCGACTGCCAGGCCCACCGCGCCATCAAGAGGGTGTATGACGCGCGCCTGCAGTCCATAGAGACGGAGGAGGTGAGGCAAGAAGGGGTGAGAAGAGGGATGTGGGGGAGGTAGTGGTAGTGGTAATGGTAGTGGTAGTGATAATGGTAATGGTTGTGGTTGTGGTTGTGGTTGTGGTAGTGGTAGTGGTAGTGGTAGTGGTAGTGGTAGTGGTAATGGTAGTGGTAGTGGTAGTGGTAATGGTAATGGTAATGATAGTGGTAATGGTAATGGTAATGGTAATGGTAATGATAGTGGTAATGGTAATGGTAATGGTAATGGTAATGGTAGTGGTAATGGTAATGGTAATGGTAATGGTAATGGTTGTGATAATGATAGTGATAATGGTAATGGTGGTGGTAGTGGTAATAGTAATGGTAATGGTAGTGATTATGTTAATAGTAGTGACAATGGTAATGGTAGTGGTAATGGTAATGGTAGTGGTAGTGGTAATGGTAATGGTAGTGGTAATGGTAATAGTAATGGTAATGGTAATTATAATAGTAATGGTACTGGTTATGGTAATGGTAACAGTAATGGTGATTGTAATGGTAATGCTAGTGGTAGTTGTAGTGGTACTTGTACTGGTAATGGTAATGGTAGTGAGTGAGACAGAGGAGGTGAGTGAGATGGTCGAGCAACGATGTGAGAGTGGTGTGCAAAGGGAGGTGAGGCGAGAGTCAAGGGGGAACGACGAGGGATTGGTGTGCATTGTAGACTTCAGAGCCACCGCGCCATCAAGCGCGTGTGTGTGACACTCGCTTGCAGTCCATTGAGACGGAGGAGGTGAGGCAAGGTGGGGGGAAACAGGAAAGGGGAAGGAGGAGGGGAAGAGGGGAGGGAAGGGAACTTCAGTGGCTCTATACTGCTCTCCCTGACCGTACACTTTCCCTGTCTTCTTTCCCTCCCTCAGGGCGTGGACTGGGCAACAGCAGAGGCGCTGGCGTTCGGAACTTTACTGGTGGAGGGCAATCACGTGCGGCTGAGCGGGCAGGACGTGGAGCGAGGCACCTTCTCCCACCGCCATGCTGTGGTGCACGACCAAGAGAGCGGGCGCAAGTTTGTGCCTCTCAACCATGTGCTGCGCAACCAGACCGACGGAATGTTCACCATCAGCAACAGGTGAATTTTCAGCACTAGTAGTAGGTGAATGTTCCCTGCTGGCAGCAGGTGATTGTTCAGTGAGTCCTCGCCATGCCGTCGTGCACGACCAGGAGAGCGGGCGCAAGTTCGTGCCTCTTAACCATGTGCTGCGGAATTAGACCGACGGCATGTTAACCATCAGCAACAGGTGAATGCTCAGAACCAATAGTAGATGAGAGTTCAGTGAATGTGCCGCCTCCCGATGCAGCGCTTGGTCCGAGTTTGGGGTGCTGGGCTTTGAGCTGGAGGATCAGAACCCGCTTGTCCTCTGGGAGGCACAATTATGAGGCATACGACAATATGTAATCCCCTCGCCCCGCCTCCTTTTGCTGGCCCCTTCCTCCCATGCAGCTCTCTGTCGGAGTTTGGAGTGCTGGGTTTTGAGCTCGGCTACTCAATGGAGAATCCCAACTCGCTGGTGCTCTGGGAGGCCCAGTTTGGCGACTTTGCCAACGGAGCGCAGGTCATATTCGACCAGTTCCTCAGCAGCGGCGAGTCCAAATGGCTGCGACAGACGGGGCTTGTCTGTCTCCTGCCCCACGGCTATGATGGGCAAGGGCCGGAACACTCCTCCGCCAGGCTTGAGCGGTACCTCCAGGTGAGGAGTGGTGCTCTGGTTATAAACTTGGCGCCAACCGAGCGCAGGTCATATTCGACCAGTTCCTCAGCAGCGGCGAGCCCAAATGGCTGCGGCAGACAGGACTAGTCTGTCTCCTGCCTCACGGATACGACGGGCAGGGACTTGAGCATTCGTCTGCCAGGCTCGAGCGGTATCTCCAGGTGAGGAGTGGTTCTCTGGTTTTAGATTGCCAACGGAGCGCACGTCATATTCGACCAGTTCCTCAGCTCTGGAGAATCCAAGTGGCTGCGACAGACGGGCCTTGTCTGTCTGCTGCCGCACTGCTATGACGGCCAGGGGCCTGAGCATTCATCTGCACGATTGGAGCGGTACCTCCAGGTTAGAAATGATGGCAGTGGGTGGGTGCTGGGGAGGGAGGGGGGGGATGGGTGAAGATTTCTGGGTGGGAGATCATTGTACACAAACATCCGCAATGTTAGGGGCGGTGCCTCCAGGTGAGGAGGTGTGGGGAACGGTAGTGAGACCACCCAAGCGTCTGAAAAACTCCTTGTTCACCCTGGCCAATGACAAATAATGGCGACAAGGACAAAAAATGGCCAATGCATATTGCTCATGCCTATTCTTGGCAATTTCCTCTTCTTTGCCCTTACCTCTCCGTTGTCCGTCTCCGTTCCCCTTCCATCTTCACCCTCCTCCTTGCACCAGAGTTCTGACGACAACCCATTTGTCATCCCAGAGCTGGAGGAGACCATGACCAATGCACATGGGTCATGCTTCCTCCGTTCCGCTCTCCCCTGTCCTCTCTGCCCTCCCTCTTCTCCCCTCTTCTCTATGCCCTCCCCCCTCTCTCGCCAACATCCCCCCCGCACCAGAGTTCTGACGACAATCCGTTTGTCATTCCCGAGCTAGAGGAGACCATGACGCGCCAAGTGCAAGCCGTCAACTGGCAGGTGCGCTGAGGGGAAGGTGTTAGTTGGCTGAAGTGCATTGCGTTGTGAGGGAATCCTTTTTTTTCGAATTGATGATTATTGCGATGACATTGTGAGCTAGAGGAGACCATGAGGCGCCAAGTGCAAGCCGTCAACTGGCAGGTGCGCTGCGTGCATTGAAGAAACAATTCTGGATTGGGTTGTTGGATTGGATTAGATCATGGTTTGTGTTGTGACCATGGCTGTGACCATGGCTGTGACCATTGCTGTGACCATGGCTGGCCGTGACCATTATGTGCCAAGTGCAATTGGTCGACTGGCAGGTGTGTTGTGGGGAAGAAGTGAAATGGATTCATCGCGTTAGTGAGAGCGTCATTTTTATCGGATCAATGGATCCCCACAATCTCCTGAAGCACTCCCTCCGTCCAACTCCCTCCCGTTGCAAAACACATCAGGTGGTGAACGCAACCACACCGGCCAATTACTTTCATGTGCTACGGAGGCAGATCCACCGGGACTTCCGCAAGCCACTCATCGTCAAGTCTCCCAAGAGCCTCTCTTGTTCTCCCTCCCCATCCCCCCTCTCAGGTGGTGAACGCCACGACCCCAGCCAACTATTTCCATGTCTTAAGGAGGCAGATCCACCGGGACTTTCGTAAGCCGCTCATCGTGATGTCTCCCAAGAGCCTCTCTTGTTTCCCTTCCATCTCACCATCTCCCCATACCCCAGGTGGTGAATGCGACCACCCCAGCCAATTATTTCCATGTCTTAAGGCGGCAGATCCACCGGGACTTCCGCAAGCCGCTCATCGTCATGTCTCCCAAGAGCCTCTCTTGTTCTCTTTCCCCCCGCCCCCCCCCTTCCCCGCCACATCCCCAGGTGGTGAATGCAACCACGCCAGCCAACTACTTCCATGTCTTGAGGCGGCAGATCCATCGGGACTTCCGCAAGCCACTCATCGTCATGTCTCCCAAGAGCCTGCTGCGCCACCCGCGCTGCAAGTCGCCTCTGGACGAGTTCAACGACCGGCAGGGCACACCCGGGTTTGAGAAGCGCGGCACGCGGTTCAAGCGGCTCATCATGGACCCCCACGAGCATGGGGAGCGGGAGGAGGGGATCAGACGAGTTGTCTTCTGCTCTGGCAAGGTGGGTGTTTGTTTCTCTTGAAGGTGAGAGAAGGGGTTTAGCTTGGAGTAGGGAGGGGTGGAAAAGCGCCACCCACGCTGCAAGTCACCTCTGGACGAGTTCAACGACTGCCAGGGCACGCCCGGGTTTGAGAAGCGTGGCACGCGGTTCAAGCGGCTCATCATGGACCCCCACGAGCATGGGGAGCGGGAGGAGGGGATCAGACGAGTTGTCTTCTGCTCTGGCAAGGTGGGTGTTTGTTTCTCTTGAAGGTGAGAGAAGGGGTTTAGCTTGGAGTAGGGAGGGGTGGAAAAGCGCCACCCACGCTGCAAGTCACCTCTGGACGAGTTCAACGACTGCCAGGGCACGCCCGGGTTTGAGAAGCGCGGCACGCGGTTCAAGCGGCTCATCATGGACCAGCACGAGCATGGGGAGCGCGAGGAGGGCATTCGCCGCGTCGTCTTCTGCTCTGGCAAGGTGTGTGCGAGAGATGAGGGAGGTTTTTCTTGGGTATATATATGTATACATATTCATATACGTACATGTATATACATATACATGCTAAAGTTTGTTTCGCTCCGCTGGTGGTGGTGGTTACCTTAGACACTTGATGTGTGGCCTTGTCGTCAACCTTTGTATATTTGAAACTGGTCCGTGACTTTTATTGTTTACTCAATTGTTACTGCTCCAATGCAGGTGTACTAGGAGCTGGAGGAGGAGAGGTAGCTGTTGGGAGATCTGTATGTACCTGCTTGTCGAACGGAAACTGATATTCCTTAATTATTGTTACTGGTACACCCAATCCACACTGTACGCTTGCAGGTGTACTACGAGCTGGAGGAGGAGAAGGAGCGGCTGGGAGTCGTGTCTACGTGCTTATGTTACATAAGGCAGTTACTGTATGCTCAATCCACACATGTTAATCCTCTGCAGGTGTACTACGAGCTGGAGGAGGAGAGGGAGCGGCTGGGAGCGGATGACGTGGCGCTGGTGAGGGTGGAGCAGATTTGCCCCTTCCCCTTCGACCTCGTGCAGCGCGAAGTGCAGCGCTACAGCAGTGAGTGCTATTTCATTTGCGGCTATATCTATTTACTTTTATTTTTTCCCCTTTTTTTCTTTTTATTGGCGCATGAGGATGGGTTTACGAAGAAGGGGGCGGGGGGGGTGAAGGTGGCCGAGAGGATGAGGTTGAGCGAGAGAGGATGCCATCCTGAAGCTTGTTTAGGGCTGAATCTGGTCGCAGAAAACAGGATATGCGGGGGCATGTGCTTATATGTTGCCTTCCAGAGAAGTGATGTGAGGTGGTGTCACCTAGGAGGAACCTCCTAACATAGGAGATTGCTTTCAACGTGTCTGGGGATAAATACCAAATAAAGTGGCCCTCCCTCCTCTTTGCCATGTTGTGTGAACGTCCGTGCAGAGGCTGAGGTGGTGTGGACGCAGGAGGAGCCAATGAACATGGGGGCCTATGCCTACGTGGCACCTCGTCTTGCCACTGTGCTGCGCAGTGTCGACCGGGGCAGCTTTGAGGATGTTAAGTACGTCGGCCGGCCTCCTTCGGCTGCTACTGCCACTGGATTTGCGTCTACGCATGTGAAGGAGCAAAAGGAGCTTGCTACCAAGACCTTCCAGAAGGAGGAGATTCGTCTGTTTCCTTAGGTAGTTTAGTTTCTTCTTGTATAGTCGACTTGAGGTTTGACAGCTGTTGGCTATGTAGATGCACTTGTGCGAGCGGAGCAGGTGCCGTCTATGTTAGCTGTTTTGTGGAGGATGTGGTGCGATCAAATTTTGAGTTTTAGAGAACGTAGTTTAGCACTTGACGATGTTCTTGCATCGAGGATGGTTGACTGGCTTGCGAAATGGCACCCGTGGAGAATTTTGTTCGCATTATTGCAACAGGCGTTACTGGTCGGTGATGGGATTGTTTGCTGAGTCGATCGGAAAACACTATTTTCGCTATCCAATCAGAGAGATGGAAGTGCACTCTGTTCACGCCGCGGTTACCGTTTGCGCCAAAACTAAGAAATGCAATTGGACAGCGTGAACCCCGCTGCCGAATCCTCATAATCCGAGCCGCAGTATTCTACACCCGAACCGCATTTCTGCCAGGAAATTTCACATTTTCCGTGAATTCGGCATTGACTTGACATTGGTGATTCTTTCCATTGCCCCTGCACCTGCCATCCATTCGTCCGTTTGCAAATTGCACCTCATCTTTTGCACACCGCAGCATAGCAGCACCACAGCGCAGCACAGCACAACAGCACAGCATAGCACAGCACCACACCGCACCGCACCACGGTTTGGCACAGCACGGCAGCACACCACAGGTCCGCTCCGCAGAACAGCACAGCACCACACACAAACAGCACCCTCTGGCATCCCCTGTCTCGTCGAGTCACGAGCATACTATATCCAGCCAAAGCGAGTTGTAACCGCCCTTCCTTGCCCTCCGTTCATAACCATCCGTGGGAGCAGGGATCATTGTCCCTGGACGCGCATACCCCTTCTATTCATCGGTCGGCAAAATCCACCGACGAAGCAAGGAGGCTCGATCTGGAACAGGTCGCGCGGACCCTTGCGCCCGCAGTCCGCTCCCGCCTGGGAGAGAACAACAGGGCTCTATCGAGGGCAAAAGGAACCCCTTCCACTTCTTCGCTTTACAATATTCTTAGCTTCACAAGCTTTGTTCGCTCCAGAAGTCCCCTCAGCATGTCGGGTCGAGTCCAGTGAGTTACTCCGGGTGCCGCTAACCTCGATCAGCCTTAGACTCCTCACATAACGATTCGCGTCCTGCGTGTGCTTTCTAAAAAAAATTCGCAACACGAAACGGAATTCACGGATTAAGACAACCGTGTCGGGTTCGCGGGTCCGCCGAGCCGTTGGGATATCCTTCTACTAGCAGCTTGTAATCTTGCCAACGCAGGGGGCATCAAAAGCTGCCTCGTCACGACTCCACAATGTGACTTTCTCAGTCATTCCTCGCTCCCCTTTAGCCGTACATTCTTCCCATCACAATGATGGCATCGGACGGCCAGGATGGCCTTTCAGCTTGCGCCGCATCATCACCATCATCAGCACCACCGCGCGATTCCTCGCCGCATTGCAGCTTCGCGGCATTATTCCGAAGCTCGCTCTACGATGCGTCCCCGGACGCTGCTCTCAAGCGTATCACGCCACTCCAGAGTTGGCCTGCAAGGAATACAAATGACGCCCCGCACAAAGTGGCTCCTGCTGTGGTTCTGGATGCTACGGTTACTGTTTGCGGAGCGCGCATAGATTCACCCTCTGCGGCCGGATCGCGCAACTGCGGAGACCCCAGGTCCGCCGGCGAATCCCCGCGCCTGCGCGAACCGCCCATAGGCGGGTGCCCGACCACGGCCGCCGCCGCCGGTTATTCGCTCTTCCGCTGCCCCACGACTCGAAGGCGGCGCCGCCCGGCTATCCTTCTCAAAACCGGCCGCTGCGCGGCAACGAGCATCGAACCCGCGGCGCCGGAGCGTAAAGGCGCCTCGGGAAGCACGGGCGAGCCGGCGGCGATGGCGGCGGCGACGACGGAGGCAATGCCTGCGGAGATGACGGCGGCGGCGATGGCGGCGGCATCCCCGGTCGAGCGCGCCGAGCGCGAAGTCGCTACTGCAGCGTCCCCGGCTTCACTGGAAAAGGCGACGCCGCCGGAGACTGTGATACATTCGCGCTGCTCTCGTTTCCCATCTGCCTCCCTCTCCCCCTCGCCCTCCCCCTCCCCGCTTTCCCCTTCCGCCGCCTCTTCTTCCCCCGCCGCGTCTTCCGCGCCCGCGCCACCGTCGCACGCGGAATCCCCCTCCACCTCGTCTTCCTCATCCCCATCCACCTACCCCTCCGCTTCCCCGCAATCGTCCTGCCCCTCCGCTTCTCCCCAATTTACCTCCGCTTCCCCGCAATCGTCGCGCCCCTCCGCTTCCCCGCGCGCACTCGAGCTGCCCATCAGCCTCCGCAGCCCGAGTGCGCGCGGAGGCCTTACGGAAGCTCCGCGCACGTCCGCGTCCGCGCACCCTTCCGCATCCCCACAGCCCCCATTCTCCGCAGCCCTTCAACCGCCCGCGCTTTCGCTACCGCTTTCCGCCGCGCCCGCGACACCGCCGCTAGCAGGCCCCGCCGCTTCCCCGCTCCTCCGCTCTTCTTCCCGCCCCGAGTCAGTGGTGACCAGCCCCCCTTGCGCCCAGCCTCTCTCTTTGCCAAGTCCTCCGGAACCAAGCGAATCAGTTCTTTTCACAAGTAACTGTTTAGTACCCGTTATTAACAGCACCGTTAGAACGGCCACGGCTACTGCTGCTGCTGCTGCTGCTGTTGGTGCCGCCACCGCAACTACTGCTGCTGCTGCTGCCGCAACCGCCTGCCAGTCTTTGACTGATGCAGTTACTGCTATCATACCCTTGGGTCCGTCTGCCCAGCGGGTCTCACCCGTCCAATCCGTTCAGCCAATCGCATCCGCTCAATCCGTTCAACCAATCCCATCAGTTCTATTTGAGCGGAAATTCCCCCACGTCGCATCCAACCCCCCCTCCGCACAGGCGCATTTCGGAAGCGCCTGTCCCGCTCCCCATTCCGCGGCACCCAATCACCACCCCTCTGCCAGTTCCAGCTCCGCCTCTAAGTACCGTTTCACGCGGAAGCTCCGGGTTCGAATCCCGGCGGTGGCATGTTGCAATCTGGACCCCGTTGACATCGACGCCCTGTGGGAGGAACTGGCGTTGGGGGAGGGAGAGGCGGAAGAGGTAGGAAACGAAAGGGAGGAAGGGGAGAAGGGAAAAAGAGGGAAAGAAATGCGTTGCCAGACACATCGGAAGAAAAGAGGGAGAGAGTTTTGTTTGGAGTCTGGTGAAAAGAGGAGGGGGGAGGGGACGGTGGAGGAAAAAGAGAGTGGGATGGACGAACAGCAGCAACAGAACGGTTTGGGAACCGAATGGGGGAGGGAGGCGGGGAGAGAGTGGGGGCGGGAGAGCAGGAGAGAGTGGGGGCGGGAGAGCAGGAGAGAGTGGGGGCGGGAGAGCAGGAGAGAGTGGGGGCGGGAGAGCAGGAGAGAGTGGGGGCGGGAAGGGAGGGTATGGCGGAAGGCGAAGTCGTGGCAGCCAAGAGAGGAAAGGGAGACTGTGGAAATTCTGCGAGAGAGGGAGGTGGGCGAGGGTAAGACTTCTCAAGACTCGCGTGCGTTACAAGGAGGGGGAGAGGCAAGGGTATGGCAGAAGGCCAAGTCGTGGAACCCGAGGGAGTGGAGCAGGGGGGCCGTGTGTGGAGCAGAAGGCCAAGGCAAGGGGGGCGTGTGGGGGAGCGAGGATACTGGGGAATGTAAGGGTGGTGTGGGGAATAGGGGTGGCGAGCAGACAGCGTCGGATCGCACTGCAACTGGCCGAAACTGCTTCAACTTTCCTAGGCTGCCGAGCCCCAGGCGTTTCAGTCCTGGGATGTGGAGTCCTCGTTTTAAACGAGCAGCAGCACCAGCAGCACCAGCAGCAGCACCACCACCACCACCACTACCACCACCACTCACACCAACGGCGCCAGCAGCACCACCACATGTCACACCAGCAGTGGTAGCAGCAGTAGCACCACCACCACCACATGTCACACCAGCAGCAGCAGCAGCAGCAGCAGCAGCACCACCACCACCATCATCACCGCTTGCACTAACACTCCAGTCTTCGTCCGTTGCACTTGGCCTTGTATCATGCAAGAGCCCTCGCAGTGCTGCTTGTGGTAGTTGCGGTCCTGCCGCTGCCGCCACTGCCCCCTCTCGCAATCCTGCTGCTGCAGCTGATCCTCTTGCTGCAGCTGAGACAGCGATGGATAGAGGCAGGGACATGGCCGGCAATGTGGGCGGCGATGTGGCCGGCGATGTTGTCGGCAATGTGGGAAACGACGGATTCAATGGTAACAGGAACATTCCTCTGATTGCTGGCGATCGTGGCATGCTTGTACCCAAAAAGAGTCAACCTTTAACGAGGACAAGAAGCACCCCCGATATTGACCATGCCCAGTTGCAAGCAGAGCAAGCAGAGGAATCAGAGCAAGTAGAATGCAGCAATTTCTTCCCGGCCATTCCCATCCACCTCCGCCGAACCCGCAGCACCGTTCATGTGAGAAGGAACAGCCCCGGTCCTGGCAGCAGCAGCGCCACCACCACCAGCAGCAGCAGAACCAGAGTCAACATTAGCGGTACTTACAGCAGCAACCAGCAAAGCAGCACCAGCACCAGCAACGGAACCAGCAGCAGAACTGAAGGTGGTGACAGCCAGATTCCAATCCATCTCCAAAGCACCCGCCGCTGCATTCACGTCAGGAGCAGCAGCACCAGCAGCGCCCACAGGAACATCAACAGCAGCAGCTGCAGCAGCAGCCACACCACCACTGCCACTGGCAACCGATCTTCCATCGAGCTCCGACGAACAAGAAGCGGAATCAATATCAGCAATGGGAGCAACAGCAGCAGCAAGAGTTTCAATTCTGCTGCTGCTCCTGACATGAGGTATTTAAGCCACCTGCGAAGGACAAGAAGCGGTGTCAATAGAAACAGCAACTGCAATGCTCCTGCTACTGTTACTCTTTCTGCTGCATCTGCTGCTCCTTTCCCTTCTGCAGTTACTCTTCCTGCCACGGCAGCTTCTCCTGCCGCAACAGTATGCTTTGTGCTCTCGTTTCAGGAACGGCGTTGCATGCAGCAGAGGCAGCAGAGGCAGCACCCGCAGCAGCAGCCGCAACAGCGGCTGCAGCAGCAGCAGGAGCATCAGGAACAGCAGCAGGCGCAGCAGCAGGCGCAGCAGCAGGCGCAGCAGCAGGCGCAGCAGCAGACGCAGCAGCCGCAGCAGCAGCAGGAGAATCAGCAGGAGCATCAGGCTGTAGAAGATGAGAAAAACGACTTTTCTCGTGTGGCCTTGGCTCGTCGAACAATCAAAAGAGCGACATCTGAACAAGTAGGGGGGAGGATCGAGGAGGCCCTGAGACCTGATAGCAGCACAGAGAACGAGTTGAAAGGGGAGGCACTTCTTGAGAAAGCTAACAAGTCGCTTGTAAATGGTGGCATTGGGGGTAGTGGCGAGGAAACCCTGAAAACGGTGAGCTTGGTTGAGAGTGGGAACAGTGGGCATTGTGTGCGGCAATGTGCGGAAAGATTTGATGAGAGTGGGGAGAGTCAGCATGGCGTGTGGCTCAAAACTGCAGCGGGGAAGTTTGGCTTGCTCTCGGTGCTTAGGAGACTTAGAGAAGCAGGGAGTGCGGCGATTCAGAGGGGAAGAACGGCTCTCCAGTGTGTCAAAGGAAGATGCATTATAAGAGGCAGATGAAGATGATCAGAAGGAGCATGGGAGAAGTTGGAATGGAAGTAGCAGGTTAAGGTTCGAATGGTGCTTTTGCCACAGTGAATGGAAGGCCCGATTTCCCAAGTCTGGTAAGCTGCACGCTTTCCAGGAGGAACAAGCACATGGAGGTTGATTGTAGCGTCTCATCTCAGGAGTTGGTTGAAGTGTCTCAAGAGTCAGGACCTGCAAGCCTGCATGGAGCTTCAATTTTACAGCTCAGAGACGTACTGGTAGCTTATTGCTTTGTACAGCTAACATGTTAGATTTAACCAGTACCATACATGCAATCTGAATTATTACTAGTACAGTACTTTGAACTGGCATACACCAGTACTCTGAACTTATCAACCACACAATGGTGGATAGACTATATTGGGTAGTACTGTGCCGAATCAGTCCTAAACCTTAATAACAATAAAGTTGACTGACAAACAAACGAAACTTCGTTCAGAACCCTTTCGCTTCCATAACCCATTTCCACCCAAACAGATGGGCAAACATACAAACAAGCCAAACTTCATTCAGAACCCTTTCGCCTCCTATAACCCATTTCCACCCAAACAAAAGGGCAAACATATCAGCAACATTACCAACCTACATCTAATCGCACGCTTGGTGTCACACTCCCTTCACTTCCACGCCTCAACCAAAACCCTTACTGCCATGCCCCTTACTACCTCATCTCAACCAACTTACAGAGGCGCCTCGTTCACACTGTCTTCCGGGAATGCTGTGATGTGACACTACCGTAAGTCAATTACATCTTGTCGCCATCCCTTCTCTTGCGCACCTCAACCAAAGTGACTTTCCGACTCAAGAGTCTCCCCCTCTCTTCCATGCCCCAATCAACATGCAATGTCCCATACCACAACATATCACGTTCTATCTCTCCCAATGCCCTGCCTGCCTGCCAAGGCGCTCCAAAACCAGCAAGCGTTTCACCAAAACCACCACGGACACATAAGCTGGCAAGCTGGTAAGCTGACCTACAGACTCACTACCGTTGACCACACACACCCTGTTAAATGGTGTCTCTCCTTCTCATTCGGGAATAGGCCTTCCCAAACCTCCCTGCCTCCTCTTTTGCTCCTGCCTTCTCGTTCCCTTTCCCTCCTGCTTTCTCCTTCTCTTTCCTTCCTGCCTTCTCCTTCTCTTTTCCTCCTGCCTTCCCCTTCTCTTTCCCTCCTGCAATCTCCTTCTCTTTCCCTCCTGCCTTCTCCTTCTCTTTCCCTCCTGCCTTCTCCTTCTCTTTCCCTCCTGCCTTCTCCGTCTCTTTCCCTCCTGCCTTCTCCTTCTCTTTCCCTCCTGCCTTCTCCGTCTCTTTCCCTCCTGCCTTCTCCTTCTCTTTCCCTCCTGCCTTCTCCGTCTCTTTCCCTCCTGCCTTCTCCTTCTCTTTCCCTCCTGCCTTCTCCTTCTCTTTCCCTCCTGCCTTCTCCTTCCCTTTTTCTCCTGCCTTCTCCTTCTCTTTCCCTCCTGCCTTCTCCGTCTCTTTCCCTCCTGCCTTCTCCTTCTCTTTCCCTCCTGCCTTTCCCGTCTCTTTCCCTCCTGCCTTCTCCTTCTCTTTCCCTCCTGCCTTCTCCTTCTCTTTCACTCCTGCCTTCTCCTTCTCTTTCCCTCCTGCCTTCTCCTTCTCTTTCGCTCCTGCTTTCTCCTCCTCTTTCCCAACTGCCTTCTCATCTTTCGCTCCTGCTTTCTCCTTCTCTTTCCCTACAGCCTTCTCCTTCTCTTTCACTCCTGCTTTCTCCTTCTCTTTCCCTACTGCCATCTCTTTCCCTACTGCCATCTCTTTCCCTACTGCCTTCTCCTGCCCCTCTTCCACTCCTCCCTTTCCCTCTTTTCCCTTCCCTTCTTCTTCTGCTGCTGCTGCTGCTGCTGCTTTCCCGAACGTGACTGGAGTGTCGACTCAACTGAAGCCACTTTGAGTTTGCCTCCATCCGCCTTCAACTTCCCCGTCCCACGCCCGTCACCCACCCTCTTCCCATCACCCACCTTCTTCCCACCAACGCTGCCTGCACCTTCCTCCTCCTCACTGCTCTCCTCCCCCTCCTCTTCTTCTTCACTCCCTTCCTCCTCTTCCTCATCTTCCTCCTCTTCCACTTCATCCTCCTCATCCCCTTCTTCTTCCTCATCCTCCTCTTTCACTCTCCTCCCCTTGCTGCTGTTTTCAGCTATGCCACGAGTCACCCTTCTCGCTCCTACCACCACAAGAGCCGGCTGTTCTGGAGTCTTCTTCGTCTTTTGGGCCTGCTTCACTTGGGATGACTTTTGAGTCGACTCAAAAGTCACTCCTCTTGCTCCTACCACCACAAGAGCTGGCTGTTCAGGAGTCTTTGTCTCCTGAGCCCGCTTTACTTGGGTCAGCGTTTCTCGGCTCACCTTCCCTTTGGCCGGCTTTTCTTGACTTGACACCGACCTCCGAGTCACCCCCTTCCTTTCAGCACGACCATTTCCACCCCTTCCACTTTCACTGTCCCTCTCACTCTCGCTCTCACTCTCACTCCCACTCTCGCTCTCACTCCCACTCTCGCTCTCACTCTCATTCTCACTCTCACTCTCATTCTCGGTCTCACTGCCACCACTTTCCTCACTGGAATCAGGTTGAATCGCTTCCGCTCGACCTCTCATCTTCTCACTCCCTTTCCTTTTCACGTTTCCTTTCCCTTTAGCATTCCCATTCCCGTTTCCCTTCCTCACGCCTTTCCCTGCCCCTTTTCCCACCAACCTCTGCCCTTGCACCTTCCCGCCTCCCTGTCTCCCAACGTTTTTCCCTCCCCTACCCTCCATCTTCTTCCCTCTCAACGAAACAGTACCATCACCTTCTGAACTCTCTTCCTCCTCATCCTCCTCACTCTCTTCCTCCTGCTCCTCCTCCTCCTCCTCCTCCTCCTCCTCCTCCTCCTCCTCCTCCTCCTCCTCCTCCTCCTCCTCCTCCTCCTCCTCCTCCTCCTCCTCCTCCTCCTCACTCCCTTCTTCCTCATCCTCTTCCTTCTCCTCACAATCCTTCTTCCTCCTCTTCATCTGCGCTTTCTTCCTTCCCTTGCTGCTTCTCCCGATACGAATCTCGATCTTTCCATTGTTATCCCATCCTTCCACCTTCCAATCGTCCTCACTATCCCTATCACTCTCATCCTCCTCCTCCTCCTCTTCCTCTTCCATCTCTGCACCTTTTCTCTTCCGCAATTCCCCATCTCTTGTTGCATCAACAGCACCACCACTCCGGCCCTTCCCTTTAATGAGAAGCTTCCCCTTGCTTTTCTTCCCACGACTTCCTCTCCTATCCTCCACACTCTCCTCACTCTCCTCACTCTCATCCTCGCTCTCTTCCTCTTCCCCCTCGCCCCCCTCTTCCTCTTCTTCTTCCTCCCTTTCTTCTTCCTCCTCATCCTCTTCCTCCTCGTCCTCCTCTTTTTCCCTGCGCGGTTTCTTAGCACGGGCATTACTGGCAGCACCACCAACTCCTCCTTTAACTTTGGTTCCCATCTTTTTGTTGCTGCTCCTTCCGCGCGCTTCCCTTTCCTCCTCACTATCCTCTTGACCCTCCTCCTCTTCTTCATCCTCATCCTCTCCCTCCTCCTCATCTTCCTCTTCCTCTCTTCCTCTCTTCCTCCTCACTCACCTCCCCTTTCTTCCGCGATTTTCCAGTTAGGGTCTCAATAGCAGACTTGCCTCTGCCTTTTCCTTTACTAATCACCCTTTCCACGGACTTTCCCTTGCTGCCCTTTCCACGGACTGTCCTTTCATCCGCACTATCCTCCTCTTCCTCCTCGTCCTCCTCTCCCTCTTCATCCTCCTCTCCTTCCTCCTCGTCCTCCCCCCCATCTCCCTCTTCTTCCCCACTACGACTCCGCTTCCCAATGCCCTCCTCCTCCTCTTCCTCCTCTTCTTCCTCCTCTTCCACATCCTCCCCTCGCCCACGCTTCCTACCCCTTCGCCCCACACCCTCTCCATCCTTCCCACCCATCATCTTATCCTTATCAGCCTTCCCACCCTTACCCCTCGGCCCATCCCCTCCCTTCCGCCTGCCTTGGTTTTTCCACCCCTGCCTGCACTCAGGGCAGAACCAAGCAGCTTTAGCAGCCATTCGCCTTAACCCCGCACACACGGGGTGAAACGCCTTACCGCACTGCACCGCCGCACACCGCACCATCTCCCCTGCTACAGCCTCCCCTCCTACTCCTCCTGCCCCCACTGCCTCTCCACACGAACCACACGGATATGCCTCTCCACACGAGAAACATGGATATCCGTTCCCATGGACACATGGAAATCCCTGAGCTCGCAATCCAGCAGCAACGGCGGCGGCAACAGCAGCAGACCAAGGGTTTCGGCTGCTGCCAGGCTCCTTCCCCATCCCTTTTGCCTTCCCTTTTGCCTTCACTTCACCACCACTGCCGCTCGCCTTTGCCTCACCACCACTGCCTCTCGCCCTTGCCTCACCACCACTGCCTCTCGCCCGCAGCTTTCTGCCTCCAACCGTCGTGAAACCCTTGTCTTCCTCCTCTTCTTCTCCTTGCTCCCCCAACTTCCCTGAGTCCTCCTCCTCCTCCTCCTCCTCCTCCTTCTCCTCCTCCTCCTCTCCCTCCATATCCTCCTCCTCATCCTCCCCCTCGTCTTCAGAAATCTCACTGTTCTTCTTGCCTCTGCCCCCCTGCTTTCTCCTACTTTCCCTTGGTTTCATCCCACTCCCCCCAATTTTACTCTTCCCCTGCTTCTTCCGTCCACCACTACCACCTTTGGCTGAACTCCCTTTCTCCACCTCCTCTTCCTCCTCATCCTCACTCTCCCCCTTTTCCTCCTCACTCCCTTCACTCCCCTCGTCCACCTCTTCCGCACCTCTCTTTTCTCCCTCCTCATTTTCATCGCTCCCATCATCTGATACCTCCTCCTCCTCCTCCTCGTCTTCTCCTCTCCCCTCTCCTTTATCTTCACCATGCTTTTCCGTCTGAAGCTTGGAAGCATCAAGGGCATTGCATCGTTCCCTGTGGCGGGAAAGAGAGGAAAGACAAAGGGGGCAGGCATGAGAAGTGAGGGAAACAAGTGTGAGCGCTTTCGCGTCCTCCTCATCCTCCTCATCCTCCTCATCCTCCTCATCCTCCTCATCCTCCTCATCCTCCTCATCCTCCTCATCCTCCTCATCCTCCTCATCCTCCTCATTCTCCTCGTCCTCCTCTTCCTCCTTGTCCGCTTCCCTCCTCTCACCATCCTTCCCTGTGTGAAGCTTGGAGGCACCAAGGGCATTGGTGGTTGAGCCGGGAAGGAGAAAAGGCGACAAAGGAAGAAATAAGGAGAACATGGTCGACAAACCAAGAAAAGATAGCTATTACAAGAAGAACACACCCGAGAGATGCAGCGAGGTAAGTGAGAGCGCCGAGTGTACGAGCACCCATCACCTCCCTCCTCCACACGCGACGCACTCGTCTCGACCGCCACAAGCAGCGCGACGCAGACGGCCCCTTGAGCCCCTCCTCCTCCTCATGCTCCTCCGCTTCACTCACTGTTGCTGCATCATCCTCCTCCTCCTCCTCTTCCTCTTCCTCCTCCTCTCCCTCCTCCCCCTCCTCATCTGCTCCCAGGCCACCCTTCCCTGCTTTCCCAGCGTCCGCCCCCCTTCTCGAACCTCCCGCTCCTTCAACCCTCTCCTCTCCCTCACTCCCTCCCTCCTCCTTCTCCCCTCTCCCCCCCTCTGCGCCTCTCGCCTCCCCCAGAGCTCCGCCACATAGCTTGAAAGCCGCCACCTCAGCGCACAGCAGCAGGCGCCGTAGCGCTGCCACCTGGCGCGCCAGCTGGACGCGCTCACTGCTGACTCCCTTGACTGGTTTGACTCCTCCTGCCTCTGCTCCTGCCTTTTCTTCTCCTCCCTTTTCTCCTCCTTCCTTTCCTGCCTTTCCTGTTTCTGCTTCTGCTCCTGCTTCTGCTGCTGCTGTTTCAGCCATGGAAGTTTCAGCAGCAGCAGCAGCAGGAGAACGAGAGTCAGGCCGATTCCTGCTGCCCATCACGACAGCTAAACCAGAGGAGCTGTGAAGGCCCCCTAATCTGATTTGATCCGATTTAGGAGGGGCCACAGCAGTGGCTTTGCAGACGAGAGCGCCCCAAACACCCCAACTGGGAGCAGACGTCGCAGCTGTAGCTGAGGCTGTGGCTGCCTTGCTCCTAGTGCCTGCAGCAGCACCTGCAGCGGAACCAACAACAGCAGCAACACCAGCAGCAGTAGTAGTAGGAGCTGGTACGAGCACAGAAGCAGCAGCAGCAGTGGCTGCAGCAGGGGGAGGAGCGGCCTTAAGCCTTTCCAAAACCGTTCTCAACCCCTCCAATTGCTCCCGGAGCTTCTCTCCTATGAGGCTCGCCTCCCCCTTCCACCTCCCTTCTTCTTCGCGTTTCTGCCCCACCTCTCTCTCTGCCTTCACCCCATCAGACCCATATGCTTTTTCCTCCACTTCTTTTTTCACTTCCCCTCTCCTCTTCTCGTCATCCTCCTCACTAACTTTCTCCTCCTCCACCTCTACCTCCTCCTCCTCCTCCTTCTCCTCCTCTTTCCCACCCTCCCCTTCCCCTCCTCCCCCCCCTCCCCCTCCTCCACCCTTCCCCTTCTCCCTCCCCCCAACACCAGGCCCCCTTTTCTTCATCCCCGCTATAAGCCTCCCCTTCACCTTCTCAAGTGCTGCTTTCAGTGCCGCCTCTCTTATCCCCTTTTCATTCAGACTCGCTATAAGCTCCTCTATATCCTCACGGTAAGTGTAGCAGAACCAACGGGAGCCAGGCCACCCCGTCCCCACCTCACCTCCCACCCCTCCTCTCTCACTTCCTCCCTCGCCTCCTCCTCCGCTCCCTCCTCCCCACACCTCCTCTTCTCCCACCATCCCTCCTCTCTCCTCCACCCACACCACTTTAGGCTCACCACTCAGCAACCAGTACCGGTTATAGTGCCTATCCAACCCCAGGGGGACTGTTCGAACCACTAGACGCGCCATCTCCTTTTCGAATGCATCCTCCCGCTTCTTCCACTCCTCCTCCCGCTTTCTCTCCTGAGCCATGCGCTGAAACAAGGGAAGAAGAGGAGGGAAAAGTAGGTGCTTGTGGAGGAAGAACAGGGTTTCTCTTTGTCGCACGCTGGGACTTTTGAGTCGACTCAAAAGAGGTGACTTTTGAGGCAACTCAAAAGTCAAGGAGGGAGGAGGAGGGAAAAGTAGGTGCCTGTGAAGGAAGAGCAGGGTTTCTCTTTGCCGCACGCTGGCAAAGGGAAGAAAAGGGAGAGAATACAAGGGGTGAAAGGGGAGGAAAGAGTAGCAGGCACATGTACGTACGGGAAGAGCAGAAACTTCAAGGCGAAGATAAAATATCTCTGAAAGCCCCCTATTCTCCCCAATCCCATTCTTTCCCCCTGCAAGCATCATCCCCTCCCCTGCTTGCGTCATCCCCTCTCCTGCTTGCATCATCCTCTCCCCTGCTTGCGTCATCCCCTCTCCTGCTTGAATCATCCCGTTCCCTGCATGCATCATTCCTTCCCTTCACAACCATCTCACCCTTCTCTCCACCTCGGTCCGTGCCCTCTCTACTGCTCGCTTCTCTGCCTCCTTCCGTCGGATGTACTCGCTCTTCAATCTGCCATTGTTTAAGTTGCAGGGTAGAGGAACGCGGGGAAAGAGGAGGGAGGGGGAAAGGGGAACGAAAATGTTCAAGGTGAGTTAGAGTGAGGTCTTTGCCCCCTCTGCTGCGCGCCTCTCTGCCTCCTTGCGCCGAATATACTCGCTCTTCAGCCTGCCAACCAGTGCGTTGAGTAGTTAGGGGTTGGTAGAAAGGGAAACAGCAGTGGTGGGTGGGGGGGGTCAACAATTCTGAATGGTGCCTCAGAATGCGGTTCGTGCCCTCTCTGCTGCTCGCTTCTCTGCCTCCTTGCGTCGGATGTACCCGCTCTTCAGCCTGTCATTCATTGCGTTGTGCAGTTAGGGGTAGGAAAGGAATCGGGGTGGGGAGGGGGGTTGGTTGACGGTGAAGACTTCTGATGAGGCCTTCACCTTCAGCTGCCTAAGAAACGCATCTCACCTATAACTTGCCATCCCACCCCTCACCTGTCCACCCCTCACCTGTCCATCCCTCACCTGCCCATCCCTCACCTGCCCATCCCTCACCTGCCCATCCCACCTCTCACCTGCCCATGCGCTCCTCCTCCTGCCTCAGCTTCTCCTTATGCACCAACACCGCCTTCCTGTCCATCAAGTCACCCTTATACTCCCTCACATCCTTCTCCATAGCATTAGTGAGTCAACCCCAGCATCACCCTCACCTGCCCATGCGCTCCTCCTCCTGCCTCAGCTTCTCCTTATGAGCCAACACCGCCTTCCTGTCCATGGGATCACCCCTATACTCCCTCACTTCCTATGCGACCCGCAACTCCCTATGCCCACCCCTAACTCGCCCATCCAGAACCCCTCTCACCTGCCCATGCGCTCCTCCTCCTGCCGAAGCTTCTCTTTATGAGCCAACACTGCCTTCCTGTCCATGGGGTCGCCCCTATACTCCCTCACTTCCTCTGGCACTGCAAACAAAAACTCCACCTCCTCATCTGTATCACACTCCCCCTTCTCACTCCCTTTCTCACTCCCTTTCTCACTCCCCTTCTCACTCCCCTTCTCCTTCTCAGTCTCCTTCTCTTTCTCCTCCTTCCCCTTTTTCCCTTTCCCTTTGCCTCCTTCCTCCTTTCCCTCCTCCTTCTCCCCCTTCCCCTTCGCCTTTTCCTTCTCCTCCCTCTCCTTCCTCTCCTTCTCCCGCTTCTCCCTCTCCACCCGCTGCTCCTCCTGCTGCCGTTTCACCTCCTCATTCCGCACCCGCCTCTCCTCCAGCACCTCAACGCTCCTTTTCTTCCCCAGCTCAATCCCGGCCTCCATGTTCTCTGCGAGCATCTCACGCGTCTCCTCAGCTTCTAGCAGGTCAGAGAGCAGGAGGGAGAGCACACACACGTGCAGACCAGGGGGCAGGCCCAGTGCAGGCCAGGAGAAGAGCGCGTGGGCGATGACAGCGAGGAGAGGAGGGATGGGGCTCGCCCTGATGAGATACCTGGATTGTAAGCATGTGTGGGTGTGGGGAGGAAAAGGAGGGCAGAATTGCAAGCATGAAAATACCGCATCTCCTCTCTTCCCCAGCTCGATCCCAGCGTCCATGTTCTCTGCGAGCATCTCACGCGTCTCCTCGGCGTCAAGCACGTTGCAGAGGAGCAGGGAGAGGTGCAGCCCAGGGAGCAGGGAGAGCACGCAGACAGCAGCAAGGAGAGGAGGCATGAGGCTCGCCCTGATGAAGTACCTGGATTCGGAAGACAAGTGGGGAAAAACGGCACCGGAAGCAGGTCCTTTCGTACACCAACTCACTTTTGGTTGGGGCGAGGGATGGACGGAAGGGAAAATAGAGCTTTTTTCAGAGATATGAAGGCCAAGCACTGCCTTGACATACAGTCCCTTCCCCTGGCCTCTCCCCTTCCCTTCCTCTATACTCATCCCCGTTTGAAGAACCCTCAAGCAGAGCACCCCTCCTCAGACCCACCTGCGAATGATCTCCTGCCACGTGGCAGCGTTCAGAAGCCTCTTCCACCGGTCCAGAACCCTCTGACTCACGCCGATCCCCTCGTGCCCGCCCGGCACCTCCCCGCCGGGGACTAGAGGAAGACAGAGAGGGAGTAGTTCATACCAGCTTGCCCCTTCCCCTGCCCTCTCTGCTATCCCCTGTCCCTTCTCCCCTCTCCACTCCTCCCTAAAGCAGCACACCCCCTTCCCAGACCCACCTGCGAATGATCTCCTGCCACGTGGCAGCATTCAGATGCCTCTTCCACCGGTCCAGAACCCTCTGACCCACGCCAATTCCCTCGTGCCCGCCCGGCACCTCCCCGCCGGGGACGAGAAGAAGACAGAGAGGAAGTAGTTCATACCAGCTTGCCCCTTCTCTTGCCCTCTCCGCTAACCCCTGTCCCTTCCCCCCTCTCCACTCCTCCCTAAAGCAGCACACCCCCTCCCCAGACCCACCTGCGAATGATCTCCTGCCACGTGGCAGCGTTCAGAAGCCTCTTCCACCGGTCCAGAACCCTCTGACTCACGCCAATCCCCTCGTGCCCGCCCGGCACCTCCCCGCCGCCCAGATTCAGCAGCGCCTTGAACAGCCCAACGTGCAGGTCGGACAAAACCAGCCACCCGGGCTCTTCGTCCGCTTGTGCAAGAGCGCGCGCGAGCTTGCGGAGGGGGACGGGGGAAATCCTGGCGAAACGGGTGAACTCCCGGTGAAACTGGAAGACCTGTAGCACGTCGCCCATAGACTGGGGTAGCAGGAGAGTGTAACCCTTGGAATGGGGCAGCTGGAGATTAGGCGAAATTGGGAGATCCATGCATTGGGGTAGCAGGAGAGTGGATTGGTTGGATTCGGCACCAAGAGAGCTGGGCATGGATGCATTGCCTGGCACCAGAAGAAGCTGCGGTTTCTTTTGGTTGTCCCAGGGATTGGGAGCCTCGAGTTGGGGTGACTTGAGAAGACAAGGGCCAATGGCGGTGCGTCGTTTCGCCATGTCAGCATCGACCATGTGGTCAATAATAGCATCAACATCAGCATCCTCCTTCTGTTCGTCTTTGTCCCCCTCCTCCTTCTCTTCCTCTTTCCTGACCTCCTCTTTCTCCTCCTCCTCCCCATCCTGTGCAGCTCTCTCCACCGCATCAGACCCACCAGCACCAGGGTGTATCCCCCCTTGCCGCTGGAGTTTCCCCCACAGGCAGAGATCCAGAGGCGCGTCAAGGCCCAGGGCAATTTCAGCCAGTATGGGAGTGGGGCGTGGGGGTCGTTGAGGCAGAGTGAGTGTGAGGCCGGGTGCGGGAGAGGGAGTGTGAGGCTGAAGAAGGGATAGTGCAGAGGGGTGGGCTCCTGGGAGTAGTGAAGCAGTGGCAGTGGCAGTAGCAGCGGCAGTGGCAGTGGTAACATCTGGAGCAGCAGCTGGGGTAGTTGGTGTGGCACCAGTGGTAGCTGCGGCAGCAGCAGCACCATCAGCACCACCACCAGCAGCGGCAGCGGCAGCACCACCACCAGCAGCGGCAGCGGCAGCACCACCACCAGCAGCGGCAGCGGCAGCGGCAGCGGCAGCAAGAGCAGCGGCCAGCTCCCTTCGCTCCTCCTCTTCCACCTCAAGGTCTTCAATCGGGTACTGCCGCTTGCGCTGCTGCTGCTCCCTCTCCCTCTCCCTCTGCTCCTTCTCGCGCTCCCGCTCCCGCTGCTTCTGCAACTTGCGCTCCTGCATTGCATTTGTCAAGGTACAATAAAATAAATTGGGATCTCTTCCTTCTCCTCATAAAAAAACATGACACAGGAAAAACCATGGGATAAGAACACGAGAAGAGCACGGTGTGCTGCTGATTTCGCTCTTTTGAACTTGTGACTTTTCTCAGCGAGCAGCAAACTCAGTCAGGTTTAAAGCAAAGGATAGACAGTGTGCTGCTGATTTCGCTCTTTTGAACTTGTGACATTTCTCAGCGAGCAGCAAACTCAGTCAGGTTTAAAGCAAAGGATAGACAGTGTGCTGCTGATTTCGCTCTTTTCAACTTGTGACATTTCTCAGCGAGCAGCAAACTCAGTCAGGTTTAAAGCAAAGGATAGACAGTGTGCTGCTGATTTCGCTCTTTTGAACTTGTGACATTTCTCAGCGAGCAGCAAACTCAGTCAGGTTTAAAGCAAAGGATAGACAGTGTGCTGCTGATTTCGCTCTTTTGAATCTGGAATGAACTCTGGCCACTTTTGAGGCGCCTCAAAAAAGGCGCCTCAAATTCCGCTAATTTGAATTCGGAATAAGCTCTGGCCTCACCTCATCGGCCTTCCTCTGCTCTTCCTTCTGCTGCTGCTTTGCTTGACTGAAATTCGGGTTTGGGAACAGAAACATGGGGAAACAGGAGGAGGTTTGCTCAGATGACAACTGAATGTGAATGAGCCATGCAGGCGGTGTGGCATTTCAAAGTCTACAGTCCGCAGGAATTCTTTAGCAAGGAAAGATGCTTTTTCAGGACACCGTGACATCTACCTGTTGAGTCGACTCAAAGGTAAAATCTTAGGCAAGGTGAGGCGACCTTTCAGCCATGACACGACACAGTGGCACCCACCTTCGCCAGCAGACTGGACAAAGCAGAGCCTGCCCTCCTCCTTCCTTCCCTCCAGCTCCCTCCTCTCCTTCCTTTTCTCCTCCTCCCTTCTCTCCGCTTCCTGGGGTTGCTACAGAACGCGGATCATTCTTTTCTGCTCCAACCTGCGACCCTTGGGCTTGTGACACTTGGGTTGTCACTGTGGTGGGTTGTGACTCTGATAGCTGTGCCGCTGGAGGCAGCATGGCAGGAAGCATGCAGAGCAGGTGGAAGGCGCGCGGGCAGGTGGTGCACGAGAGCAGAGGCGCATTGTCCTTGTGGACCTTGCGCTTGCACACACTGCCGGGGAGGGAGAAAGAGAAGGAACGTAACGGACATATGGGCGAAAGAAGAACAAACACATGGGGAAGTACTTACTGACATTTCCCTTTGGGAGCCGCTCCCTCTCCCTCACCTCCACCACGCCCCTTGCACACACACGTGTGAACTCAACTTATACACGACACGGTAAACTACTATTGAAGGACACGGTTTGAGGGGGGGAAGTCAAACAGGTGCCCAAGCACGTACTGGCATTTCCCTGTGGAAGCAGCTCCCTCTCCCTCCTCTCCGCCTGTCGCCACCACTCCACCTCCACCCTCCTCCTCCTTCCCCCTCTTCTGCTGCTTCTGCGCCCCTGCAACACCCTTCTCCACACCATTTTCCACCGAGGCCTTCCGTTTTCTCGACTCTCCTTCTGCTCCCACCCCTCCCATCCGCCCCTCTCCACCACCACTACCACCACCACCATCCACCCCGCCTGCCTCTCCGTCCTTTCCCCGTCCCTTCCCCCTGCCCTTCCCAGGACTCTTCGCAAATCCATATTGGGAGCGCAGGTCACTAGCAACGGTCCACTCGTTGTCCTGCAGCAGGCTGCGAGAGGCAAAGCGGGTGAGCCATGCGCTTATCGGCTTCTTGCCTATGTGGTCGCTGCAAGCAGTGAGAGGGAGGGAAGAGGGTGTCAGAGGGAGAGCGAGACCAGAGGGGGTGGAAGTTGAGGAGCGTGAACTAATACGTTGAAAGCAGAGAGGCGTGGGATTGGCCTTAGTGAATCGAGACCCAACAGATTGGTTCAACATGGGAACATGCCTAACTTGAATCACCATCACATGGTTCCATTTTCTTCCATGGTTCCATCACTTGTGCTCACCTGCCTCTTTCGGCTTGAGCGTCTTGAATCGCCGTTACAAGTGCACCCTTGCTCAGCTTGCCTGAAACGTCAAGTCCCCAAATCATATCAAATCAGATCAACACAGAGTTTATGCAGCGACTTTACTCCATGTGCCTGAGACGTGTAAGCAACAAACCCGCACAAACCAGAACCGACCAGATCTCATCACATCAGATCGTATCAGATCTCATAGATCTCGAATCAAGACAATACAAAGCTCAACAAATAAGGCAAAGCAGGCAAAAGGGAGGCGAAAAGAATCAGCCTTGAGACCGGATGGCTAACCGGACCGCTTTCATGAGCCTCGTGTTACACCAGCAATCGCAGTAGATAGACGTATCCTGAGACTCTCAGAAACATGGCATGATCCGCAATCTATAAGCGTGTTATGAGACTTTCTAAAGCTGATCAAGGAGATTTCACAGATTGAGTCACCAGCCGCAGCGAAAACGAAACGCCTTACTTTTGTGCACGATAGGGATGGCGATCTTGTGAAACCAGTCCGGCAGATCCCTGTAACCCGACTGCTTCAGGCGCTTCTTCCCCTCAACCGCCTCTGTCTCGCTACTGAGTGCCTCTTCGTAAGTCAACCCGCTCTGACCCGTCTCGGTGCACGTCCATATACGCTGCTTATAGCGTCGAATGGCGGAAAGATAGTCCCTGATCAGCAGGTTGCGGGAGCACGAAAGAGGAAAGGATGGAAGTGGTATTTTTTATAATTGTTTGGAAGGACAAGCGCTGAGAATAAGCCAGCGTCTACCATAATCTAGAGCGGAGGGTATGAAGGTTCGCGGTGTAAACTAAGAAATCGGAACCAGTTACGAAGAGGTTACGGTATCAAGGCACCCAGGAGCCGATCTCTCTCATATCCTTGCCTATGCGATCTTACTAAACAGAGGGCCGAACGACGAACGAGACGCGGTGCTACGCAGCTTTCAGCCGAAAACAACGAATTCGGGTGGTCGAATTAGAATTAGGGTTTGCTCGGACATGCTAGCGCCAGAATCAGAGAAATGCACGTAATGCTCACTCGTAATTGCGAAATGCTTCTCTCGTGAATCTGACGATATAGAGCTGCTCGTTATCCTCCAAGTCCGCAGGTGGCTGGGCTAAGTGATGTGATTTTCCGCCTAGTAGCGGCATTGCGGGCAGACTAAAACCCGAACATAGAAAACCACAACAAGAAGCGACGGAAGTGGGGAAAGAGAAAGCGATCAGGATGGAAAACGAGAAAGAACGAAAGATGGAAAGACGAGAGGAGTATCAAGGCTGGGCGAGCGAGCTGTTTTGAAATTCGAACAAACACCGATCTCGCGATTCGCGAAAATGATCTCAAGTAGTGTTCACGAATCCCATTGTACACCAAGCCTGCATTTTCCCCACAGGGATAATTCCTCGCGGATCAAATTTCGGCATCCAATTTTAGCGACCACAAGGGAGAATTGCTTCGTCAAAACAGGCTCTGGTGGGGTTTGTCCACCTGTCGCCCTTCGATTAGCCGCGCTGATTTAGGAGACTTGTGGCTGTCAGGCATGTGTTCTGTCCTGGTCTCCGGGCGTACCCGTTTGAGAACGGATTCATATTCCTTACAAGCCACACAATATCTCAAAAGTACCATGCCAGCATCACTGGTTTCTTTCCAATCAGCTTGAAATCGAAACTCCAATTCCCTAGGCTAGCATCTCAAGGCTCGCTCAGTGCGGTTCACGTGGTATAACGAGGATTCCGGTTCTTATCGTCCTTCACAGCAACACGCTGAACATAGTCACAATGGGCTCTGCGAGCTTGTCTGTCATATCTTGATCATCCCAAGGCTCCCACTCCCACCCCTATTTCAGCTTCACCCATCACATGGGATGTTGAATCAGAAACGAGCGGAGTAAATGACTCCATAGGATTCTCAGCTTCCTCACGAAGTTAACGATTTTCTGTTGATACATTTACCAGAGAATGAAAACGTGGTAACACTGATACGCGCACTGACACCGTTCGCATGACCGGATGATTCGTAATTCATCCCGAGGTTAGTTCCTACTCACCACGTCTCACTTCCCTCGAAGCTCCTCCTCAGTTTTGCCATGCATCTTTTCCGCATTTATTCCGATTTCAATGCGATTAGAATCACCATTAAGTAATCGAAGCTTCCATCGCCGCTTCCCTCTCCCTGCCGTTTCTCTCGCCTCAAATCCGCCAGGCTCCAGCCTCCACCTGGCTGTACCCCTCAATCCCTCCGCTGTACCCCTCAACCCCTCTCCACCTGGCTGTTCCCGCTTTTCACCCCTGCTACCGCTACTCTCGCCTCAAATCCGCCAGGCTCCAGCCTCCACCTGGCTGTACCCCTCAATCCCTCTGCTGTACCCCTCAACCCCTCTCCACCTGGCTGTTCCCGCTTCCCTCTCCCTGTTGCCCTGCCGCTTCTCTCGCCTCAAATCCGCCAGGCTCCAGCCTCCACCTGGCTGTACCCCTCAACCCCTCCGATCGCCCGTCGCCTCGCGACAGCTCAATGTCGCATCCGCTGTCGCATCCCTCATCGCAGAGCCCACGGTCGTCGCAGAACCCATGGTCGTCGCTGCACCATCGTGCGCGAGCCGTCGTCACGAGCAGAACCGATTGGTTGCTGGTCTTCGCCTTGCTCCTGGTCAACATCGCTCTCTCCCGCTACTTGCCTCCCTATCAGCGCTTCATCCCCCCTGAAACCCTACACTCTCCACGTTATCCCGTAGTTGACAATCCAGGGGCAGCCTTTTTCACGGTACGTCCAATCACCATCGCTCTCTTGCTCTACTTGCCTCCCTATCAGCGCTTCATCCCCCCTGAAAGCCTGCACTCTCCGCGTTATCCCGTGGTTGACAATGCAGGAGCAGCCTTTTTTACGGTACTACCACCATCGCCCTGTCTCCCTCTTCTTGCCTCCGTATGAGGCTATAACCGCTTCATACCGCCTGAAATCCTTCTGCTTCCGTGGTATCCTGTACCTGACATTACCTGATATTGTAGGCTCTTCAGCCCCCTTGGAAGCTTCCACTTTCCACTCTTTACCCTGCCCCACTCCTTGTCCTCCCGTCCCTGATTGCTACAGACTGCCTCGCTGCTGGCTCCCCTCTTTGCGTTTCCACTGGTGCTACCTTACAGGCTCTTCAGCCCCCTTTAGAGCTTCCACTCTCTCCACTCTTTACCCTGCCCCGTTCCCCCCTTAAACATCCCGGGCCTGATTGCTACAGACTGCCTCGCTTCTGGCTCCCCTCCTTGTGTTCGTGAAGGTGCTGCTCCCTCAGCCAAACCTGCTCGACCTGCACATACTCGGTAAAAGCAGCACCACTAGTCGCACATATCCATGCTCATACTCGGTACAAGCAGCCCCATTAGTCCCACGTACATCTCACGACGTCTTATATATATACCCCTGTTGCATTCCCCTTCCCTCATGGACCCTTCTTCCCTGCTGAACCCCACTTTCTCTCACCATCCCTCACGTTCCCCCATATTCCCCCTCATCATCCCCCGAACTGCACTGCAGGGCTGCTGTCAGCCGTGCAAACCACGTGGCTAGCCGCCACTCTCCTCCAATGCGCCATTGGCCGGCCTCGACCCAGCTTCCTCTCAGCCTGCTTGCAAGGGTGTTCAACCCCACTGCCCCGCCCTCCCGCTGTCGTGTCCTGCCTCCCATTCTATCTTCTGCAGGGCTGGTCTATTCCGTGCAAATCACTTGGCTAGCTGCCACTCTCCTGCAATGCGCCATTGGCCGGCCTCGACCCAGCTTCCTCTCAGCCTGCTTGCAAGGCAGCGAACCTGTCTGGTTTTAAACCCCCCTTCAGTGCTATTTTCATATCCTATGCTCATCTACAAAATATATTTGTCAACTTCCTTTTATGCTCCTGAACTCCCAGCATCACACCCTGCAGCACTCCCATCACCACATCCGCTGCTCTCTTACCTCCTGTTTTTTGAGCCGATTAACAAACATTCATTACCACACCCTGCATTGCACTCCCATTACCATCTTCTCCACTTTCTTCCCCCTCGGCCCTATTTCCACGTGTTCATTCCAGGTGGTTTCCCCTTCAGCAGGTGTCACATGTGTGCCACCTCCTGCATACCTTTACTATTACCGCAAGAGCTTCCCCTCAGCACACGCAGCAGGTGAGCTCTTCCCCCTCTCGCCTAGTCGCATTCCTCCCTCTCCCCTGGTCTGCGTATTTCACCTTCTCTCCAAGTGACCACTCCCTCCCTCTCTTACACCCCCACTCTATCCTCCCCAACCACACCCGCCCCTTTGTCCCCCTCTCCTTGCTCCTCGTGTGGCACGCAAGCTTCTCAGCCCCCATCTTCCCCCCCCACTTCCTCTCCCAAACCATTCAACAATCACTTCCCCAACAGCTCTCTCCCTCTGTCTCTTGTCCACTAATTCTGTGCTCAACCTCACTCTTTCTCTCCATGTCATTCGCCCACTCTCCCCCTTACTCCACTCTACCACCCCCCTTCCCCACTGCTTCTCCTGGCAGACAGCTTCTCAGCTGCCGTTTTCCTCCCCTTCCTCTCCCGAACCATCCAGCAACCATGCTGTCCCCCTGTGCCGTCTTCAGACCCACTCTTTTCCCCGTCTATCGTTCCCTGCTCTGCCCTTTTCCTTCTGTCCTCTCCCCGCTCTCCCCCACCCTTGCTCCCCTATTTCTCGTGGCAGTCAGTTTCTCAGCTGCCGTTTTCCTCCTCCTCTTCCTCTCCCGAACCATCCAACAATCCTTTCCCCAGCGGCCCTCCCACTCCAACTCACCAAGCCTCCACTCCTCCTCTCACCCCTCTCATCGCTCCAATCACTCTCAGCACCGCACTCAGTCCCACCAGGAGTGCAATCAACCCCTCCAAAATCCCCAGCAACCACACCAGGCCCCCGACCATACACATGAGAATGCAACATCCTCTTCACAACCATTTCTGATCGCAACACCCTTACCAATCGCCTATGGGGTTTTGGCGAGCACCAATCAGCCCCTTGCTGCCCGCCTACGGGACTCTCTCCACGCAAGCCACCTCTGGCGCGTGCCAGCTGTCGCGTGGCCATTGGCCCTCGCGGCCGGTGCAGGGCTTGCTGACCTGGACACGTACAGCAACGCGCCGGGGGACATTCTTGCTGGCGTTGCTCTAGGTGAGTGGGAGCATGGGTGAGTGGGGTGGCTGTAGTTGGACAGCGTGGGTGGGTTCATACAAGTGTGGCTTGTGGCTGCTGCTGGCAAAGCACCGTGAGACATTCTCACTATCTCTAAGTGAGCAGGTCTTAGTCACCCTAGCGGTAAGCGTGGGTGCCTTGGGGTGAGTGGTGTGGGTGGGTGCATACACGTGTGGCTTGTGTATGCTGCTGGGTGCACATACCGCAATGCGCCGGGAGACATTCTTGCCTGCGTTGCTCCAAGTGAGGTGCTCTGGTCTCAACTAGAGCTGTGTGTGGTGGGTGCATAGGTGGGTGGCGTGGATTGGTGTTGTGGGCGGGTGGCAGGGTTAACAAGGTGAGGCAGCAGTGCTGTGGGCATGCATAATTGGCTTACGATGGGCACATGCAGGCAGCATGCAAGTGGCTTTTCAGTAAGTTTGTCTCTCTGTAATCAAAACCTTTTCTGAATGGTAATGTACACCTGCCGTGAATAAATAAAGGAATGAATGAATAAGTAAATAAATAAGTAAGTAAATGAATAAATAAATGAATAAGTAAATTTCTTAGAGATAATTATAAGTTATTCACAAAAAAAACAAACAAACAAACAAACAAACCAACCAGATTTTGCCAGTCCATATGACCCCACCTCTATCCTTATCTCTCTCCCCTCCTCTTTGCACATATCTCTCTCCCCTCCTCTTTGCAGGAACGCTCGTGGCAGTAATTTTGTACTGGAGGGTCTTTCCCCCTCCTCGCTGTGGCCTTGAGTCAAGTGAGTCACTTCAAGCCAGCAAGCTTATCCCTGTCAAATCGTCTGTGTTACTTGCCCATACGTTTGGTTTTTTAAGTGTGCTTTTTGGTGATCCTTGTTCACCTTTCCTTGGTTTCGTTTTCCCGTTGTTTTATGTCTCGTGGCTGAACAGGCCGTGTGCGTGCCTCGAAAGCTAGGCCGGTGCCCCTGTGTGTAACACATGGATATAACTAAGTAGGCTATATGTTTACGTTCTGCATGCCTACATGCGTATCACTCCCTATCGCATCCCACCCCATCCCCCTCCTCCTTTCGACCCTCCACACAGGGGTATTCCCAGGGTTGGGTTTCGAGCCACTCAGGGACAGCTCCCTCCCACACGAGCCTCTTTCTGCTGACACCCGTCTTGAAGTTCTCGTGATTTTCCTCCTGTTTCTTCCACCCCTCTTTCACCATCCACAGGGGTATTCCCAGGGCTGGGTTTTGAGCCACTCAGGGACGGCTCTCCCCCACCCGAACCTCCCTCTGCTGACACCCGTCTTGAAGTTCTCGTGCCTGCTGCCTTTGCCACTACAGCACTAGCTACAGCACCTGCTACTGCAGCAGCTGTAGCAGCAGCAGCCGGGGACACAGCAAGAGGCACAAGAGGCGCATCAGCAGATAATTTAAGTGGGAAGGAAGGCTAGTGTTGGAGCTTACTGGTTCGTTGGTGGGGATGAGAGAGGAGTGGTTACCAGTAACCATTTAACCAGCAATAAGGATGGGCAGCAGCAATTGGAGCAGGAGCAACAACAGCAACTGCTGAAGATTGCAACTTTGCTTCATTAGCTTTCGGAGGCAGCCTGCCAGATGCCATGCAGCTTCAGGGCCTTCATCGATGCAAGGCTTCCTGAGCAGACAGCGAAACGTTTCCATCAATTCGCCTCGTTGCAGGAGGCAGCAGGAGAGGTATGGAGCAACAGTATGAAGGCCCACACCAGAACACACTTAATTTTCTGGAAGCATGTGCTGTGAGGTTTGACAAAACCAGGAACACCGGTCAATGGTTTTTGGCCATCTTCAAGGAGTGGGTAAAGTGAGCCTGTGAAGGCTGGTTATGCATGCAAAATGTAGTGTCAACAACTAGAGAACTAGCTCCCTAAACTCATTAATGGCCATCTTCAAGGAGTGGGTAAAGTGAGCCTGTGAAGGCTGGTCATACATGCAAAATGTAGTGTCAACAACTCCTATATACCGTATTTTCAAATCAAGAATACAGACCACACTTACAGATTAAAATCAGAGAAACAGCACAAGGGGAACTCTCAGAAACATAGTGGCACTGTACTTTTTAAGTTACAACATTGCAGCTCCCAGATAAAAAAACACCAACAAGAAGCTCCTAGACATGAGACGGGTTTAGCACATGATCTTGAAAGCACTCAAGACCAAGGTACTGTCTCCGTTCACGCGGAACAGAGAGCAAAACTGGGAAGGCATGGAAACCATGAGCGACGAGACGATGCGAAGTTCTTCGGCAGCCGTAGACAATGAACCACCGCGGAAACTGAAGCCGTCCTTTGTATATCAAGGCAGCAGGCGATTACTGGCAGGACGAAGAGCGCTGGCCATGCTGCCTTGTTATTTATTCACGTTAACCAACGACGGCGACAGTCGTAGTGACAGTTGCATAGAACCCCACGAGAAGAACAACCGCCATAATCGCCATAACGCCTGGAAGGTCGCTGCGCCACGAAACACGTCAAGGAAACCAGCGGAACGAACGAACAGAACGAACGCGTCACAGTTCTTGAACGAGGGATGGTGGTGGTGAGGCGAGTAAAAGCTTATAATAGGCGCTAGGGTTTCGTCAATGATGCTCTTTCACTAGTAAGCGGGCAAGGCTTTATATCCACACACAAGCTCGGCTGGGAGGGATGTGGGAACGTTTTGCGGTTGTGAAGATGGGAAGGGATGGGAAGGCAGAAAACATTTTGGGGTTTGCGCGAAGCCGTAAAAACAGAATTTGACGTGAAGCTTTGGCTTCTGATTGGCTGGGGGTGTGAAATCAGTCGCTCATAAGTGGCTTTGCCGGGCCGAGAACATTCCGGAAGCACAAACGATGTCGCCAGAAAGAACGAAGAAGTGTTGAGTTGAGTTCGGTGTTGGACGGTGAAGTGAAGTGGCTTTGTGGTGTGGCATCATTCTGTTTGTGGGACGGTCGGATCTCCAGCCAGCCGTGCACTGGGTCTGCCCGTACAGACACGCGCCTCGGACGTGATTGGTGCTGTGACGTCGCAGTGAATCCTCCACTCAAGTGACTCGTCAAGATTCCAAAAGCCAGTCATAAGTCTGAGTGCCTATTCGCGGTAGAGCATATCTTGTCGCCGCATTCAAGTAATGTACATAACACGCAAGAAATAGCAGTTGTTTGCGTGGTTAGCAAGCATTAACCCGGTGAATTACTATGGAAACCACAATTCCTCCTGTTTCTAGCATACTCTTCCTTCTACATGTTTGACTCCATAGAAGATGTGCGATCGAAATGTGCTAACAGCTGTACAACTATTTACAAGGGCACTCCCTGCCACAAGAATGAAAGGATTTAGAGTGTCTTAGCCTCAACCTCCTCCTCGACGCCCGAATCATCGATGAAAGGAAGCTGTGCCGGGCCACCCTCAGGATGGATGGAGGCGGAAAACGGCTGCTTGACAAAGAGGCGGGTGGCATGGCGAGAGTTCATGACTGCATGGATCGACCTCGCCACTTTCAGAACCAGTGCATCGGCGCCACACTCCAGCGCTGCGGTCAGCATCTTGATCCAGCTCTCTGCCAAACATGGGAAGAGAAAGCAAATTAATGTATTTCCTAGGACCGGCAATTTTGCACGAACAAAACTAAAACGTTTGCAGCAGTATAAAAGCACGCATCCTCATCATCCTCATCATCCTTCAGTCATTAACCCGCCGCTCTTCCCCACCTCATAATCACACTCAACAGCTACAATCCCAATAACCCCCCTTACCTGGTGTGGGTTCGAGCTGCTCCTCACACAGCTTCTGCAGAGCAAACACCTCGTACTGCAGAGATGGTTACAGCGAGGTAAAGAGAACAAGTTGGAAACGTTTCAATGCAGAAAAAAGGGCAACGGGTGCCGCGAAAGGCGAGAGCACTAGCAGTTGGAGGGCATAAACTTTGCACTTCCACCTGAAGGCGTTTTTATCTTGTGGCAGTTTGCAAAAGTGCCCCAAAATTCCATGACCGCCTTGACCACGTTGACTGACCACCCTCTTATTGATCTCACCTTGTGCGCAGCCAGCAGCAGGTCAACGCCTCTGTGCCCCATGAACTCCCTGCTGACGTGGCCCGTGTACAGAAACTCCATGACTGCCTTGACCACGTTGAATGATGCCTCTGTGATCTCCAGCCTGCCCGGACTCACTGCTGCTGCTTTTTCAAGTTCGAACTTGAACCTCTGCGCACGGGGAGGGGAAAGGAGAGGAGCAAAAGAGGGGGGAAAGGTCGAGAGGGTGAAAGGGATGCCAGACAGATGAAACTCCATGACTTCCTTGATCACTTTGAAAGAGGCGTCTGTGGTCTCCAGCCTGCCCGGACTCACTGCCGCCGCTTTGTGCATGCATGCGGGGGGCAGGGGGTGGGGGGGCAGGGGGAAGCAAGAAGGAGGAGAGGAAGGAAAGGTAGACACGTTTGCTTCCTCAAACTCAAACTTCAAAACTTCTGCTCATCAAAGACATGGTGCTTCCATTGGTTTTCGAACTGTGGATTTTCGCCGGTGCTGGCCAATGCGGATCGTGACGCCATGTGGAGGCACCACTTTGAGCGAGCAAAAAAAAAAACAAAGCAGAGGAGGACCAAGGGAGGAGTGTAGGTGTCCCTATTCATGCTACGAAAACTATGATTGTCCAAACGAGTGCAACAGAGGGCGAACAGAGAGGGTCGATAGAGGATGTACAGGATCAAAAGTGGCCCATACAGGTCTCGAACCTGTGACCTTCGCGTTATTAGCACGACGCTCTAACCAGCTGAGCTAATAGGCCTGAACATAGTCTAGAAAACACATATCATAACCAAAAATTTACTGTATCATCAGTGCATTGACTTGTTCAGGTAACATCTGCAGATACCACCATGCCCGTGTGTCACCTCACCTCATTGCACCGCATCTCACCTTCGACTGCACCACCAGAAGCATCTTCAACACATTAATGTGTTTCCCTTCCGCCCACACCTCCACCAGCTCATGCCCCCCGCTGCCAAAAACCGCCGCCCAGCCGTCCGCTACAGCCGGCAGCTGTGCCGGCCCCGGCCCGTGGAACGGCCGGCCTGCCAGCTCAGCAACGGTCGCGTCAGCAAGCAGGTCCAGCATGGCGTCCCAGTGGCGGTAGTCCCAGCCTTTCAGATACAAGCTGGACTTCAGTTCCAGTGCCACCTGTGGAGAGTGGTAGAAGGCGGTGGAAAGCGGTGAAGAGGGAAAATAGTACATGTTAATTAGTCAGCAAGCAGGTCCAGCATGGCGTCCCAGTGGCGGAAGTCCCAGCCTTTCAGATACAAGCTGGACTTCAGTTCCAGTGCCACCTGTGGGTGGAGAGGAGTGGAGAGCGGTTGACAGCAGTAAGGAGGAGTGAAGAGCGGTGAAGAGGGATACAGCACGTAGGAGTGAGTCAGCAAGCAGGTCCAGCATGGCGATGCAGTGGCAGTAGTCACAACCTTTCAGATACAGGCTGGACTTCAGTTCCAGTGCCACAGGTTGAGAGGCATGCGGAAAGGTGAATTGCGGTGAAGAGTGGTGGCCATACCGCAATACAATGGGGGTGATCCACGGCTTTAAGGTAAGAGCAGAGGTGTCTTGCTTGAAGATTCTGGAGACTTCTGAGAATTCTCACCAACAGAGGCGTCTTGTTGGCCACTGCAACCTTGCGAGTCTCGTCCTTCCTCCCCGCCAACCCCCTCGGACTCCTGGGGCTCCTGGGACTGTCTGGGCTTGCTGGGCTGCCAGAGCTCCCAGGGCTGCCAGAGACTACGAGAATCAAAGGGTAAGAGTCTCACCAGAAGGGGCGTCTTGTTAGCCACTGCCACCTTGCGAGTCTCGTCCTTCCTCCCCGCCAGCCCTCTCGGACTCCTGGGGCTCCTGGGACTGCCCGGGCTGCCCGAACTTGCCGGGCTTCCGGACCTGGCTGAGGGCGGCGAGTCGTGCTTGATGTAGCACAGCTTGCTGGCCGCAGGGGAATCCACGGCTTTAATGGTGACCTTGGCGCCGTGGTCTATGAGCAGCTTTGCCATGCTGACGCTGCGGGATGATTCAAAGTTGTACACTGCGTCAAAGATTGCTGTCATGCCCTGTTCGGGGAGGTACGGGGCACGCGCAGGCAGGATGGATAGATATACAACTTCTGAGCAGCTTTGCCATGCTGACGCTGCGGGAGGACTCGAAGTTGTACACTGCGTCAAAGATTGCTGTCATGCCCTGTTGGGGGACGGGGCGGAAAGGGGGGGGGGGAGAGGGAGGGGGGGGGGGGGGGGGGGGGGGGGGGGTGGTATGAAGGAGAGGAAGGGGGAAAGTGAGCTCGCACAGTGACCTTAGCGCCGTGGTCTAAGAGCAGCTTCGCCATGGTGACGCTTCGAGAGGATTCGAAAATTGCTGTCATGCCTTGTTTAGGGGAGGGATATGAAGAAAAGGAACGGGGAGCAGGGCGGCATAATGGAGACTTGGGCCGTTTGAGCACTCTCAAAAGCCACCCCTTGGTCTATGAGCAGCTTTGTCATCCTGGCGTTCCAATAACGCAGGCACACCCACCCTCCCTCCTCGCTTTCTCTCTCTTCCTCGCTCCCTCCTCTCCTTCCCTCCTCCCTCCATCCCATCCGCGCACCTGTCCGTTGTACTCGTTAATGTCAACCTTTCTATGCTTCAGAAGCGCCGCGACGCCGTCCACGTTCCCCGCAGCCACGGCGCTGAAGAACGCGCCCTGGTCGAGCGGATTAAGGAGCTCGCCAGGGTCGTCGTAGAGACCTAAGGCGCGGCTCGACTCCTGCTGCACGGCAGGAGGCTTCGACCCCGAGTCTAGCGAAAGGCTGCGAAAGCTGTGTTGTGCAGACGCCATGTGGTTACCACTAAAACACTGAGCTGCTTATGTCTCTCACTTCAAGTGGTACTAGCCTACTAAGAATGGAGGCGAAATTATGAGATAAGACTTATCAACGGAAGCCTGCAAGAGGAATCCTCCTACCGTGTGTAGGAAAAGACCTAAAAGAGCCTTCAAGTAGTACGCCGTCGCAGACTAAAACCTTTGGCAAAATCCACGAACAAAACCTCGCTAGAATCAATGAGAGTGCTCGTTAGGTTTCCTGGCGCTTGATTTCAACTGAGGCCCTCCATCTCCTCCCCCTCTTATATCCTCTCGGACTGACTGTCTCCGGCCTCGTCAAATCCTCTCCACGTGCCCCTGCTACTCGTTCCCTCGCGTTTCACTCCCTCGGGTTACGCCATAGCCGAACCACCGAAATCACACTAAGAGGAAATTTCTCTCGGCAGCAGCAGCAGGTGTCCCCGTTCTAATAAAGTTCGCGACACAGCGCGCCAGTGCGTTGTCACGCTCATGTTGCCACGGCGGATGAGGTCACGCTGTCATCATGCTTTCACTATCGCATCGCGTCATGGTGTCATGAGAGATGGTGAAGTGAACGGCTGGGATCGAACGGCATTCACGTGCCATTTCTTGTTGTACGGGCTACCTTGGGAATGCATGGAATTCCACATGCCATGCCGGGCACATGGCAGGAGGAAATTGGTGTTTCCAGGGTTTTTGGTCTATTATGTGTTCCAGCTTCCATGGCTCGAACGCGCTGCGGTCGGCCTAGGGAATGTACAGTTTCAGTTCAGGGTTCCCACCACAGCAGCAGCAGCAGCTGCCCCGCTTTCGGTTAGGTGTCCCGCGCTGACGTGGTTTGGGCTTTCCTCCACACCACCAAGCATAGCTTTTGTCGAGGTGACATGCAAAAGTCGTGTTGACACTTCAGATAGGGATCATGCTGACTAGAGTGTTTGGCGGTCTGATGTAATTTAGGATGGAGTCCATGTGGACGGGCATTCCGTGTGGTTGTGGAGCCCATGGAGTTGTGAATTCGGTGTAGCAAAGCTACACTAGATTGGCTAATTCACGAAATGGCATACGCGGATACAATAAGGCCTTACTGGTATCACAAACACACAACTTCATGTAGTACAAGACAAAACTATTTCACGGGGAGTCACATAACGAGTCAGTTACGCAAGATCCAAGAAGGGTTCCAGCTTGCGTCAACCCTACCCTAGTGAAAAAGTAGGTGTACAGTAGCCGACCTACGCCATCCGCCCTACATCGTGCACGACCACAAACCCCAAGCCGCGATTCCTCCTACCCCACCATTTCTGGATTCTGTTTGTGGCTACGAGTCTCAGAAATTATTCAAACCAATTCTATCACGCCACAAACGCACCGCAAAAGAGGGGACGTAGGGCTGCAGGGCTTTCGTTTCGGAGCCTCTTCTTCCCCAACCACGCGCATCCACGCCGCTATGGCTTTGTGGTTGGCTGTTTCGCAAGCAACGAGACAAGAAACGACATCCGCAAGTGTGAATGGTTCCCCCAACCTCACGAACTCTCAACCGAAAACATTCATTTCGCGAAAGAGGTAACTCGTCGTTGTCCTGCTCTCAACATACATCCTCGGTTCATTCATCTCTCGTGAATCGTGTTGCGGCACTAGCGACAGCTAGCGAAAAATCGGTGCGCACGCGCGGTGCGTCGTTTTATTGGGGTCCAGCCAAGGTCCATCCACCCGCCACCTTCCCTCCCCCTTTCCCCGTCAATCCCGAGGCCAATAAACCGCGCCCGTGTTGTTCCCCCTTTCGTTGCACCAATCCGTTGCCCACCGCCACCCACCACCATCGTCAGGCACGGCACGGCCAGTCACTTTCACGCCAACCGTCGTTTATATAACAAAGCAAGCACCCATTCCTGTCATTTTCGCTGTCACGCTCCGTACTTGCCGCCATTGCCACGGCCGCGAGTCCGTCCGCCTCCCTCCTCCCCTGCCGCGCGTCGCCCCACATTGCGATTTTTGTTTCTCGCTACTGACTCATTCTGCTAGTTCTGTCTAGCGACCTAGCGGCAGATCACTGCCGCATCCAGCAAACGACGCCGCCACGCCATACGTTCAGCAGAGGACGAAACGCAGAGGACTATAGAGCAGCCGAGGCTGTAACACGTGTCAAGCGCCTAGCGTCCGACAGCCATTCACGATGTTTCAAACCGTCAGCACACGCGATTTCGCCAGCAAGCGGCGATCGGTTAAGCTAACGGCTGCCGGCAGCTCTGACGACCACGGCGACAGTCGCCGTTCAGTGCGGCCTTTGCGAGCGTCCACCGCTCGCGGCGGCTCTTCCGGAGAAGGACGGCGAGGAGGTAAAGGAGGAAAAGCATCCGCAACCGACGCGGCGGCTGCGGGGAACTCGAGCCGAAGCCGGCGCAAATGGGCGCAGTCGAGCGGCAACCGCGCAGCGTCATCGACGGCGGAAGATGCGGTGCAGGCGGAACTCGCGGCGACGCCGGGACTGCTGGAGCCGATGCGCATCGAGCTGATACCCGAGGTGAGGTTCTTGAGAGGCTCTCGAAACAATGTTTGCAAGAGTTGATGGCCAAGGTAATGATCGCTTGAGACGAGGCTCTCAATAGTCGATAATTAATTTTCCACCTTTTGCCAGCATCGTTGCTCCAGCCTCAATGCCTCCCCCCCTTTCCCTGTCACGTCGTTCTCAATCTCCCGTGTTTCCTGGCTCCTGTTCGCTCCTCAAATCCCCCCCTTCCTCTCCGCCGCCCCTCATCCACGCGCCCTCCTCCATGCCCACACTCCAGCTGCTATCGTAACAACTGTCATGGTGTCTCATCCCTTCTTCACCTCCGCCCCCCACTCTCCCCCTTTCCTCTCCCGCTTCCCCTGTCTTCTTCTCCCCCCCACCAGGAGGGGAAGGTGGACAGCTACCGCATAGCGGCGGGCATGAAGTCGCGGCACCCCCCAGGCGTGATCTACGGGCTCCTGCGCGACTTCAAGCGCGGCCCCGCCATATTCCGCCACATGGACAAGTGCTCCTCCGTGCCGCAGCCTGACGGGAGCCTGCTGGTCGTGCAGAACGTGAAATGGCGCTTCCAGCTGTTCTCGGGGAAGTTCGACCTCGCGCTCTACTGCTATTGTGACGACGCAACACGCACAATCACTTACAGACTGTAAGTTCAATTCTACATATACCTCAAGAAGTGGTGCAGAACGTCCAGTGGCGCTTCCAGCTGTTCTCGGGGAAAATCGACCTCGCGCTCTACTGCTATTGTGACGACGCCGCAAGAACAATCACGTACCGACTGTGAGCTTCGCGCGTTCTTTACAGTTCAAAACGGGGCCCGTGCAAGCAATAGTTTGTTTGTTTGGTCTTTTTCCTTAAGAGAAACATGACTCCGATCATAACCTCACTCCGTTTTCCGTTTCTATGTCTCCTCTCCTCTTCCTTTCCTTCCTCTCTCTCTCTCTTCCCCCCCCCCCCCCTCTCTCTCTCTCTCTCTCTCTCTCTCTCTCTCTCTCTCTCTCTCTCTCTCTCTCTCTCTCTCTCTCTCTCTCTCTCGCAGGGCTACTCCTGGGTTCATGAAAGATTTTGTCGGCACATCAACCATCCGCAGCCTTCCCCTCCCTCACACCCCACCATCCTCCTCCTCCTCCTCCTCCTCCTCCTCCTCCCTGCCTCTCACCATTCCCGGCACACGCGCTATCACCCACTCCCAGCCTCTGCAACAACCTGAGCTACAGCCCCAGGCACCACAGTTAAAACCTGCGCACCCTGCGCTACAGATGAAGCCTCTACGGCCGCTACAGCCGCAGCCGACGCTACAGCCGCGCCTCCCGCTACAGCAGCGGCTGCTACAGCTGCAGCAGGCGATTCCCCTCGGCCGCTTCCCCGCTCAGCTGCTGGCGTTCGGTCGAGTGGCTGTGGGCGAGCCTCGGATCGAAGGCGAGGGGCTAGGAGGGGGGATTCTGGGTGGATGGCTGAAGATGGGTGATGGATCTGCTTCTGTTGTGCCTGTGGCAGCAGCAGCAGCAGGGGCAGTAGGAGCAGCAGGAGCAGTAGGAGCACAAGCAGCAGCAGGATCAGGAGCTAAGATAGGGGGGGCCGTTCAGTGGAAGGGTGGCGCATCAGAGCTGGTGAAATATGAACCGTCGGATTGTGGGTCGGAGATCGAGATCGTCCAGAGGGTCGAACCATCCAACTTGCCGCTTGGTCCTTTGAGTGAGTGCCCTGCCTGCCCCCAAGTGTGCGTGCCCCCACATGCCCTCTCAAGTGTGCGTGCCCCCACGTGCCCTCAAGTGTGCGTGCCCTCAAGTGTGCGTGCCCTCAAGTGTGCGTGCCCTCAAGTGTGCGTGCCCTCAAGTGTGCGTGCCCTCAAGTGTGCGTGCCCTCAAGTGTGCGTGCCCTCAAGTGTGCGTGCCCTCAAGTGTGCGTGCCCTCAAGTGTGCGTGCCCTCAAGTGTGCGTGCCCTCAAGTGTGCGTGCCCTCAAGTGTGCGTGCCCTCAAGTGTGCGTGCCCTCAAGTGTGCGTGCCCTCAAGTGTGCGTGCCCTCAAGTGTGCGTGCCCTCAAGTGTGCGTGCCCTCAAGTGTGCGTGCCCTCAAGTGTGCGTGCCCTCAAGTGTGCGTGCCCTCAAGTGTGCGTGCCCTCAAGTGTGCGTGCCCTCAAGTGTGCGTGCCCTCAAGTGTGCGTGCCCTCAAGTGTGCGTGCCCTCAAGTGTGCGTGCCCTCAAGTGTGCGTGCCCTCAAGTGTGCGTGCCCTCAAGTGTGCGTGCCCCATTGCTTCCTCCTTTCCTCGCCCCATTGCTCATGCGATTGCACTGTGCCCCAACCCCAGCATTCATGGGCTTCTGTCGGAGTGCTTAAGAGTGCCCACCCACCCAGTTGCTTCCCTTTCAACTTTCAAGCCCTCGTCTTTGCATTTACCCGACTTTCTTGTCTTTGAACTTTCTTGTCTTTGAACTTCCTTCTGTGCTGGTCCCCCTTCGCCTGCATGTTAACAGCCCAGTACATCTTGGGGTACATCATAACGGCCCAAATGCGATGTCTTTACCTTTCCTCACCCTTTTTTCTCGTCCTCTTTTGCTCACTGTGCTGCTCCCCTTTGCCTGCACCTCTAACAGCCCAGTACATATTGGGATACATCATAACGGCCCAAATGCGAGGTCTATTCCATGACCTATGCGTCGAGGCAACAAACATTGAAGCGAGGAATATTGCGGAACAGGCAAGGCTAAAGGCTGTCGCTGCCGCTGCTGCTGCCAATGCGGGTGCTGCTGGTCAGGAAAGTGGTTCGCAAAATGGGCCAAGTGTTTCCAACGTGTTGGGTTTGTGAAATAACATGGCACTACGGGTTGCTCCAGTTTGAGCCGAAGACATGCAAACAATTTATACTTTATATGTTTTCTTTGATTGTATTTCTTGCATGTCTTGTAAACATGGTCAAATGCTCATCCGGGCTTTATCTTTTCGAGCAGCACAAGTGGCGTTGATTGGATTGGAGTGGACAGGTATCTATCTATATACATGGAGCTTGTAGACGGTTGCTCATCCGTGTTTTCTCTGTATCGAGTCCAGGCCTCGGTGTTCCCAAGGCCTGATCTTGATATCATTTGCAGGTGCAAATCGGTTTAAAGCGGTTTACTTATAAAGCATCTTGAATGGAAAGCAATAAGTGTCGGCATGAGAAGGCAACCAGGATCAGACCGCACAATAATAGCACGGCACGCGACCTAGATTTCGTGCCTAGCGACTCAGCTCGCCTGGACGGACTTACCTTTAGCAATCGTCTTTATTTTCTTGAGTCGCGTTCGTTTCGGTCGACGCAGGTTAAAGATAAGGAGGGGCGTTTGTCCTCGTTATAAGCTATGCTCACGTACTAGGTTCTATCTGGGGTCAGCCCAGGTCAATCCAGTCGCCACGAGACTGGGATTACTAATAATAGTTCAGGATCCACTCGTAGAAGTGCGAGGCTGTCACACGTGGTAAGGCCACGTGGCGTGGGTATTTGCATTTTTGAGCCGACTTGAAAGTATCCCGCGTGGTAAGGCCGGGTGCCGTTCGGTTCCCACCTTGGGATCAAAGCACCCGTTTCACGTCATCTGCGAGACTGATATAAGCTTTTCGTAGCTAGTACCGAGGAGACTACTAAGCTGGACTAATCCATCTCGTTTCCTACTATCAGCTGTCGTATTACTCAAAGTTGAGTCAGCTTATAAGGGGTACTACTACTAGCGGTGTCAGTATGAGCTCCGGAGCGCATACCCAGCATCTAGCCAATCCAGGAATGCCACCTGGACCTCCGCCGGGTCCCCCACCCGGCATGCTTCCAGCATCCGGGCCATATTCAGGCAACCCATACGGAGCCGCCAACGCACATAATTCCTCGTCGTACGCTGCTCCTAATTCTGCTTACGCTCCTAATCAGTCGCTTCCCCTTCCGCCTCCGCCTCCTCCGCCCACCAGCGGAGACCTTCCGCTCCCCCCTCCCCCGCCGTTCCCCCCTCCCCCGTCCGGCTCCCACCAGCCGACACCTCCTCCCCCGCCCCCGCCCACGTCCGATCCCCCGTTGCCCCCTCCCCCGCCCTTCCCTCCCGCGCATTCCGCACTTCCGCCTCCCCCGCCTCCCCCATCCGCCCGTGGCACGGGCACTCTCGCCCTTCCACCCCCTTCCGCCCCGCAACCTCCATCCGCGGAGAAGGGGCGACATGCGGGAGGGGATGGGCGGAGAGACAAGCGCGGGGCTGGCGGAGATGCGGGAGACGGAGGGCGGAGAGACAGGCACCAGCATAGTCACCATTCGCAACAGTCACAGCATCACCAGCACCAGCCATCACAACCAGGATCAAATCAGCACAATCAGCAGCACCACCAGCAACAGCACCAACACCAGCAGCAGGGGGAGAAGCACAGGCACTTGGCGCACGCGCAGGCTGGGGGGAAGAGCAGCCACGCGGGCGGGGGAGGTGGGGGAAGCGGGGCGCTGGTCCCCGCACGCGGAAGGGACGCGTCTGGGGGAGCAGCTGGGGGGGGAATCGGCGGAGCAGGGGGAGCAGCAGGCGCAGCAGCAGGGGGGGCTAAGGACGAGAACCGGCTGAAACGGCCGTCGACGTTTCTGTGTAGAGTGAGGTGCGAGGGAGGGGAGTGCGGTTTGATGCGGTAGGAGGGGGTGGAGGGATTATGGGGAAAGGGGCTCTTCACTATCCCCCTCATCCCCCTCTATTCCTCCTTTTCTCCATGTCCTCTTTCCCCACCCACCCACTCTCCTCCACTCATGATCTACCCTCTCCTCAGGTTCACCAACTGCCTGCCCGAGCCAGCATCGCAGCCAAAGCTGCTGCCTCTGGGCGGGGACCCCCACCGATACTCCGCCTACAACGTCTCGACTCTTGAGACGAATCCCCCTCACCACCGACACTGGTTGCCGGATTAATGCCTCCCTCCCCACCCTCTTCCCACGTGTTTCACCCCCCCTTTGATCCCATCAGGTTCACCAACAGCCTGCCAGAGCCAGCGTCATAACCCAAGCTGCTGCCTCTGGGGGGGACCCCCACCGGTACTCCGCCTACCACACTCACTACCTTTCCCCCTTCGCCCCCCTCCTCCTCCCTCTCATCAGGTTCACCAACAGCCTACCAGAGCCAGCGTCGCAGCCAAAGCTGGTGCCTCTAGGGGGAGATCCGCACCGGTACTCCGCCTACCACGTGTCGACTCTGGAGGCGGATCACCGGCACCGCCTGCATGTGGAACCGGATCTGGGGATCCCTCTTGACCTGTTGGACTTGTCCGCCTATTGGTGAGTGATATTTAGATGCAGCAGCATGTATGCACTGCACCCCCACCGGTACTCCGCCTACCATGCGTCCACTCTGGAGGCGGATCACCGGCACCGCCTGCATGTGGAACCGGATTTAGGGATTCCACTTGACCTGCTCGACCTATCCGCCTATCGGAGAGTGATATTTAGATGCAGCAGCATGTATGCACTGCACCCCCACCGGTACTCCGCCTACCATGCGTCCACTCTGGAGGCGGATCACCGGCACCGCCTGCATGTGGAACCGGATCTGGGGATCCCTCTTGACCTGTTGGACTTGTCCGCCTATTGGTGAGTGATATTTAGATGCAGCAGCATGTATGCACTGCACCCCCACCGGTACTCCGCCTACCATGCGTCCACTCTGGAGGCGGATCACCGGCACCGCCTGCATGTGGAACCGGATTTAGGGATTCCACTTGACCTGCTCGACCTATCCGCCTACTGGTAAGCAGTAGGCACAGGCACGTGTGGGGGTATAAGAGCACACATGCATCCCCACCAGTACTCCGCCTACCACGTGTCGAATCTTGAGGCGGATCACCGGCACCGCCTGCACGTGGAGCCGGATTTAGGGATCCCACTTGATTTGCTGGGCCTATCCGCTTACTGGTAAGCAAGCAGTAGGCGCAGGCACGTGTGGGGGGATAAGCACACACGTGGAGGGATCCTCACCTCACCGGAACTCCGCCTACCACGTGTCGACTATTGAGGCGGATTATCGGCACCGCCTGCACGTGGAGCCGGACCTGGGCATCCCCCTTGACCTGCTCGGCCTATCCGCCTACTGGTTAGTCGTTGCAGTCTTGCATTCATCAAACGAGTGCATTCATCACCACTGGTACTCGCCACAGCACCTCTTGAGGCTGAGCACCGGCACCGCCTGCATTTGGAGCCTCTGATTTAGGGATCCCCCTTGACCTGCTCGACTTATCCGCCTACTGGTTAGTCGTTGCAGTCTTGCATTCATCAAACGAGTGCATTCATCACCACTGGTACTCGCCACAGCACCTCTTGAGGCTGAGCACCGGCACCGCCTGCATTTGGAGCCTCTGATTTAGGGATCCCCCTTGACCTGCTCGACTTATCCGCCTACTGGTTAGTCGTTGCAGTCTTGCATTCATCAAACGAGTGCATTCATCACCACTGGTACTCGCCACAGCACCTCTTGAGGCTGAGCACCGGCACCGCCTGCATTTGGAGCCTCTGATTTAGGGATCCCCCTTGACCTGCTCGGCTTATCCGCCTACTGGTTAGTCGTTGCAGTCTTGCATTCATCAAACGAGTGCATTCATCACCACTGGTACTCGCCACAGCACCTCTTGAGGCTGAGCACCGGCACCGCCTGCATTTGGAGCCTCTGATTTAGGGATCCCCCTTGACCTGCTCGGCCTATCCGCCTACTGGTTAGTCGTTGCAGTCTTGCATTCATCAAACGAGTGCATTCATCACCACTGGTACTCGCCACAGCACCTCTTGAGGCTGAGCACCGGCACCGCCTGCACTTGGAGCCTCTGATTTAGGGATCCCCCTTGACCTGCTCGACTTATCCGCCTACTGGTTAGTCGTTGCAGTCTTGCATTCATCAAACGAGTGCATTCATCACCACTGGTACTCGCCACAGCACCTCTTGAGGCTGAGCACCGGCACCGCCTGCATTTGGAGCCTCTGATTTAGGGATCCCCCTTGACCTGCTCGACTTATCCGCCTACTGGTTAGTCGTTGCAGTCTTGCATTCATCAAACGAGTGCATTCATCACCACTGGTACTCGCCACAGCACCTCTTGAGGCTGAGCACCGGCACCGCCTGCATTTGGAGCCTCTGATTTAGGGATCCCCCTTGACCTGCTCGGCCTATCCGCCTACTGGTTAGTCGTTGCAGTCTTGCATTCATCAAACGAGTGCATTCATCACCACTGGTACTCGCCACAGCACCTCTTGAGGCTGAGCACCGGCACCGCCTGCATTTGGAGCCTCTGATTTAGGGATCCCCCTTGACCTGCTCGGCCTATCCGCCTACTGGTTAGTCGTTGCAGTCTTGCATTCATCAAACGAGTGCATTCATCACCACTGGTACTCGCCACAGCACCTCTTGAGGCTGAGCACCGGCACCGCCTGCATTTGGAGCCTCTGATTTAGGCATCCCCCTTGACCTGCTCGGCCTATCCGCCTACTGGTTAGTCGTTGCAGTCTTGCATTCATCAAACGAGTGCATTCATCACCACTGGTACTCGCCACAGCACCTCTTGAGGCTGAGCACCGGCACCGCCTGCATTTGGAGCCTCTGATTTAGGGATCCCCCTTGACCTGCTCGGCCTATCCGCCTACTGGTTAGTCGTTGCAGTCTTGCATTCATCAAACGAGTGCATTCATCACCACTGGTACTCGCCACAGCACCTCTTGAGGCTGAGCACCGGCACCGCCTGCATTTGGAGCCTCTGATTTAGGCATCCCCCTTGACCTGCTCGGCCTATCCGCCTACTGGTTAGTCGTTGCAGTCTTGCATTCATCAAACGAGTGCATTCATCACCACTGGTACTCGCCACAGCACCTCTTGAGGCTGAGCACCGGCACCGCCTGCATTTGGAGCCTCTGATTTAGGGATCCCCCTTGACCTGCTCGGCCTATCCGCCTACTGGTTAGTCGTTGCAGTCTTGCATTCATCAAACGAGTGCATTCATCACCACTGGTACTCGCCACAGCACCTCTTGAGGCTGAGCACCGGCACCGCCTGCATTTGGAGCCTCTGATTTAGGGATCCCCCTTGACCTGCTCGACTTATCCGCCTACTGGTTAGTCGTTGCAGTCTTGCATTCATCAAACGAGTGCATTCATCACCACTGGTACTCGCCACAGCACCTCTTGAGGCTGAGCACCGGCACCGCCTGCATTTGGAGCCTCTGATTTAGGGATCCCCCTTGACCTGCTCGACTTATCCGCCTACTGGTTAGTCGTTGCAGTCTTGCATTCATCAAACGAGTGCATTCATCACCACTGGTACTCGCCACAGCACCTCTTGAGGCTGAGCACCGGCACCGCCTGCATTTGGAGCCTCTGATTTAGGGATCCCCCTTGACCTGCTCGGCCTATCCGCCTACTGGTTAGTCGTTGCAGTCTTGCATTCATCAAACGAGTGCATTCATCACCACTGGTACTCGCCACAGCACCTCTTGAGGCTGAGCACCGGCACCGCCTGCATTTGGAGCCTCTGATTTAGGGATCCCCCTTGACCTGCTCGGCTTATCCGCCTACTGGTTAGTCGTTGCAGTCTTGCATTCATCAAACGAGTGCATTCATCACCACTGGTACTCGCCACAGCACCTCTTGAGGCTGAGCACCGGCACCGCCTGCATTTGGAGCCTCTGATTTAGGGATCCCCCTTGACCTGCTCGGCCTATCCGCCTACTGGTTAGTCGTTGCAGTCTTGCATTCATCAAACGAGTGCATTCATCACCACTGGTACTCGCCACAGCACCTCTTGAGGCTGAGCACCGGCACCGCCTGCATTTGGATCCTCTGATTTAGGGATCCCCCTTGACCTGCTCGGCCTATCCGCCTACTGGTTAGTCGTTGCAGTCTTGCATTCATCAAACGAGTGCATTCATCACCACTGGTACTCGCCACAGCACCTCTTGAGGCTGAGCACCGGCACCGCCTGCATTTGGAGCCTCTGATTTAGGGATCCCCCTTGACCTGCTCGACTTATCCGCCTACTGGTTAGTCGTTGCAGTCTTGCATTCATCAAACGAGTGCATTCATCACCACTGGTACTCGCCACAGCACCTCTTGAGGCTGAGCACCGGCACCGCCTGCATTTGGAGCCTCTGATTTAGGGATCCCCCTTGACCTGCTCGGCTTATCCGCCTACTGGTTAGTCGTTGCAGTCTTGCATTCATCAAACGAGTGCATTCATCACCACTGGTACTCGCCACAGCACCTCTTGAGGCTGAGCACCGGCACCGCCTGCATTTGGAGCCTCTGATTTAGGGATCCCCCTTGACCTGCTCGGCCTATCCGCCTACTGGTTAGTCGTTGCAGTCTTGCATTCATCAAACGAGTGCATTCATCACCACTGGTACTCGCCACAGCACCTCTTGAGGCTGAGCACCGGCACCGCCTGCATTTGGAGCCTCTGATTTAGGGATCCCCCTTGACCTGCTCGGCCTATCCGCCTACTGGTTAGTCGTTGCAGTCTTGCATTCATCAAACGAGTGCATTCATCACCACTGGTACTCGCCACAGCACCTCTTGAGGCTGAGCACCGGCACCGCCTGCATTTGGAGCCTCTGATTTAGGCATCCCCCTTGACCTGCTCGACTTATCCGCCTACTGGTTAGTCGTTGCAGTCTTGCATTCATCAAACGAGTGCATTCATCACCACTGGTACTCGCCACAGCACCTCTTGAGGCTGAGCACCGGCACCGCCTGCATTTGGAGCCTCTGATTTAGGGATCCCCCTTGACCTGCTCGGCCTATCCGCCTACTGGTTAGTCGTTGCAGTCTTGCATTCATCAAACGAGTGCATTCATCACCACTGGTACTCGCCACAGCACCTCTTGAGGCTGAGCACCGGCACCGCCTGCATTTGGAGCCTCTGATTTAGGGATCCCCCTTGACCTGCTCGGCTTATCCGCCTACTGGTTAGTGATTGTAGGCGCAGCCACATGTGTGTGTGTGTGTGTGTGTGTGTGTGTGTGTGTGTGTGTGTGTGTGTGTGTGTGTGTGTGTGTGTGTGTGTGTGTTTGTGTGTGTGTATCACGTATCATGTATGCATGCACACACATCAGTACTCCTCCTACCACGTGTCGACTCCCTCTTGAGGCCGGCCGTCGGCACCGCCTGCACATGGAGCCACACTGCCAAGCCATCTTCTTCTCCTCTGCTTCCCCCTGTCACACCAAACCAATGCCCTTCCCTGTGCCCCGATCCTGCCCCATCCTGCCCCTTCCCCATCCTGCCTTGAAAAAGAAGAAAGAAGGGGGATATGAAGTGGCTCTTCACAGAAGCCAATGCCTCCCCCTCTCTTCCCCCACCCCGCAGCTCTCCGCCCTCCGCCCAGCGCCCACCACTCCACCCAGCAGATGCGGACGACGACGCGAGTGTGAAGCACAGGGAGGGCGCGGGGGCAACAGCAGGGGGGCTAGTGTGAGGCGCCTCTCTCCCTCAACCAACTCCTTGCTCCCTTCCTTCCCCTCTGTGTCTCTCCCCTCTCCCAGCGCCCCGCCCCCTTCTCAGCGCCCACCACTGCACCAAGCAGACGCGGAACTCCTGAGGGACGACGACGCCAGTGTGAAGCACAGGGAGGGCGCGGGTGCAGCAGCAGGGGGGGTCTTTTTGAGTCGCCTCTCTCCCTCAACCAACTCCTTGCTCCCTTCCTTCCCCTCTGTGTCTCTGCCTCCCACCAGCGCCCCGCCCGCTTCTCAGCGCCCACCACTGCACCAAGCAGACGCGGAACTGCTGAGGGACGACGACGCGAGTGTCAAGCAGCAGGTGCTCGCCTGAGCCAACTCTCTCATACAACCAACTCCCTTCCTGCCGCTCTGTGTCTTCCTTCCTTTCCCCCAGCGCCCCGCCCGCTTCTCAGCGCCCACCACTCCACCCAGCAGACGCGGAACTGCTGAGGGACGACGATGCGAGTGTCAAGCACAGGGAGGGCGCGGGGGCAGCAGCAGGAGGAGCGGGTGCGTTGCGAGTGAAGGAGAGGCCTACAGACGCGGGGTTGAGCTGGCTGGTGCACACTCAGTACATCTCTGCCGCTGGCTCTGGCAGTGCGCCCAAGAAGGTGAGTCAATGGCAGGCAGGTGCTGCTGCGTTGAACCTGGGCTGTGTTGGGCCGTGTTAGGCTGACTATTCCCACTGCTCTCATTGCTGTTTTTTTCCCCACCCTTCTCACTCGTGTGTGCCTGTACAGAGGGTGCTTAATGAGAAGGAGGCGAAGCTGCTGGCACTGCAGCTTGAGCTGGCAGACGAACAGATGTATAGTACTAGGTGAGTGTACATATAGATGTATATGTGTAATGTATATATACAATATATTTTTCGGCAGCTAGTGAGTCCAATTGCCCATGCACATGGCTTTCCGTTTCCTTCACCTGCCCTTTCAGTTGGCTCAAGCTGACTTGGAAGATATTTCAGCCTGCCTTGACTCCTTTCCGCCTGCCCCCTTTCTCATCCCATCCAGGGAAGGGCAGATCCGGTACATCGAGGAATCTTTTCAGGCTGCCCGGAAGCCGCCCGTGCACCCGTCGAACCCGAGTCTGCAGGCAGTGGAGGTGTTGCCGGTGCTGCCACTCTTTTCTCTCGCAGGCCGCCAGTTTGTGCACCTCGTGTTTGACGACACGCCTCTGGCTGATTCGCCCGCACATATGCACTTGAAAGAAGAACAGAAGAAGGAGATGGAGGCGCGGGTGAGTGGGCCTCAGGGATTTTCTCCCTTTAGAGTCTGGAGTGGAGTGTTATGGTTCCCTTCATTGAGTCGAACCCAGCCCCGCAGGCAGTGGAGGTGCTGCCGGTGCTGCCACTCTTTTCTCTCGCAGGCCGCCAGTTTGTGCACCTCGTGTTTGACGACACGCCTCTGGCTGATTCGCCCGCACATATGCACTTGAAAGAAGAACAGAAGAAGGAGATGGAGGCGCGGGTGAGTGGGCCTCAGGGATTTTCTCCCTTTAGAGTCTGGAGTGGAGTGTTATGGTTCCCTTCATTGAGTCGAACCCAGCCCCGCAGGCAGTGGAGGTGCTGCCGGTGCTGCCACTCTTTTCTCTCGCAGGCCGCCAGTTTGTGCACCTCGTGTTTGACGACACGCCTCTGGCTGATTCGCCCGCACACATGCACTTGAAAGAAGAACAGAAGAAGGAGATGGAGGCGCGGGTGAGTGGGCCTTGGGGGGTTCTCCCTTATGAGTCTGGACTGGAGTGTGGTTCCCTTCATTGAGTCGAGTCGAACCCGAGCCTGCAGGCAGTGGAGGTGCTGCCGGTGCTGCCACTCTTCTCTCTCGCGGGCCGCCAGTTTGTGCACCTCGTGTTTGACGACACGCCTCTGGCTGACTCGCCCGCCCACATGCACCTCAAGGAGGAGCAGAAGAAAGAAATGGAGGCGCGGGTGAGTGGGTCTGGAAGGGTTTCCCCCTGTAGGTTCTGGTGCAAGGTGGTGGAATGGAATGGGACCGGATCGGATGGGAGGGATTGGGGAAGCCGCCCGTGCACCCGCCAGTGGAGGTGCGGCCGGTGCTGCCGCCAGTTTGAATCTGCATCTGGTGTTTGACAATCTCAAGGGCACGCCTCTGTATCTCAAGGGCACGCCTCTGCACTCCCCTCTCCGTTCTCCCCCTCTCCAGGCGATCGTGAAGAATTTATAAGTGGCAGCACCATGAGGAAGGGGCCTAGTCCTCTTTTGAGTCGACGCAAAAGTCAACTTGCCTCCCTCCCTGCCTCTCCGTCCCTCGCGTTTGCCTCCCCTTTCCCCCCATCCCCAGGCGATAATGAAGAATTTCAAGGTGGCCGCACCAGGAGGAGGGGAGCCGCAGTCATTTGTGGCCTACATGGTTCCCAACAAACGCGAGGTGAGGGATTGAGTGAGATTGAGTGAGGCTGAGCGTTTTGTTCTGCATCGCTAACATGCACCACCTTTCCTTCGTTAACCCTTTTCACTTTTCTCCCTTTCTGAATTCATCGCCCCCCTCCCTGAGTGCAGCTGGGAGGAAGGATGGAGGTGGAGAGTGCACGGTATGACTGCTCCCTTTTATAACCTCCCCATTCTTAACCTCCACACTATCCTACCTTCCATCCCTTTTTTTTCCCCTCTTGTGCCTCAGTTGGGGAGGAAGCTGAGGGAGGGGGAGAGTGCGCGGTATGACTGGGTGCGGGAATACCACTGGAAGGTAAGGAACGTAAACATAGTTTTCGTTATTCTCTCTTTTTTTCCTTTCAAGTTCTGATATAGGCACAGGGCAGGGAACTTCTGTACGTTTGATTCGTTTTCAATACTTCAGTTTCTGAGAGACTATTTGAAGTGTGTGCGGGTTATCTGGTTGGTTTTTTTTTATTCAACAGTAGTCTCCCCTTTAGTGAGAACTGAAGGCTTAATTCTGTAGTCCCCTTGACCCAACCCAACTCCTCGGCACCCCTTCACAGCTCGCTCCACCTGTTTCTCATTCTCACTCTCCCAGGTGGCCAAGGAAGAACAAGGGCGAGGAACCTTTCTGTTCTGTTTCAACAAGGACAGTGTGAATTACCTTGTGAGCCAACTTTTCCAAGCTCTGCGCATGGATGTGGCTGCTATGGAAACATGCTTGTACCCATGCTGCTCATTCCTCTTTTTCACACACTCGGTGCAGAGGTAATCTAGTAAGGGCTCTGCGTATCAAGACAATCCTTCTCTTTCTCACTCCCTCCCTCGTGGATGTGGTAGACACATCTCAGTAAAAAAAGGCTCTCCTTCGGCCCGTCAGTCAACCCTTTTCTTGATCTCTGTCCTCTTATCATGCGTCTGTCCCCCAGCCAATCAACACAAAGCTGACAGTGGCTAAGAGGAAGGCCAAGGAGGGAGGCAAGGCGAAGGGTGAGGAGGGAGAGAGAGTCGAGCTTCCAGTTCCCTCCAAGGTATTGTGTTATGTTTGCCGCCCAGATTTTGTGTCTGCTGCCCAGATTTTGTGTCTGCCGTCCAGATTGCAGAGTGTTTTTGTGACCCATCGAGAGGATATTCGTGCAGTGGAAGCGAATGTGAAGTAGGCTTATTTTGAAAGAATTCCCATCAGCGAGTTTCCCCTTTTTTGCACCTTTTCTGCCCTCACCCTCCCACCCACCCACCAGATCACAGTTTGGAATCGATCAGGGGAAGACGCAGAGGAGGGGGATGAGAGAGGGGAGAGGCGGAGACGTGCAGCGGAAAGAGAGGAGGACGAGGAGGAGGAGGAGGAGCATGAGGGTAGGAGAGAGAGGGGAGCGAGGAGGGGACGGGACGAGGAGGAGGAGGAAGATGAGGAGGAGGAGAGGAAGGAGAAGAGGCGGAGGTATGGTAGTGAGGAGAGAGAGGAGAGGGGAGAGAGAGGGGGGAGGGGGGAGAGGGGTGGTGGTGGGAGAGGGGAAGAAAGTGATGATGAGGGAGATAGGCACAGGAGGCAGCATAGGGCAGACAGTGGCAGCAGTGGTGGTGGTGGTGGGGAAAGGGGTGGAAGGGGTGGTGGTGGGGATGGGGGCAACAGTGAGAGTGAGAGGAGGGGGAGAGGGGAGGAGGATGAGCGAGGAGGGAGGCAAGGAGGGGCGAGATATGAGAGTGATGAGGAGAGAGGGGGAGAGGGAGGTGGAGGGGGAGGAAGAGGTCACAGGCGCGGGATCGTTGAGAGTGATTCTGAGTGATTCTGAGTGATTTGATACTGTTTCAAGCGATTCAGACTGATTCCGCATGATTCAGAGTGGTTCAGAGTGACTTAAAGGAATTCTGAGCCGTTGCCATGGATCCAGAAATTGGACTGCTCTACGGTTGGTGAAGCTTTAGAGGATGCAAGGAAATTATCTTCCAAGGCTGGTGGAGAATTCACAGAAAACGAAAGAGGGAAAGGTGGAGACCGGTGGGTGTAAAACAGGAGATCTTTGGTGGCTGCACTGCAGTGTGGTAACCAGATGGTTAAGACTTGGAGCCAAAACACCTGGAGGGGTGTGGTAACCACCAGAGGGTACTTGATGTGCTGCTGCTGCTGATGAGGAAAGGCCACTGGGTGATCCAACAGCACAGTATTTGTTCCCCTGTGTTGAAGCAAGATGAGATGAGACGAGGTGAGATGAGATACCCTGGAAGGTACACTGAAAGATGGAGTCATGGAATCGCTCTTCTAGAACGGGAATTACTATGATGAGTATGGTAATTCTTCGCAACCCAAATGTGTGTCTCTCGACTGGTACTACACTTTGTTGGTTCTTTGGTCCTTCATGTGGTTACTATGTAGAGTGTACTACGGACCGCTCTTCCTTGCAACTACATGCTCAGATCGAGCCGTTTGATTACAAACATGACTACAGTACTGTTTGTATTGCATTAGGGCGAAGGGTTTCAGAGGCCTGAGGTAAGTATGTCTGATTCTCTTATCATGATCAATGCTTGTCATCACACCCTGCAGGAATGCCTGCCGTTTCAAAATCTACAGAATTACTTAAGAAATATGCTGTCTCAACAGGAATGGCCGTAATTACTGCCATTCCCTTCCCTTTCTATGCTTACATAAACCACCTTATCGACCTCCACGAAACCCACCAAAACCTGGGCCTGCTTTTTGAGCCGGTTTTCGTTCTTTCTTGCCCATGTCAGCACCACCTGCACCAGCAGCAGCAGAGCCAGCAGCAGCAGCAGCGGCGGCACCAGACGACACATTTTTAGGAGCATTACCAGTAGAGGCACCTGTGGGTCTGGCAGAAGAACCTCCCCCAGACCCACCAGATGAACCTCCCCTGGATCCACCTGCAGAAGATGACTGTCCTCTTCCTCCCCCTCCACCACTGCCACTGCCACTGCCACCACCACCACCACCACCACCACCGCCACCACCACCACCCCTGCCGCCGCCAGCAATATGACTACCACTGCCCTCCTGCCCACCCCCTCCTCTTCCGCTTCCCCCTCCCCTTCCCCCTCCTCTTCCTCTCCCCCCTCTTCCCCGCCCTCCCCCACCTCCTCCTCTTCCTCCTCTCCCTCCTCTCCAACCCCTCCCCCCTCCTCCTGCCCCAAATCCTCCCCTTCCTCCACCCCACCCTCCACCACTCGCCCCTACTCCCCCTCCACCTAACCCACCCTCTTCCTCATCCTCCTCCTCCTCGTCCTCTTCCTCCTCCGCTCCTGCTCCCCATGCCGCGCGGTTACCACCTTCCCCTAGCCCATGAATCAGCCCCGCCTCAATCCGCTTCATCTCAGCCGCTTGTGCCGCCGATCCGACGGCCACGGAGCCCTTAATCTTGTAGCTGTAATTCTTGCCGTCCTTCACATAAAACTGGGGTCCTTGGGATTGTTGGGCCTGTGCTTGTGTTTGTCCCAGCTGCTGCTGCTGCTGCTGCTGCTGCCCCTTCAAACCAGCACCACCAGCACCAGCAGCAGCAGCCGCAGCAGCAGCACGTGCAGCAGACCGCGTCCCCACCTCCTCCACCTCACTGCTCCCAGCTCCCCCTGCCACGTCATACCCCTCCAGCTCATCAAACGAGTCGTCATACTCATCGTCATACTCAAACTGCGACTCAAACACAAACCGCTTCACTGCCTCCTGCTCCCGCCTGCTCCCCGTGCCTGCTGCCGAACCTCTCTTCCAAACCTCCTCCTCCACTGACTCATCCTCCCTCTTGCTCCGGACGAACCTGCCAGCAGGAGCAGCAGCAGACGCAGCTGTAGCAGCAGCAGCAGTCGCAGCAGCGGCTGTAGCAGGGGCTGTAGCAGCAGCTGCAGTGGTAGTTCTTGCAACGCCTGCCCACGAGCTTCCACCCCCCCCAACCGCACTGGACCCCTCTCCTCTCAGCTGCCTCTCCACTTCCCTCTGCTGCGCCAATACCCCTCCCCACCCCCCTGCACCGCTCTCATCGTCCTCCTCGTCCTCCTCTCCTCCCTCTGCCACCACTGCTTTACCCTTTCCTTTACCTGCTGCTGTCCCATTAACACCAGCAGCACCACTACCAGCAACACTAACAGCACCAGCAGCACCAACAGCACCAGCAGCAGTTTCCCCCTTACCATCCGCACCAGCCTTCCCAGGCTTGACTTTCAACTGAGTGTCTAACTTAGCTAAGTCCGGGTGTAAATTCCCCTCCAGAACATGCTGAATCACCGCTTCCGCATCCCCCCCGTACGCCTCCAAACACGCACCCACAAACCCCTCCCCGAAATCCGGGAAAATATCCCGCACGAGCGAGATCTTGGATTGTTCAAGAGCTGCTGACTCAGCATCAGCGGAGGAAGAGAGGGAGGGAGTGAGGGAGGGAGTGAGGGAGGGGAAATCTGCCGCTGTTGGGGGGTGGTTGGCTGCTGCAGTGTTGCTGGTAGTGGATGGGTCAGAGGAGGAGGAGGAAGTGAGGAGTGGAGGCAGGGCGATTGGAGGGCCTATGATGTCGGAGATTGTATCAAACTGTGTGTTGTCCAGGGGAAGCTTACCTGCAGGAAAGACGGAAGAGAATAATTCGAAAACAGAAGTGAGGGATGGTGGGAGCGTAATTGGAGGGCCTATAATGTCGGAGATTGTGTCAAACTGTGTGTTGTCGAGGGGAAGCTTGCCTGGGGAACATAAATAGTGCAAAGGAAGGAACACACACAGTGTGAAGGAAGACAGGGGGTTTTAAACAGGGTGATTGGAGGGCCTATGATGTTGGAGATCGTGTCAAACTGTGTGTTGTCGAGGGGAAGCTTGCCTGGGGAATACAAACACACACAGTGTGAAGGAAGACAGGGGGTTTTAAACAGGGTGATTGGAGGGCCTATGATGTTGGAGATCGTGTCAAACTGCGAGTTGTCGAGGGGAAGCTTGCCTGGGGAATACAAACACACACCGTGTGAAGGAAGGAAGACATGGGGTTTTAACAGGCAGGAAGGAACACACACAGTGTGAAGGAGGAAAGGGGGCTATTAGCAGGGTGATTGGAGGGCCTCTGATGTCGAAGATTGTGTCAAACTGTGTGTTGTCAAGGGGAAGCTTGCCTGGGGAAATGGAAGAAAGAAATTAAACAAAAGAATGGGAGAACGTAAGAACAACAGTGAAAAAAAAAAAACAAAACAAAAAAAAACTCCGCAGGACAAAACAAACGCCTTTATAAGCCAAACATCTTGCAGCAACATACGTTCTTGTGCCCACCTTCCAAAAACTGAATCTCACCTTTCATTTTTGCCTACCTACCTTTCACGATTACCCACCTTTCATTTTCTCCTCATAAATTGCTGACCGAAGACCAAAAGAAGCATCAACTGCCCGAAGCAGCGGGATCCACGCCGCACCATCCACATCTTTGCTGCCCGAGCTGCCTGAGCTCACTCCATGCACGGCAAGAATCTCTTCCAACAGCAACTGCCCGAGATTCGTTTTCTGCCCAAGCATCCCGTCCCACAACGGGCACCCGGAATGTTTTCCCCTGCCCGGCTTGACTCCGGAATCACACACAGGACAGGACGGCAAACCATCACTGCCGCTACCACTGTTCCCCCCTCTATTTCTGCTACCCCTGCTCCTGCTATTCCTACCACCACCAGCACCAGCAGCATTATCGCCACCAGTACCACCGCCAGCTGCACCACCAGCAGCAACAGCAGCAGCACGGGCACACCCCCTCCCTTCAAGATAGGAGCTCCAGAGATACTTCCAAGCAACTTCCTCCAGCTTTGTCTGAAGAACCTTCCCCTGAACATTCACCGTTGCTGCTGCTTGCATCAGTGTTCGCTCTGCTGATAACAGAGGGAGAAATGAGTCGTGAATCCGAGCCAAGACAGAGAGAAGCCGTACAGGAGAACTTGCTGCTGCTGCTGCTGCTGCTGCTGCGCCTTGTTTCGCTTTCCTTGTGGGTGTCGTTGCTGTGGTTGCTTGCAGGAGGAGCAGCGGTGCGGGCGGGTAGGCGTCAAAGAGCGCGTCGAGAGAGAAGGCGAAATCACAGAGGTAGTGAAGGGCCTCGAGGATCTCAGTGGAAGGAGAAGGCTTTGATTCTGCTGCGTCTGAAGTTGCCTTGCTGTGCTGCAAGAGACGAATGGGGAGATGAGAAGGAAGAGAGTGTGTGAGTCGAGGGGGAAAGCGAAGTCACAGAGGTAGTGAAGGGCCTCGAGGATCTCAGTGGAAGGAGAAGGCTTTGATTCTGCTGCGTCTGAAGTTGCCTTGCTGTGCTGCAAGAGACGAATGGGGAGATGAGAAGGAAGAGAGTGTGTGAGTCGAGGGGGAAAGCGAAGTCACAGAGGTAGTGAAGGGCCTCGAGGATCTCAGTGGAAGGAGAAGGCTTTGATTCTGCTGCGTCTGAAGTTGCCTTGCTGTGCTGCAAGAGACGAATGGGGAGATGAGAAGGAAGAGAGTGTGTGAGTCGAGGGGGAAAGCGAAGTCACAGAGGTAGTGAAGGGCCTCGAGGATCTCAGTGGAAGGAGAAGGCTTTGATTCTGCTGCGTCTGAAGTTGCCTTGCTGTGCTGCAAGAGACGAATGGGGAGATGAGAAGGAAGAGAGTGTGTGAGTCGAGGGGGAAAGCGAAGTCACAGAGGTAGTGAAGGGCCTCGAGGATCTCAGTGGAAGGAGAAGGGTTTGATTCTGCTGCGTCTGAAGTTGCCTTGCTGTGCTGCAAGAGACGAATGGGGAGATGAGAAGGAAGAGAGTGTGTGAGTCGAGGGGGAAAGTGAAGTCACAGAGGTAGTGAAGGGCCTCGATGATCTCAGAGAAAGGAGCCAGTGTGTGTCTGCTGCGTATAATGATGATGCATCTGCTGGTGATGATGCCTTGCTGTTCTGCAGTAGTGCATCGGGTGAAGAAGAGGAAGGAGTGTCTGCGTCTTTGTTGCCAAAAAAAAAAAAAGAAAAAAAAGAAAAAAAAAACACACACACACAGTACCACCATGTGATCCTTACCCCCTCCATCCGCCAACATGCCCGTGTCACCATCTCCTCAACCTCAACCACCCGCAGCAGCTGCTGCAGAGACGAACAAAGAACCCCCCTTCCCCTTCCTCCCCCCCAATTCACTACTTACCTCTTCCATCTGACCACACGCCCTCGTCACCATCTCTTCAACCACCCGTAGCAGCTGCAGAAGTGACGACGAGAGATCTGCCCGGAAGAGAGGCTGAGAAACCAGCACCCGGCACACCTGGTGGTGGGGAGAGGTGCAATGTCGTGACAGGGGGTGCAGAGCAGTAAGGAATGCATCTACATTGTACCATACAACCCACCTCCACCAACAGTAGCAGCAGAAGAAGAAAACATTGGTGACAGGAAGTTGAAAAACTAAGGGGCGTTGTGGCGATGGGGGGCAACTTCGTAAGCGGTGCAGTGCAGCGAAAGAGGGTGAGTAAGAGGGTGCAATGCGGTGAAGAGGGGTAGGGCAGCATGGTGATATCGACTCACCAGCTGCCGCGTTGCGACTGGGTTGGCCTTCCCAAAGACAGCAGCCACGTCCATGAGCTTGGGCACATCAAAGAGGAGCATGGAGAGAAGCAGGTCTGAGAAGAGGAGTGGTGGAAAGAGGGGGGGAGGAAGAGAAAAAGAGTTGGCCTTCCCAAAGACAGCAGCCACGTCCATGAGCTTGGGCGCATCAAAGAGGCGCATGGAGAGAAGCAGGTCTGAGAAGAGGAGTGGTGGAAAGAGGGGGGGAGGAAGAGAAAAAGAGTTGGCCTTCCCAAAGACAGAAGCCACGTCCATGAGCTTGGGCGCATCAAAGAGACGCATGGAGAGAAGCAGGTCTGAGAAGAGGAGTGGTGGAAAGAGGGGGGGAGGAAGAGAAAAAGAGTTGGCCTTCCCAAAGACAGCAGCCACGTCCATGAGCTTGGGCGCATCAAAGAGACGCATGGAGAGAAGCAGGTCTGAGAAGAGGAGTGGTGGAAAGAGGGGGGGAGGAAGAGAAAAAGAGTTGGCCTTCCCAAAGACAGCAGCCACGTCCATGAGCTTGGGCGCATCAAAGAGACGCATGGAGAGAAGCAGGTCTGCTTGCAGGAAAGAGAGGAGGGACGCGGGCCGAGGGGGGGGGGGGTGGAGAAGGGGACGGAAGGGAAGAGAGTGGGTGAGAGCAACAGTTGCTCTCCCAAAGACAGCAGTGCCAACACTCAAATACGCGCGTAGAGAGAAGGAAGCTCAACAAGTGGCATTGAACAGGTATGGCTTGCACGGGATACGTACGTGCATGGTCCTTGGCTTGAAGCTGCTCTGATGGTTTGGCTCTGGACTCGATATTAGACGACCTGATAGTAGCACACAGGAGAAGAAACAAGATTAATGGAGAGCGGGAACATAGGAGCGCTAACGAGAGGAGGAACCTTTGCAGGAAGACAGTGGTGCGGTGAGAGGGAAGAGGGTTGCATAAGCGTACGGATGGAAATACACTTGCATGGTTCCTCAAATGCTTGTGACATTGGATTCGATTTTTTGAAAATTCTAAAAAAACAACTCACATGCGCAACAGCAGCAGGAACACCAGCCGACACAACTCCTCATCCCCCACCACCACTCCTCTCCCTGTCCCCACACTCCCCTCCCCTCCTCTCCCTCCCCCATCCACTCCATCTACTCCTGATGTTCTTGATTTTCCACCATCGGCGGCGGCGGAGAGAAGGTGGTCAAACCATCGGGAGCGGAAGCGGAGGTAGGAGTCGAGGAAGGCCACAAGTGAGGGCGACCGGGCAACTGGGGCAAACAGGGGGAGGGGGGAAAGTGGAAAATCAAGAAAGAAGTGGGTGAGAGCAGCAGCAGCAGCAGCGGAGAGGAGGAGGTCGAACCATCGGGAGTGACTTCTGAGAAGGTAGGAATCCAAGAAGGCCACGAGCGAAGGCGAGCAGGCAACTGGGATGGGGGGAAACAAAGTGTTAAAGGAGGGGTTGATGTAGGGAAAGGGGAAGGGGGAAAGGGGGAAAGTGGGGAAATGGGAGGAGGAGAGGGGAAAGGGAGAAAGGGGAGAAAGGGGGAACGGAGAGAAAGGGGAAAAGGGGGAAAAGGGAGAAGGGAGAAAGTGGAAACGGGAGAAAGGAGGAAAGGTGGGGAAATGGGAGAAGGCGGAATGGGGTACGCGCATGGGTACAGGATAGGATGCACACACACACTCCCCCTACACAGACCATACTTCCCTCTCCCCCCTTTTAACACCCCTCCCCCCTCCCACACACATACTCACGTACCTGTTTTCCAGAACTGCTTAGCTGGCAATCTCAGCATCTCTCGAAGCCTCTCCACCGTCCGATCAACCATCCTCTGAGTCTCCCCCGAATCCACGCCAGCCAGACCTGCTGCCGAACCTCCCACCAGGCCTCCCTCCGACCCTCCTTCCAAGCCTCCGTTCGAACCCCCGACCAAACCTCCCATCCTGGACACTCCACCTGCCAGGATCTCATCCTGTGGCAGGTATGACAAAAACGGCTCCTGCTCCTCCACTTCAGCTGCTGCTACTACAGCCGTTGATGCTGCAGGCGCTGCTACAGCCGCCGTTGATCCTGTAAAATCACCTGCTGCCATGTTACCTGCTTCACCACTTGCCCTTGCATCCATCGTATCAACTGCTACAGAAGCTGCTGATCCTGCCGTGGCTTCATATGGCCTAGATGCGCCAGCTTGGGGTGGTGCGAATCCGGGAGGGGCTTTTACAGAGGCACCTTGTAACGAGGATGAGCCAAAACCGGGAGGGAACGCGGGAGAGGTGGAAGAGGAGGGTTGGGAGGAAGGAGGACTGAACCCAGGAGGGATTGCAAGGCCCGACGAACCAGCTGTAGCAGCTGGGGCGGCTGTAGCAGCTGTAGCAGCTGAAGCTTCTGCCAAATTGGTCCGTTTCTCAAATCCAGGAGGCACTGAGGGAGCATGTGGGGCAGATCCTAAAATTCCTGCACTGCCCGTTGCACCCATTTGCTGCCCGTGTGCTGAGTGATCAGCCTGCTGCTCTGCTTGTTGCTCCGCCTGCTGCTGGTAATTCATTCCCCCTCGTCCGCCCCCTCCGCCCCATCTTCCGCCAAACCCTCCGCCTCCCCGCCCTTGCCTTCCGCCTCCGCCGTCCCCCCGCCAGCCGCGCTGATCCCCTCCCCCATACCTTCCGCCACTTCCGCCACGCCCCCCTCTCCCTCCGCCACCCCAACCATCCCCGTCGCCCCTTCCGCCTGTTCCCCCTCTGCCTGTCGTCGCGCCGTCGCCCCAACTATCTCCCCCAGAAGCCCCCCCGCCACCCTTCCTTCCGCCTCCCCGTCCTTGCCTTCCCCCTCCGCCGCCGCCTCCCCGCGGGCGCCACTCACGGCCTCCGCCACCCCCCCCTCCGCCTTCCATGTCTCGAGGCGAGCGGGAGGTTGGGAAATAGAATCAATACTGATCGTTATCTGTTAGTATTGACAAGCCAGATGGATGTGACTGTACGCGGATGAAATCGGTGTCCGTAGTTGTGCTTCTAACGAATGTGGAAAGCAGAACTCCCTGAATCACGAATTAGAGCACGACACGTGGTTGGACAACGAATCTGTTCCTCTACCAGCTGTTTCCTCCCTTATCTGCTGTCGTCAAAGTCGCGAAACTTCGCGAATAGATCAGGCACGCGCGAAACACGCGTGCCGCACCCTGCTAGTTAACGGGAGGGACTGCGGAGCGGAAGCCAGGAAAATACCTAATCTGGAGATGATAACACTGCGGGTGCCACGGACACCTAGAAAAGCTTTCCGATTCAGCAGGACCGAATCCTATGTGCTCGGCGCGATTCCCCCCAATCCCGAGGTGAGTTGGTTTGGGAAGCAGTCACGTAATCCCCTAGGCCCCTCGTGCTCAACGAATTCCAGGAAATTCATACTCGCTATACGTTGCACTATGATTCCACCGCCTAATGTGAATTAGGCGATATAAATAGGACATTACATTGGTACTGAATAACTTGGTGACTGAAATAAAAATGAACATTACAGAAAGTAGCGAACCATGGTGCAATACAGCATTACTGCAACAAAAAATGGTGCACTTCACATAACTACACCCCCGTCATCTTGCCATATTGCCAACCATGGCTCTTCCTCTCCACACCTGCCTTTCATCCACCAATCTACCACCATTACCCCCATAACCACCATTGCCATAAGCACCAGGACCATACACCCCATTCCCATACCCTCCATTCCCATAACCCCCAGGAACACCATTCATACCACCTCCGTACCCCTCATAATACCCCTCATCCTCCTCCTCATCCTCCTCGGAATCATACTCGTTATAGTCATCCTCAACATCATCACGCCACCTCTCGGACGGCAGCTCTTCCGGCAGAATGTACCCCGCCGCCTCGGCGTTTCTCAGACCAGTAGCAGTGCAACACGTGGCAAGCCCAAACAAGGCTGAAGCTGCTGACCAGAGGGTTGAGGTTGTAGCAGGAGCAGCAGCAGCTGTAGCAGCCGCTTCTGCTGCAGCAACCTTCCCTGTGCCTGCACCTGCCTTTCCCATAACCCCTCCTCCTTTTCCGGAGGCCGATCGAGACACCATCATCTGCTGCTGTGAGGGATGGAAGGGAGGTTGCTGCTTCCCATTCCTGCTCATCTTCCCCCCTCCTCCTCCCTCTCCTCCTCCCCTTCCGCCCATTCCGCCCATTCCCCCCTTCCCAGGCGCAACCATCGCTCCTCCCTCGCCCTTATACCTCCCGCCTCCCCCTCTCACTCCATTCCCCCGCCGCCCAGCTACCCGTCCATACCCGTCCATCCTCCCAACCACAGGAACTGGACCAGCGAACCGCTGCATCTCATTGGCCGGGAACGGCGCGGCATAATACGGCAGCAGCTGAGGATTCCCCACAGGAGCTCCCACGAACCTGCCACCCTTTCCCCCCACCACTGGCCCATACCCAGGCACAGAACCATAGGCAGGGTGGGGAGGCAGAGGGGCAGGATAGGCGTGACCATACTGCTGTCCGGGGTACATGCCTCCTCCTGGTCCGCCGCCGTGAGCAGCAGCAGAGAGGGCAGCAGAGGTGCGGGCACGAAGCGACTCTAGAGCCTGCTCTAGGGTTGCCATAGCCTGGAGCACGTCCGGGGTCAGAGCAGGCTCGGCAGCACCGGAGCTAGCAGAGCCAGCCACGGGGGTGCCACCTGCCCCAGTCCCACCTGCGCCTGCCAGCGCGGCTGCTGCTGCAAAGGCTGCAGCAATAGCCGGGTCTTGGGATGAGAAGGGCGCGTATGCAGGCGGAACAGGGGGATGAGGGTGCTGGTGGTGCTTCTGCTGGGGGTAAGCAGCAGTGTCTGAGTCTTCCAGGGTAACCAGGAGCTGATCCTCTGCATCCTCAAACACCTCCTCCTCCTCCTCCTCCTCCTCCTCCCTGTCATCCGCACGAGTCACTGTCGCTGTCGCTCCTGCTGGCACAACGGTTGTTTGGTTTGCTGATGCTGCTGATGCAGCTGCCATTGCAGGTCTGTGCGCCTCCCCAGAAGCTGCTCCCTCAACAAACGACGCCGTAGCAACCAACACCTTCTTTTCCTCCTCCACCTCCTCACCTTCCTCTCCCTCCACCCCCGTCTCTCCCAACCCATTCTCACCCATCCCCAATCCTCCGGCCGCCTTTGCCCTGTACTCATCCATAGCTGCCTCAATCCGCCCATACAGCTTCTCCTCCTTCAGAACCTTCCGAAACTCCACCCCCTTCTGCCCCTCATCTGCCAAATCCGTCTCCACCTCCTTCCGAAACAAATTAAACAGCACCCCTCCGAACTCCTTGGTAACGAAGTTCACCACCATCGCTGGGAGCTTCAGATCACAGGTGAAGATCGACCGGAAGTGGCAGCGTGAACGGCCCAGATCTTTGATGGAGAATCCGCCGTTGATGGCCATACGAACCATTCCCGCGGGGACTGGCGGCGCCATGTCGCGGGAGAAACCGTGAATGGACGCGTCGATTTCGCTGTTGTCCTCCGGAAGCTGGGGATGGGAAGGGGGCCGAAGGGGGAGGGGAGTGGGAGGGGGGAGGGGGGGGTTGGGGTAGAGAGAGGGGAAGTGAGTGGGAAGGGTGAGTGAGCTGTGCAGGCGACAAGTCGGGAGAAAACGGCCCAGATCTTTGATGGAGAATCCGCCGTTGATGGCCATGCGGACCATTCCCGAGGGGACTGGCGGCGCCATGTCGCGGGAAAACCCGTGAATGGATGCGTCGATTTCGCTGTTGTCCTCTGGAAGCTGGGGGATGGAAGGGTGAAGAAAGTGGGAGGGTGAGCGAGCTGTGCAGGCGACAAGTCGCAGGTGCGACGCCAGTGTCCCAGTCGTAGATGGTGACGAAGATTATTGCGAACTCACACTCTCGCACACGAACACAGTCCCCGCATGCTACACGCACACACACATTTAGACGCGCACACACTAACCGTGCGGACGACAGTGGTGGCGACGCCCGTGTCCGAGTCGTATATGGTAAAGAAGATCATCGCGAACTCACACTCGCACACACACACAATCTCATTCGCACCCTCGCACACAATCACAGTCACACAGTCACACACAAGCTGTCACACTCAAAGCACTCACCGTGCGGACGACAGTGGTGGCGACGCCCGTGTCCGAGTCATAGATGGTGAAAAATATCATCGCGAATTCCTGCCACGGGAACGGCCACGGCACCTTGAACCTGGAGGCAAGAGAGCAAAAAACGAAAGAGAGGAGAGGAGAGGGAGGACACAGGAGGAGGATTGTCATTAGATTGACGGAAAGGGTAGCGAAGAATTCTTGCTATATTCAAGTCTGAGTAGCCTACCGATACACTCACTTCGTCTAACGAGCTACTTACTTCATGTACGTAATATCGAAGCCGTCGCCGACGCGCGCGAGGTAACGGTTCTCGACGATGCGGTAGACGGGCATGTCGCCCTGCGGCCACCACTCCTTGAAGAACCCCGCGTCGCGCGTCATGGCCACGGCGGCGTGCACGGGGCTGTCGATGCGTCCCTCCATGCACAGCGCGTTTATCGCCGTGCCCTCCGGGCCCTTGCGCAGCATCGCGCGGTGCTCCGGACCCTCCTCGCACATCTGCGGGAGAAGCGCGGACAAGCAGATAGCCATGAATACGGGGTGAACAAAATGCTGAAATCAAACGCATCGCGTTTATTAAGCCGCATTCCAATAATTTCTAGTCATCGCTGAAGGGGCTCGTAAAACGCAAGACGGCACCTTCCACGCATTGCGGTCATCAGGGTCGGTAGTAGCGAGAGCCTCCACGCTGACACTCTTAAGATCCTCCAGGAGCTTAACGGTCTCCGCAGCCCAATAGTCCGCCACGCTGTTGCTCGATCCACCTGCTGCTACAGCAGCTGAGCCGTTTTTCACGTCGAGCTGCTTGCTTATAAGAGCCGTGACTTTATCGAGGTCCTTCCATGTGGGCTCCTCCAGAGCCTGATCGAGGAGGTCGATGCCTTCCGCTAGTGCCATGGCTTGGCTTTCTTTCGTAGTTATGTTAAAACGGCTTCCCTCGCGTCCTACGCTACGGAAAATAAGTTACCGTTATGGGAATACTACGCTGCTCCGAGTCCAGTTTCCGGGTTCAATTTCGCAGTTTGTACAATCGTGAATGAGAATTCGGCCTATTATCGTCCCGACAACGCGGGCTTGGCCTCGTGGCGGGTTAATCCCGCAGCAGCTGACAGACGATGAATGACAAGCTAGCGATAGATCACCTTTGAGAGAGTAGACTACCCTGCAATCAAGACTAGAGGGACTGACTCCCGAAGTTGACGGGTTAGTGATGGTTTGAATGAAACTTGAAGGCACAACTGGGCAAGGTGGATGGTCAATATGATGTTGGATATATCGTCATCGCTACTGGGGGGCATGATGGGGAGGAAGAACCCCTTCAAGCATCGCCTTGTGGGAAAAAAACTGGCGGTGGAGGAACCTGGGAGGCGCGCGGTAACTCCTAGGCCTATTCTCCGCTGTATAGATATTTGGGTGGTGATTCCTAGGTACTTTGCTAAGTGTGATTCTCAAATCCGCCAAACAGCAGAAAGCGGCGGTACCATATGGCTACAAGACTGGGTAGATTCGGGTGGACGACTAGGCTCGAACGAAGGACATCCGGTCAGCACAGCGCGACATACCCGAACCTAGCGTCGTGCGTGAAACACCTATCACAACAAACCTTGATTTCGCTATGTATGGAGACATCGGTGGCGGTGGCGAGGTGTGGTGAGGTGAGGTGAGGCTAGGCGAAGTGGTATGATTCCGAACCGAACGAACCTTCAAACCAAAGAACAAAGGCCTAGCTTTCGCACCGTTAGCCTCGAATCGCGTATTTTTCGCACGCATCGCGAAGTGAACAGTGGTAAAGTTCATGCCACCGCCCTATGAATGCGGAGTACGCGATATGATTAACTTCAGGGGTTATATTTGGTGGTTTCGAACAATGTATATGTTTCCAGTAAGGACCCTTTCAATACAAAATAATTACGAAAACAAAGCACGGGTTCACTGCCTTAGGTAGACAGACCTACCCAATGGCCTATAGGATCTTGCTAGTACGTGAAAATCTCAATCCTAAGAATCTCTTACCGATTCTTGAAAGAGAAACTCTCTTCCCACCTCCATGTTTTGGCTTTCCTGCCTTACCATTTTCTAAGCTTCCAGGGGAAATGAAATCTCTGTCACCCGACTCTCCCGTAACTGCGACAGGCTGAGTGGCAAACTTGTTTGGCCCCACAGAACCGCCCAAGACCGCGTTGTTCCCTGTCTCCCCGTCACCCAGCACCACCTCCTCCTGGAAACCATCTGGCTGTGCAGACGGCGAGCAGCTGAAGGCTCCACTCTTCATCCCATTTGCAGCAGTCATGCTTGTGACCTGCTTCTCATGCTTGGCCTCGCATTGAGAATCCAAAGAACCTGCTTCTGCTGCTGCTGCCGCCGCTCGTGCACGCACGAATAGAATCGCCTTATCCAGTGTAGCAACCGCCCGGAAAATTGCGGGGTCTCTGTGATAAAGCCCGGGGTAACTGCTCGGACTGCTGCTACCGCTGCTGCTCTGGCTGCTGCTGCCGCTGCCACTGGCGCTGTCACCGCAAGCAAAGGAGCTTCGGCTGCTGGTGACACTGTAACTGCTGTTGAGCATATCCGGAATTTCACCTGCCCGAATGTTAGAAATGCCACCATAGCTGCTGCTGCTGGTGCTGCCCGTGACGGTTCGCATGCTTGGAAGCGGCCCCGAACGTACCGAGGAGGACTCCCGAAGCAGGCTTGCCATGCCCTCTCCAGCTTCCAGACCTCCGTGCCGAGCCGAAGGCAGAGGTCCGGAAGAGAAGGTTTGGGTAACGGAGCTGAAGGAAGTGGAAGCACTGGGAGGGCTCTCAGCAGCATGCGCTGCAGCCGAAGCAGCAGCAGCTAGAATCGTTGCAGCAGCGGCAGATGCTTCACTCGCAGCCAATCCGTTCCCAGACCTGCTTCCGGACCTGTCCCTAGCCTGCGAACCGAGAGGTTCGGCGGAAGGCCGAGCCAGCGCTACAGCCGAAGCAGCGGCTGCCTCCAGCTGTAGCAGAGCCACCTCTGCCTCCTCAGGCCCGAGAACACTCTCCCTCTTAGATAAAGACGAAACAAGCCGCTCCACCTCCTCCTCCACCTTCTCCCCCAATTCCCGCATACACCTTCCCTCCTCTTCACTCCCTTCCCTCCTCCTCCTCTCCTCCTCTTCCTCCTTACCCCTTCTGTACTCCTCCATCGCTTTCCTCAAACCCACGTAGACCGGGTCTGAGGCCAAGAGCTGCTGAAACGCCCCGCGCCCCTTCTTCTTGTCACATTTCAGTGATTTCACACCACCGGCTGCAGCAGTAGCAGCTGTGGCTTTAACGATTGTGTCTACCTCGTGGCAGAGCAGGTGGAAACCAGAGCCGGCTAGTTGCCTGGCGACGAAATTGATGAGCCACGGGGGCATGAGGTCGAACTTCATATCCAGCGTGCATGCACCGCTGCGCACGAGGTAAGGGGGAAAGAAGGAGGGGAGGGGGGTTCGGAGAAGAGTGAATGGGGTCGTCGGTGGTATCCCGAGCTGGCAACGAAATTGATGAGCCATGGGGGCATGAGGTCGAACTTCATATCCAGCGTGCATGCACCACGGTGAAGAGGGGGAGAGGTGGGGCGGAGACAGGGGAGAGAGTCCAGTGGCAGGGAGGAGCAAAGTGACTGTTTGTGTTAGGAGAGTGGGGCAAAGTAGGTCAACGTGCAGCACAAGCAGCTGCGGATTGCACTGACAAAGCACAGACACACAGAGCAAAGGTATACCTCCCCAGAGGACGAGCTTACCGGAAGTAGCAGCAGCCGCCCCCGAGGTCCTGCCTTGCAACTTGCGGCGACAAAGAAAGGAAAAAGATCAGAGGCTAGGCGTACCCCTAGAACCTCGCAAGAAATAATCGAGGTCAAGCTTACCGGAAGTAGCAGCGGCCGTTCCCCAGGTCCTGCCCTGCGAATCCACCGCCCACAGTCATGCGCACACAGCCCGGCGCCACAGCCGGCAGGGCGGATGGGTGCAGGGCTGCTGTCTCGAAGAAGGCCAAGAACACATTTCTCCAAAACCCAAGCTTACCGGAAATAGCAGCGGCCGCCCCCCAGGTCCTGCCCTGCAAACCCGCCGCCCACGGTCATGCGCACACAGCCTGGCGCCACCGAGGGCATGGCGGAGGGGTGCAGAGGTGCTGTGTCAAACAAGAGGCGAGGCATACCCCTTGAGCCTCTCCAGGGGCGGAACTTACCGGAAGTAGCACCGGCCATTCCCAAGGTTCTGGCCTGCCGATTGCATAGACAAAGCCAGGAACAACAAGAGCTGAGGCAAGGCATGCCCCTCCAACTTCTCAATTGGCCAAGCTTACCGGAAATAGCAGCGGCCGCCCCCCAGGTCCTGGCCTGCGAATCCGCCGCCCACAGTCATGCGCACACAACCCGACGCCACAGGGGGGATGGCGGAGGGGTGCAGAGGTGCTGTCTCGGGGTCCATGTGTGATATGTCGTCAGGTGGCTGGGGGATTGAAGAGAGGGGGCAGAATGGGAAGGGGGGGGCGAGATGGAAAAGTACTGTGATGCGCACACAGCTGGGCGCTACGGGAGGCACACTGGATGGGTGCAGAGGTGCTGTCTCGGGGTCCATGTGTGATATGTCGTCGGGTGGCTGGGGGGAAGGGGGAGAAGGGAGGGAGAACGGGGGGAATATTGGATGAAGGTACAACCATGCGCACGAAGCCGGGTGCCACGGAAGGGGGGCAGGGCGGAGGGGTGCAGGGCTGCTGTCTCGGGGTCCATTTGTGATATGTCGTCAGGTGGCTGGGGGGAGAGGAAGGGGGGAGTGTGGGAGAGGAAGGGGGTTTGAGTTGAGAGGGTGCAACAGGGGCCGTGAAGGACGGGCGAGTGGAAGGTGGAGGGGGGAGGAGGGTGGGGGTGGGTAAGGAGGCAACTAGTGGGGGGGTTGTGCTGTGCTCTGCAGCGTTAAGGGACTCCCGTGGACTCCCGTACAATGTGCACACTCGTTACCAATCAAACCACTCACCGAGTGCACGCAGGCAACAAAGAGGCCCGTGGCCGTGTCGTGAAGCATGAAGGCGAAGACTAGTGCATGTGCTCGGCTCGGCTGTGCAGCATGAGAGGCAGCTCACTCACCACGTCACGCCCCGCATCACCCATTGGTCGCCCCTACACTCACCGAGTGCACGGAGGCGACAAAGAGGCCGGTGGAAGTGCCGTGAAGCATGAAGGCGAAGGCTAGTGCAGCATGTGAGGTAGCTCACGCACCACGTCACTCCCCGCATCACTCACCGAGAGGACGGAGGCCACTCACTCACCGAGTGCACGGAAGCAACAAAGAGGCCGGTGGCTGTGTCGTGAACCATGAAGGCGAAAAAGAGGAGCTCTCGCGTCGCAAAGGGCCACGGCGACCTGAACCTGTGGGACGGGAGAGGAGTTAAGTGCGAGGGAGTGGGGGGAAGGAGTGGGGGGATCGGAGGCAAGGAGAGGTATGAGCGACGCACAACACACGCGTGGGACGGCAGCTCGCGCGAGGCAAAGGGCCATGGCGCCTTACACAGTGGAGGAAGAGTTGCACAGCTTGATACAGTGGAGTGGGGAAGAGGCGAGGATGAGAGCGCTTCGAGTGCAGGATGAGAGGATTTGAAGGGCGATAAGGCAGTTGCGGAAGTGGCTGGTACAAGTGGTGGAATGACAGAATAATTTACTGAGGCAGTCTCCCCCTCCCCCCCCCATGACTCATTACTCGCTATAGGCATCATCAATATAACTTACTGCAGGTAGCTGAGCTCTAGGCCTGGTGCAATGCGGTGGGCGAATTTGGACTCTAGCACCTTGAAGGGCGGCACGCTGAACTGAGGCCACCTGCACGGGATGACGAGGCATGGGGTGACGTGGCATTCGATGACGTGTCGATGGGTGAGAAATGGATAAGTCGCGGATGGCAATGCCGTTCAACATGTCGTAAAGTGCGTGTGGGAAGGAACGGGAAGGTAAGGAGAGCAGAAAAACTCGGGAGAACCAGGGGAGGGAGGTGAGGGAGAAAAAAGGGGAGAGGGAAGGAAAGGCGGGAGAGGGAACGTGTCTGGAAGGAGGGAGGAGGGGTAGTATGCGAGGAGGGGGGGGGGTGGTTGGAGGAGGGGTTTGCAACAATGGGAGGGGGAAAAAAAATGGAAGGAGAGGAGGAGGGGTTTAAAGATTGAGGAGAAGGTGGCTTGGGTTTCTTACCAGTCCTTGAAAAAGGGGACCTCCCAGACAACAGCCAACACTGCAGCATGACGCAAGGAAGACGCAGACAGTAACGAGAGAGACGATGTCAGGGGCGGACGGGAGGAGAAAATGGGCGGGAAAACCGCACGGATGTCAATCATTTCACACGGAAAATCAGACACGTGCGGAAGAGAGCTGACACGTGGCAGGGTGAGGCGCGTACAGGTGTCAAGAGGGCCGTGAATGATTCCTTCCAGGCAGATCTCGTGCAGCGGCGTGCCCTCCGGACCCTTGCGGTACAGCACGCGATGCTCCTTGCCCTCCTCCTTCAACTGCCAGTCCGAGTTTGGACGAAGAGACACAAGAGGAGGGAATGAATGGTGGTGTAGACGTTGTGGCAGATCTCGTGCAGCTGCGTGCCCTCAGGACCCTTGCGGTACAGCACGCGGTGCTCCTTGCCCTCCTCCTTTAACTGCGAGTCACGAGAAACGCATAGTTTGGGCAAAGAGATGATGGAGTGGGGAACGGTTTAGATGTTTAGGCACATCTCTCCACGCCCTTGCGGTACAGCACGCGGTGCTCCTTGCCCTCCTCCTTCAACTGCGCGATGGCGCAAGGGGGTTGAGGGCGAAGAGAGACGGGAAGGGGGGGGGATGGTTTATCGGCGAAGAGAGACGGGAAGGGGGGGGGATGGTTTATCTGTTAAGGCACATCCCTCCGGTCCCTTGCGGTACAGCACGCGGTGCTCCTTGCCCTCCTCCTTCAACTGCGCGGTATTGAGAAGTAAGTGGCAAAGAGAGGAGGGAGAAACGAGAGAGTTGGTGACCGGGCCGAGCCATCATCTGGCGGTCATCAGCAGCACTGGAGCTCCTTGCCCTCCCTTCGCCCCTTTCTTCCCCCGCGAGTCAAAAGGAACGCAAGCTCAGGCGAAATGACGCTCAGCAAAGGTATCCGCCACTGCTGATCGACGCTTACCCGCCATTGTCGGTCGTCGCCGCAATCCACGCCGTCTTCTCGAATGCTCTCGCTGCTCAGCGCGAGCGACTCGAGATTCGCCTCTCCCGCGGTGCGCAGGCTGTCCAGCACGTCGATTAACTCGCGCGTTCGCGCCTCGACCATTTTCTCCGAGAAGCGCGCGCAACGCGCTGGCTTCCCCGCAGCATCGTCGCCAGCGTTGGAGTTTGGAGCAATGTTCCCCTTATTGGATTCCCCGAGAATGTTGCTGCTTGCGCCGGGAGTGGTGCTGCCATTTTGCTCCTCGCAATCCGCTACTGCGCGAAAGCCATCCGAAAAAATGGACAGGAACGACAAGCAGAGAAAACAGCGGAGAAGAGAGAGAAGAGAGAGAGAAGGCAGAGGGGAAAGGGAGAAGAGAGAGAAGGGGGAAGGGAAGGAAGGGGGCGAACGGGAAAAGGATCAGATGAGGAGGGTACAAGGACTGGGAAAGGAGACAGACACGACACCTTAATGCTATTTGCGAAATGGGACACATGATGGTTACCAGTCTGCACTGGTCGCCTGACTAAAGGAGGGCGACACAAGCTCTCGGGACTAATAATCGCCGTTACTACCCAGTCTCTCGCTGCGCTTACTCAGTACTGGCCAACAAAGTAAACGAATCACGCACAATCTTTTCAAATTTGAAAAACTGACTGACAACGGTTTCTGCGAATCGTTTCGAATCTCTGCTGCAGACTTCCCGTCGCATCCACTCCTCATCGCATTGAACCTGGCATTGAGGTACTCGAAGCGCGGCATCACCTGACCAACTTAACCTGACAATGTTAAGCTACCCGGGCCCGCGATCGTTTCGCCTTGTTCGTTCATCACGCTTTTAGCCAATATTCTCTCCTGTATTTTCCGGGGTGATAGTCGGCATAGGTCGCGCCCGGCAGCACCAGCACCACCAGCAGCAGCGTACATCTCTACCACTAAGAGACTAAATTATGTCTCGAAGTTTGCACGTACCCAGATGCCGCCTGACAGCGGCCGTGACGGCATCGCGATCCGTCCACGCAGGCGACGCGAGCGACCTATCGAGGGCCTGGCGCGCTTCTAAGAACGACATCGGCGACCGTCACGGAAACCTGCTAAGATCTGAGATGCGACTCGGAATCAAATCACGCGCTCCTGCTGCTCACTTTCTAAGTTGCACTGAATTGTCCCGAGAGAAGGAGCTGTTGGTGAAAGGCAGTGGTTGTGAGGTTCAGGAGGAAAATCTAGTGGTGAACCTAAACAGATGACTGCCTGATACAATAAAACGTTTAATCCGGGACGAAGGATCTCGGAGGTCTACAGGCCCAGGGAGTGTAATTTACAGGGTTGGCGAATTTAATTTCTCTGCAGCACAGCTGTGACTTCAGTCGCTGTCCGGGTTGCCAGGTTGAAGGCACTACTAAATCGTACTTCCTGGCAGACACTCGCAGTCGGAAAATATGCTCGCTTCCTTTCTCAGAAACGGAGCATCGCACGCTATTTCGTGGAATCAGTCAACGCGGAGAGTCTCGCAAGGAAGGGAGTCTACCGTAAGGAGAGCCGGAAAATGAAAGAATTTCTTACTGGCGCGAGAGATTTTCAGCTTTGGCTTTGACTGGCAGCGCAACTGCTCCTGCTGCAGTGATATTTCTATAAAGCGGGAATCGACGGAGCAGATTTTCCATACAATATCATCCACGGTCGTCCTCGGCCCACAAATTCATCTGACCCTGGACCGGAACGCGATGACGAGTCACATTGCAACTTTACATGACGGGTGACGGGAGTTGGGATTTGCAAAATGGTTCGGATTTGGACGGAAGGGAATGCATTTACACGACATTTATGCCTGAATGCTGCCGTGCCGACAGGCTTGGTGGAGTCGGGATTTCCGGCGCGAGGTTTGTGGCTGGGCTTTCACAGTTGAAATTGCAGGCAAGGGGGGACATGATGAGATGAGGGTGCTCCATTTTGAAAGTGATCTCGTCCGTGCGATGGTTCCGGCACATTGCCGGTTGAATTTGGTCCGCTAAGAACGACGCGCCAATCGAAACGCATTCTGGCGCCAATCGCGGTTCCTTACACCGATGCCTAGTGAAAATTGCCGAATCGTGGAAGCCAAAAATCAACGCCAACGGTTGGGATTCGCGCTCAAACAAGTACACGCATAAGCATGCTCGATTCATGGAAGAGCTCACTATCCGCATTACAGTTGGATACATGTCTCCACTAAAACAAAGCATATATGCTCGATTCATGGAAGAGCTCACTATCCGCATTACAGTTGGATACATGTCTCCACTAAATCATTAGCAGAGCTGACACATGCTACAAATATTCTGGCATGATATTCCCAAGCTAAACCAAAATGCTTCTTGGCTTGTCGCAACCTTGTCTAACAGTCCAAGTCACACCTGCATATGATGCCTTCACAACTTCCATTCCAGCCTCCACCAAACTGGACCAGACCCAACCCAACCCAACCCCTTATCACACCTCAAACTCGGGCCCATCCGACACTGTCAATCTCATTCCGTGCCTTGCGAAGCAGCTCCAGCCGCTTCCACGCAGCCTGCCTCCGAGCCATCACGTCCGGATCCTCGTCTAGAAGCTTCCCCAGCGCCTTCCCATCCTCCCTGCCCACCATCGCATAGAACTGGTCTAGCAGCCGCCGCTTAGCTTCCCGGACCTGCAAAACAGACAGAAAGGGCAGTAGAGAATAAAAGTTCAACGTCAATCTAGTGTATTCCTGTGTTCCTGCCCATCAAAGGCAAACGGGGGAGACCCTGCTAATCCGACAACGGACCATCCTTTCAAAGAGTGGGCAATCCTACATTACAATGCACGGTCCCACCTGGCAACACCCAATCCTACCTGGCAACACCAATCCTACCTGGCAACACCCAACCCTACCTGGCAACACCAATCCTACCTGGCAACACCCGAACCTACCTGGCAGTGCACCACGGCCTTGGGAATGGAGTTCTGTAAGCACTCCATGACCATGCCCACGTAGGTTGACACATTGGAGCCTGGCGAGTGGGGCGGGGGGTGGGGGAACAGGGATGCGTGAGGGGGGAGGGGGAAAGAGGTGACTTCCAAAATGACTGATAGCATTCTGCAAGCACTCCCTTCAGGAAAAGATGACCATGCCCATGTAGGTTGACACGTTGGCAGGATTGTGAATGGACAGGGGAGAAATAACAAGCAAAACTGTAGGCAGCCTGTCCCCACTTCCCTTCTTCAGCGCTTTGATCTTGCTGCCCACACGCGAAATGATTTTTTTAGAAACACAAACACACTCACCGAGGTTTGTGAAGTGTATCTCAGGAGACTCACCAATTCTCCGGAAGTGCATCTCCTGGTATCGATCTGCCCCTGTAGGCAGCCTGTCTCCACTCCCCTTGAGCGCCTTGATCTTGCTACTCATGCCACTCCCACTGCCCTTCTTCCCATCCTTCCCCTCCTTCCCATCCATCGCCTCGTCAAGATTCTCCAGCCCGGGCAGCCGCCGAAAAAACTCCACGGTCAGATAACTCGTCTCCATCTCCACCAATCGCACGGTCAGCTTGCGGCTGTTCTCCCGAAAACTTTCCAGGGACTGGGTAGCAGCAGCTGAGAGCTCAGCCTGGAGTGAAGGGAACCGGAGCAGCTCGGTGGTCTCCCCTACGGAGATGCGAACGAGGTCTCTGAGAATGAAATGCACCTCGTCCACCACTGCTTCTGCCGGCCCCTTGAACATGAGCAGCGCGCTCTCTATCAGTCGGCGGTAACCGCCTTCTGGGGCGATCAGATGCGGCTGGTACCCGTCTGCCTCCGCCACAATCCGCCTCACATCTGCCGGTTTTATTTCAAAGCAAGGTAGGGGATTGAGGAAAGGATAGAGAGTCTGGAGAACGGAGTTTTCATCAGTACCTGCGTGTGTGTGTGTGGGGGGGGGGGGGGGGGGGGGGGGGGCACGTACGCGCGCGCGCGTGTGGCGCGCATGTTGTGTGTGCGCACAGGTTCATGTGTGTGACTCGGACAAGGGAAGCACGTACTCTGGATGGAGAGGTGCTTGTCGAAGGGAAGCTTGTTGAGTGCTGCTGGCAGCTTCGTCTCAAACACAGCGTTAATCCGATCACCCCCTGGTCGACTGGTGGATGGGAAGAAATTTTTAGAAAGTATTTCCGGGTTATTAAGAAAATTCTTGAGTGCTGCTGGCAGCGTCGTCACAGAAGAGAGGAGCAGGAGAGAAAAGACATTGCCACATCTCCAAGCTCCACATCTCCAGCACCATGTATAGACAAGCCCGCGGCCACACAGTTCCAGCTAAGAAAGGCTGGTTTCGAACCGCAGCAAGCCTGCTGAGAGTATGAATCAATCTATAGATGGGCCCGCGGCCCACACAGTTCCATAGCTCCCAGCCCACAACAGCACGCATCCACCCAACCCCGACCTCTTACCCGCCGTCCAAATGCTCCTTGAATATCTTGTCAAATGCTCGGCACATCTCCAGCACCGTGTACAGCTGGGCCTGGGGCCCTTTCAATGCCTTCGGCCCCAGCCCACCACAGGACACATCCACCCACCATACCCCACATGTGCTTACCCGCCGTCCAAGTGCTCCTTGAATATCTTGTCAAACGCTCGGCACATCTCCAGCACCGTGTACAGCTGGGCCTGCGGGGGGTGAGATGGCAGTTGGGAACGGGAGAGTGGGGGAAGGAGCGGGGGTGGCGGGGTGAGTGGGGTGTTGGAGGATGAAGGGGTTGTATATTCTGTAATTGGCCAGATGAGCACACCACAGGCGAGTTGATTTTTGAGTCGATTTTTGAGTCGACTCAAATATCAACTCGGGGCGGCGGGGTGAGTGGGGTGTTGGGGGATGAAGGAGTTGTTCATTCTGTAATTGGCCAGATGCGCACGCCACAGGCGGAGGACAAGCCGCACCGCACACAGACACACCCTGATTGCACCTTGTGCTACTTATGTGACTCACCCGTGCTTCACCCCCGATGGGCCGGCAACTTTTGAGTCGACTCAAAAGCCGCACCGCACACACACACACCCTAATTGCACCTTGTGCTACTTTTGAGTCGACTCAAAAGTCGACTTTTGAGTCGACTCAAAAGCCGCACCGCACACACACACACCCTAATTGCACCTTGTGATACTTATGTGACTCACCCGTGCTTCACCCCCGATGGGCCGACCCAGCGCGTTCATCTCCTTCTCAAGGTCGTCAATGTTGTTGTTGATGAGAAGGACCAAACACACGCACCTACCTACCCACGCCTGCATGCACACCTACTCCACAACAGCACACCTCTCAGCCCACAAAGCTACTCACCCCGGCTTCGCCACCAATGGGCCGACCCAGTGCGTTCATCTCCTTCTCAAGGTCGTCAATGTTGTTGTTGATGAGCGACTGAATGCCCGGGATCTTGGAGCGAATGACTTGCTCCAGATGCTGCCAGCACAGCGATATGGCATAGGGGCGTGAATGAAACGCAGGGAGGAGGCACGTGAGGGCGAGCATATGAGGGAGAATCTGAGCCTCTGTTGATGAGTGACTGGATGCCTGGGATCTTGGAGCGAATCACTTGCTCCACATGCTAAAAGCACCCCCTGTCCTTGCGCCGGGACGCCAGCCTGTCATCTTTGCTGTCGATGCTGACAGATCTTTGTTCACAGACTCACAAAAAAACACTGCCCATGCGGATTGCAAAATGGGGTTTTGAGGAGTCTGACAAAAATGTATCAAAAAAATGAGGGAGAGCATTACCTTGGAGAGCATTTTCGCAAGATACTCGGTGCCCATGCGGTTGGCCAAGTGGGAGTAGTCAGCAGACGTTTGGAAGTATTCCCGCTCCTTGCGCCGGGAAGCCAGCATGTCCACATTGTGGTTGATACTGCTCTCATGCTCTCCTGCTCTCATGCCCTCCTGCTCTCATGCTGTCACGCTCTCATGCTATCAGCAGGTGAACTGGGAAACCGTACCTTGGAGAGCATCTTCGCAAGGTACTCAGTGCCCATGCGGTTGGCCAAGTGGGAGTAATCCGCGGACGTTTGGAAGTATTCCCTCTCCTTCCGCCGGGATGCCAGCATGTCCACATTGCGGTTGATATCGGCCTGAGAGCGGTTCACCACACCCACCCACGGGTACTTGAGCTTGTACGCGCGCCCCTCTAGTACCTGGAGGCATGTGGGGGGTAAGAGAAGAGGCGGTTCAAGGTGGTCAAAACCACGTGCGCTTTTTGGGGTGCATAAAAACAGAATGGAAACGGGGCAAAAGGACATTGCGATGCGGCAAGGGTAAAGCAGCGAAGAGAACGAGGACGTACGTCAAGCGCGTTGGTGCCCTTGTCCATGAGGTCGAGCTTCGTGAGCACACCCCATGTCCTCTCGCCTGCAGCACACCCATGGAAATTGGGAAAAGGAACCAACATGGGAACAAGCACGATTGAGTTGAGGGAAGGGACCACATACCACGTGGGGTACCACATGGAACCCCGTACACTAAGGAACTCCTCCCTAATCACCCTCAAAGCGCTACTTACCCTCAGGGTCGACCTCTCTGGCCATGCGCATGGCATCCGAGGTGGCAATGTCTTGATTGGCGGGGGATACTGCAAGGATGATGCAGTTGGGCTGTAGGGGCGGGAGGGAAGGGTTGGGTTGAAGGGGGGGTTGGGAAATGGTGGAGATACTATGAAGGTTAATATGTCAAACACACGATACTACACCTCCAATGATAGGCAATGCTGCCAGAATGACACAATTAATCGCTCCTCCACATGACCCCCCCCGACCATACTCCCATTCCCCCTTTGATAATCCTCCCATCCTGGCTCGCAATACTCACTTTCCCCACATTCGCCTTCCCCACACGCACCTTCTCCACATACTGCCGAACCATGTCCTCAATGTCCCGCACAATGCTCTCTGACTGGCCCTCTGCGGTCATTCACGCACACAACCACAGGCACACAAATCGCCACCATCACAGAGACAGACACACACAGGTGAATCATTGTTCAAACTCCAGTGACGCCATCACAGGCACACAACAACACACCAACACAATGCCATATCTCACCCCAAGCCGAATGTTCTGCGACCGTTCAAAGATCAATAAGCTGCCCATAGCAACAAAGTGCTACGAGCAAAATAATGATTCGGGGGGCGGGTAAGAGTGGCGGAGGGAGGGGGGGAGGAAGGTGGGGGGGTTACAATGCAAATGGCTTTCAACCCTGCATTTGCCTGCCACCCAATGTTTCACAGCCAGCCGTGTGGAAATGCTTGACAACTCACCCACGGCAATCTTTGTGAGACCAGGCAGATCCACCAGGGTCAGATTCACCACTGCAGGGACACAGCAACGGGCAGGAGCTCGGTCAGATTTAAAAAAAAGAGGCCTGTGGAAAATCATGGGCTTGCCGCCTTCCTTCTGCTTTCCATTAAAGAGTAGCACCTGGACACGAATGCTTTACTGTGCGGGATTTAATCATTAAATACATCACACATGGATACACATGGGTATAAGGATAAATGCTGAGGTGGTTGCGTACCATTGGGAGAGTAGATGCTGAGATGGATGGGAACAGGCGATATCATCTTGGTCTTCCCAGTGATCCGATCCGTCTCATCTGCAACCTCCTTTCTCACAGCAGCTGCAGAGAAAGATGGAGAAGAGATTGGACCAAAAGAAAAATAAGTCAACGCTTTGATGAGAGACGAGATGGGCAACGCTTTGACGTTTTCACTCACTCACCCCAATCAGTGTACTTCTTGCCCGGCTGGTGCAGGAACTCCGCGTATTCGGATGATGAGTCCACCTTGTGCAGCTGCAGCACCAGTGGCCGCCGGGTGACGATGCCTGCAGCCACCAGCACAGCACAGCACAGCACCACACAGCACCACATACCAAGCACAGCACCACACACAGCACAGCACAGCACAGCACAGCTCATCACCGGACATCGTAAGCGATCACCACACACGACACAGCACACATCACCCCAGTGGACGGTCATGATTACGGCTAACAAGGGCGAGTAAGCCAAGGTAGCGATGACAGAGACAGGGCGAGTGAGCCATCAACAAGGCTTCGACGACAGGGACCAGCACATACGAACACTCTCTAGAAGATCAGTCACAGCGAAACATGACTGAGGCCTTTCTAATACATCCGGACGGAAAAGACAAACCGTAGGCTGCTGCTATGCTGATATACCTGATCCTCGAGGAAGAAAATCCTTCCCCACAATGCTCTCTAGCACCGATGATTTTCCCGAACTCTGCCACGGGATGGAAGCGGGATGGGAGCGGGATGGAATGGAATTAATGGAAAAGCCAAGGCGGAACATTCTGGGAAGCTTTCGTTGCAAGACTCGAGAGTATATGCCTGGGCGAATGTGTGCCGAGAACAGTCTACGGTGAAGCATTATGATAGAATCCCTCTATGGTCGTTTGGAGGCCCTCTTAGTCCCTATGCGAAGCCTCTGATCGAATCCGCTACCGCGACACCCAGTACAACATTGCCATCGGCAGCATCATTCGGCAAACCGCTACACAGTCTACGAGTTGAAGAAGAAGAAGATTTATTATAAAAGATGCACCAGAATATGATCGTGAAGGAGACACATTCATTGAAATGTGATTGTGAACCATGACACTCTGAGTTATGCCTGGCGCAGCTATACTACCGTACAGTCATACTTATAAATCCGAACCCCAATCGTTTGGTATTTAATGCGAACTTATCCACTTCGCCTGACCTCCCACCGCAGCAATCAAAACGACTTTCTAGTCCGGTCAAAGATCACCTCAAATTGAATCTATTCGACGCGCGTAACTATCCGCCTCACCTGACCTCCCACCACAGCCACGGACGGAAGCTGCTCCCAGAGCGTCGGCAGCGCATCTTCAGCGCTCGACACGCCATAGTCCCCTAGCACCGTGCACGCCTGCTGAAGCCGATTCACTAGACCTATCAAATTATCCATGTGTCCTTATTTCCTACAGCCTCGTAAATAGAGAAGGAATAACGCTGTAAGTCCGAGTCGTGGTTCCTGAAAATTGCCGAAGCTAAATAGGTATCGACTCAGAAACAAGACGCTGACTATTTCGTCGGAACAAGAGGGGTTGAAAGCGGAAAATGGAAGAAAATAAGCGTCGAATCCGCTTCAGGGAAACTACACGGAGGACCGACAAGCGAGACGCTGCGCTTATGTCGATCTGCTGCCACGGTGATGGCGAGTGCCGTGTGTGATCTGTACGCACCGCCTCGTAATGATCCTTGCTGTGTGTCCTTCAAATGAAAGTGCCCAGTCCGGTTTCACCCCTCGGGATTTGGTTTCAGCTGATCCCTCCCCATGCTCCTGCTCCTTCTGCCTGCTGAACAGGACCTTGGAGTTGGATGGAACTGGAGGTTCCAGAACAGCGCGGCTGATGAATCACAATTCCTTCCGCCGCACCCCACCGAGATAAAGTCTGCTATCCCGACGCTCTTTTCCGGCTGGGGGCGGACTGTGGTGTGGGGGGAATTTTGGCGCCCCTGTCAGGCTGTTGGCGGGGAGGGATTGGTTCGTCACAATGGCAGTTTCTAGGAGGTTGCTCAATAGACCGATTCCGCCCGCAACAGTAGTAGCAGTCCTGTATCGCGTATGAGTCCGTTTCGGAGAGCAGGATTAGGTTTTCTATAATCGTAAGCATACGTAATTGTTCTCGCCATGCCCTTATGCCAATCCATTTCAACATTCTGCAAGGCATTTTTCCACCCCCAGTGCTAATCGAAGGGTGTCTTTGTTCCGCCAGTGCGCTTCTCCCCCCCTTGCTCCTTGCGCTGTTCCTCCTGCCCAACACTGCCAAACGTGAAATCCCAGATTCCCTCAAAACCCTGTCCAACCGTGCTACTATTTAGCAGTATCGCTTTGCGGCGCAAAACATCTCACCAAACCATACTGGAGGGAATTCTCATGAAACACTCCCACGATCAAGTGCACTTGTATTTCCTAGATTCCATCAGGCGGGTTCAGTCATTCGGCAGAACCGGTGGTAGTAGCTTGTTCAGTGAAAGCTCCCCCCAGGAGTCTGGTTCTGCCAATCCAAGGCTCGTCTGGCATCGCAATAGGGATTTACGTACTTATTGTCTCTCCTTATCGGACACGGTTTCCCGTAATCTCTGTTGTGCTCGTTTGGATTATTCGTTCGACCAAAAGCGTCTCGAACAGACATTCGAGTTCTTCATGCCTCCGATCCAGGCGAGGGCTTTCGGGTGAATCCAGTCCGTCTACTCCTCACGCGCTGTCATTGCAATAGATTCTATTAGACTTCACCGTCGCTCTCAACGATGGACGATCTGATCTCGTTAGGCGAGACGCTTCAGCAGGCGTCGTCAGCGCTCGTCGGCGACGACCTTCCGGACTCCGACGATTCGCGCTCCAGCAGTCCTTCCTCCTCCCCCGTCATCCAGCTCGTCGTGCTTGGCGCTCCGGTCAGTCCCGTTTCAGCGAGTTGAATTCTGAGTCCACGTGACTGTCGAGTCAATGTGATTTTCCAGTCGACTCGACTCTTGAGTTGATTCAAAAGTCTCCACCAGCGCCTCCTCCTCACCCTGATCCAGCTCATCGTGCTCGGTGCTCCGGTCAGTTCCGTGCCTTCGCAGTTAGTTTTCTGCTTTCCCAGTCAGTTTCGTGCCTTCTCAATCAATTCCGCGTCTTGTCGGACAGTTTTGTACTCCACCGCAGGCAGGAAGATTTCATTGTGGTTATTCTCGACATTTCCAGTATATTCGAGCTTCGTTCGCACCATTGCCTTTCCAGAAGCTTCGTTTGTGTCGTGACCTATATGGAAGAGCGTCGCCTGTACCTTTACCCGCATTCAATCGTTGTTGTACTTGATTAGCGTGCGGTATTGGCTCTTATCTAGGCGGCTCGGACGTGCTAATCAGCTGTTGTCTCATGTCACCTCTACAGTACTTTCTCCCCGTATCCCCATTCACCCCCTCGCGCTGCACGTAAACAGTGGGACTCGAATTTGATCGTCTCACCACTCTCCACAAATTCGATCTGTAAACCTGCCATTTTCTTTCCCCACACGCTTACATCTCTGCAGGGTGCCGGAAAATCCGCTGTTCTCAACACTCTCATTGGCCATGCAGTCCTCGTAAGTCACTGCGTTAGAGTGGTCTGTCGACTCAGTCTCCCTGTGTATGCCTCAGCTGTTATGATTCCATTTAGATGTGCCACGTGTCCAGTTCAATCCAAATCAGTTTGATGGTCGTGGCATCTCACACCACCAGCACTGCTTCGTTCCGCCACTGCCTCGAATGTTTACTTCCATTTCTTATGTTCCATTTCATTCTCGTCTCATGTATAGACTCAGTGGATTCGTTTATCCAGCCATTTCCGGTTTCGTCTTCGTGCCCCATTGTAGCCAACTGCTGAGGGTGGAGCTACATGCTTCCCTGTTCTGGTCGACCTACAAGGGGACCCCCACCTGGGAGTAGATATTTTTAACGGCTGAATAAAAAGTTATTGCTGCCTTTGTGCCTCGTTGCAGCCAACGGCTGAGGGCGGAGCTACACGCTTCCCTGTTCTGGTGGACCTACAAAGGGACCCCAACCTGGGGGTAGGCAGCATCCGAGCGAGTCTCGGGCCGCGAGCCAACATGCGGAAACCCTGTGAGTAGTACGACTTTGGTTTCTCTTTGCACACCCTCTTCTCCTCCTCATTTTCATTTTATTATACTGCAAACATGCTGAGTCTGCAGTTCTCTAACTCGGGCCGTTTTTCCTTGTCTCATTTGTGTGCCTTTATTGCTCCGTGTGTGTTTGTGTGCGTGCGTGTGCATGCGTGTGCATGCGTGTGCGTGCTTGTGTGTGTCTGTGCGTGTCTCGTCACCACCAGCGGAGGTGCGGCAGGCGCTGGTAGCAGATATGTCACAGGCCAAGTCCAAGTCAAGGAGCCGCCAGGAGGCACACCTCATCCTCCGCTCGCCAATCGGTCAGTACACAGACTCTTATTATTGCACCATCAAACCATCAAACCATCAAACCAGCGGAGGTGTGTCGAGGGTTGGGGGGTGTCACCATCAAACCAGCGGAGGTGCGGCAGGCGCTGGTGGCAGACATGGCACAGGCCAAGTCCAAGTCCAGGAGCCGCCAGGAGGCACACCTCATCCTCTGCTCGCCAATCGGTCAGTCTCAACTGAGAATTCCATCTTTGCGCTCTCTCTCTCTCCTTGCTCCTCCCTCCCTTTCCTGCCTAGAAGGCCTGCCTGTCTTGGCTCCCCTGTCCTCTCTCTTTTCTTAGGTTATTTTATTTCTTCCACAAGGATGCTGCAATCCCCTTCACAATCTGTATCCGCAATTGTGTTCTCTCGCCTGGCATGCCTGCAATGTGATTGCCCTTGTCGCTCATCCTGAGGTTTGAGCTCTCATCTTTTTTCTTTCCCTCTCCATCATCCCCCCTGCAGCACCGCCAATGCGAGTGGCGGATCTTCCTGGAGTCGAACGGTCGTCAGACCTCGACGGCACAGTGAGTGCCTTTCTGCACTTCATTTCGTTCTCTTTTTTCTCTCTCTCTCTCTTTGGTTAAAGAGACGGAATGATGTTACTCTGTGCATGCTTGGATTGATGAGTCCCCTCTTCTCGTTGCGATCCTTTCACTTCTCTCGTGACCTCGTCTCATTGGCACGTCGCTGCTCGCAGCCCTGGGATTGGGAGCTTTTTTCCCTCCCTTTTCCCTCGAATGACGTCATCACATGTGGTGACGTCATGTGCCAACATATATAGGGGCTACCTTGGATGGGCTGAATTCATTGGCAGCAGCAGCACCCGTTCTGATGATGATCATTACGATCAAGTCAGTCAGTGCTCTTGTGGCTGCTGATGCCAGACTCCCACCCACACTGCACTGCTGCTGTTTCCTTGGTTGGGCTGAACACAGTGCCTGCCATTCCACATCAAATTGCTTGGGAATCCGTCATATTGACCCCTTCTCTCCATGGTCCTTTCTCCCACACCGCCGCCGCCAGCTGCAAGACAACGTGGCGAATCAGGACGCCATCATCCTCGTGGTCATCGCTGCCACGCGTGTCAAGGACTCGCTGAAGCTGCTGCGCCTGGCACATGACATCGACCGCGATGGTAAGGCTGTTTTAGAATTGCATGGCGCTGCTGCTGCTGCTGCTGCTGCTCTCCTCGTGGTCATCGCTGACACGCGCGTCAAGGACTCTCTCAAGCTGCTGCGCCTGGCGCATGACATCGACCGCGATGGTAAGTGGTTTTGTTTGAGCATGAAGGGTGATATCTAGTACTAAGCTTCTGCAGCAGCAGCTGTTTGTTAGCATGGTCAGTTGCATGATCAGTGTGTGTGTTCGTTCGAGCATAGTAAGAGTGTTCTAGCATGTGCTGCTGCTGCTGCTGCTGCTGCTGCTGCTTCCGCGCGCAGCATAGGCGTGATAACGCTGTTTGAGCGGGTGGTATCAGACAAGGCAACCGCCAAGCTCGCTCTAGAGCTCCTCCAGGGGCAGGCCGCGGCGATGGCACAGGACTACTCGTGGGTGCCCATGCTGGGGCGTCCCCTGGGGGACGCGGACACAGCCAGACGTGCCTCCCTTCCCCCTGTCCCCACCCCCCAGGCGCGCGCAGCATAGGAGTGATAACGCAGTTTGATCGGGTAGTAACGGATAAAGCAGCCGCCAAGCTCGCTCTAGAGCTCCTCCAGGGGCAGGCCGCGGCCATGGCTCAGGACTACCCCTGGGTGCCGGTGATGGGGCGTCCCCTGGGGGACGCGGACACAGTCAGACGTGCCTCCCTTCCCCCCACCCCACTTGCCCCGTTCCCCTCCCCCTCTCCCCACCCCCCAGGCGCGCGCAGCATAGGTGTGATAACGCAGTTTGATCGGGTAGTCTCAGACAAGGCAGCCGCAAAGCTGGCATTGGAGCTATTACAGGGGCAGGGCGCGGCCATGGCCCAGGACTACCCGTGGGTGCCTGTGATGGGGCAGCCACTGGGAGACGCGGACACAGCCACATTGCTTCGCTTCCCTTATTCACTCGCCCTTACTCACTCACCCCTTCAAACAACCCCGTCCAACCCCAGGCGCGCGCAGCATAGGAGTGATTACGCAGTTTGATCGGGTAGTAACGGATAAAGCAGCCGCGAAGCTCGCCCTAGACCTATTACAAGGGCAGGCCGCGGCCATGGCTCAGGACTACCCGTGGGTGCCGGTGATGGGGCAGCCCCTGGGGGACGCGGACACGGCCAGACGTGCCTCCCTTCCCCCCACCCCACTTGCCCGTTCCCCTCCCCCTCCCCACCCCCCAGGCGCGCGCAGCATAGGCGTGATAACGCAGTTTGATCGGGTAGTAACGGATAAGGCAGCTGCGAAGCTGGCATTGGAGTTATTACAAGGGCAGGGCGCAGCAATGGCTCAGGACTACCCGTGGGTGCCGGTGCTGGGGCAGCCCCTGGGGGACGCGGACACAGATGTGCCGATGGACGAGGCGTGGGCGGGCGAGCAGAAGGCGCTGGCGAGTGTGATGCGGGCGGTGGGCGTGAAGGGCATGGAGGGGTCCATGGGAAGAGATGCGCTGCTCAGGATGATTGCCCGGACGATGCGGAGGAAGATGAAGGAGAAGATCCCGAGAATCATGGCCGGGTGGGTATTGGGGTGGGTGAATGGGGTACGGCGTGTGAGAAACTGCTGTGGGTTTTGAGGCCTGCGGACACAAGAATGAGAAGGTAGGGGGATTCTGAGGTAGGTGCGTTGGGTGAGTGGGTGGGTAGGCTGGCGCTGGCGAGTGTGATGAGGGCGGTGGGCGTGAAGGGCATGGAGGGGTCCATGGGGCGAGATGCGCTGCTCAGGATGATTGCCCGGACGATGCGCAGGAAGATGAAGGAGAAGATCCCAAGAATTATGGCGGGGTGAGTTCTGGTGGGTCCGGGTGGGTTTGGGTGGATGGGTAGGTGGGTCTATGGGTGGGCTGGATGGGTGGGCGGGGTCCTGGGAGGGCTGTGGGTCCTGGGCCGTGCTGGGGCAGCCCCTGGGGGACGCGGACACGGATGTGCCGATGGACGAGGCGTGGGCGGGCGAGCAGAAGGCGCTGGCGAGTGTGATGCGGGCGGTGGGCGTGAAGGGCATGGAGGGGTCCGTGGGGCGAGATGCGCTGCTCAGGATGATTGCCCGGACGATGCGGAGGAAGATGAAGGAGAAGATCCCGAGAATCATGGCCGGGTGGGTACTGGGGTGGGTGGGGGTGGGTGCTGGGCTGGGTGGGTGGGTGGCTGGGCGGGGTACTGCTAGGGCTGTGGGTTCTGAGGCGTGTTGACACGAGAATGAGAAGGTTAGGGGGTCATGGCAAGGTGCATTGGGGTGGGTGGGTAGGCTTGCTGCTGGCGAGTGTGATGCGGGCGGTGGGCGTGAAGGGCATGGAGGGGTCCATGGGGCGAGACACGCTGCTCAGGATGATTGCCCGGACGATGAGGAGGAAGATGAAGGAGAAGATCCCGCGGATCATGGCCGGGTGGGTATTGGGGTGGGTGTGGCTGGGTGAGGACGGGTGTGGGTGGGTTGGGCTGGGTTGGGTTGTGTGGGATACAGACAGGGAAGGACTGTGGGTGACTTGATTGAGAGTCGACTAGAACGTCAAATTGATTGCCAGGACGATGAGAAGGAAGATGAAGGAGAAGATCCCCAGGATCATGGCCAGGTGGGTGGCTGGGTAGGTGGGGCTGGGTTGGGATGGGTAGGGGAGGAGGGAGACGGGGTTTGGAGGGGGTGTACTGGGTAGGCTGGACTGGAGTAGGTAGGTGGGTGTATTAGTAGCTGGAAAGATTTCCTTTCCTCCCCCAACGCACCACCTGCCCACCCACAGCCCGGAGTCGAGGTCAGTGGACGTGGAATCAGAGCCGTTATCCCACGCCCTGGGCGAGTCTGTCATCCCCCGGCACTGGCTGCTAGCCTGCACTCGTCACCTGCACTGTCTTTGTCCTCCGATTCACTCTCCCAATTCCCCTCCTAGCCCTCCTTGCGTACACACCACCCACAGCCTGGAGTCGCGGTCAGTGGACGTGGAGTCAGAGCTGCTGCACCTGGGAGATTCCCTCATATCCGACCTGCAGGGATCCAGGGCCGAACTGAGTTTTTTTTATTCAAACCCTCTCTTCTGCCCCTCCCTCCACACCACACCATCTACCCACCCACAGCCTGGAGTCGAGGTCAGTGGACGTGGAGTCAGAGCTGCTGCGTCTGGGCGAGTCACTCATATCCGACCTGCAGGGATCCAGGGCCGTGGCTCTGGAGTTGTCCTCTGTTCATTTGCCTATCCGATCGGACCCCCCAACCCCCCCATCCACACCACAGCCTGGAGTCGCGGTCAGTGGACGTGGAGTCAGAGCTGCTGCGTCTGGGCGAGTCACTCATATCCGACCTGCAGGGCTCAGCTTCGTGTCAGTTATTGCTAGTCACACACCTTTATGCCCCTCTCTCCATTTCCTCCCTCACAGCCTGGAGTCGCGGTCAGTGGACGTGGAATCAGAGCTGCTGCGTCTGGGCGAGTCACTCATCTCCGACCTGCAGGGATCCAGGGCCGTGGCTCTGGAGCTGTGCCGGGGGTTTGAGACACGCTTCATTGAACACCTGGACGGCTGTGAGGTGAGTAAGCTGATTTATTCTTCTGGAAAGAAATGAAAAGAAAAGGAGGTTGTTGTTTCTTCTTGCCTTCTTACGCAATTCTTCCACTCATCAATTTTCTGCATTATCCACAGTGTAGCACACATATGTGGTAGGTAAGGCCTTACCTACCACGTACACAGGGTAGGTAAGGCTGATGTTTCCTGAGGTCCATCCGTGATATGGTGGAGTTAATATTTTTTACTGTCGAAATACTTGTGCATGTGCATGTTTGATCATTTCAGGGTGGAGGCTCTCAGATGGTTGAAAAGTTTGTCGGCACACTGCCCCTGCGATTCCGAGGCCTGCCATTGGACGAGATGTTCAACTTTGACAACGTCAAAAAGGTCAGTCAGGCAGGCATGGCAGCATAAGGGGATAAAAGATCTATTCCTTCCTTCCGCTTGTCGCATCTGCCTCCTTTGTTATCCTTACCTGTACTTGCGAGCTTCGCTGAACTTGCTCTGCCCCTCCTTAACCGCTGTCCACCGCTGTCCACTGTTGTTCACCCATCCACCCATCCATCCACCCCAACCCAACAATCCCCCAGGTGGTGGCAGAGGCAGACGGGTACCAGCCGTACGTCATCTCTCCAGAGAAGGGTCTGCGGCTGCTCATCAAGCGCAGCCTCAACCTGGCCAAGCAGCCGGGGCTGGACTGTGTGGACGAGGTGAGTGGGAGGGGGTGTGATGCTGAGAGCAGGGCAGGGTGTGTGGATGAGGTGGGAGTGAGGCTGAGGGTGGGGGAGAGTATGGATGGGCTGATGAAGGGGCTCCGTCTCATCAAGCGCAGCCACAACCTGGCTAAGCAGCCGGGGCTGGACTGTGTGGACGAGGTGAGCGGGGGCCCTGGAGGGATGAAGGTAAAGGCAGAGTGCGTGGATGAGGTGGGGGTTAAGGCCCAGGGCAGAGCAGATTGTGTTGATGAAGGGTCTGCGGCTCTCATCAAGCGCAGCCTCAACCTGGCCAAGCAGCCGGGGCCGGACTGCGTGGATGAGGTGAGGATGGGACCACGGGAAAGTGAAGCTGAAGTTAGAGAGTGTGGATGAGGTGAGGGAGGGTGCCTGGGGTGGGGGGTTGAGGCTTACGACAAATAGTGTGGATGAGGTGAGCTGGGGCCCTGGGGGGGTGAAGCTGAGGGCAGAGTGTGTGATGAGATAGGGGAATGACAAGCCTTACAGACTCAGGCCTCGGCTGCTTCCGCCCCGTCCTCCCCTTGATGGCGTTCTTCGACGTGTCTTCAACTTCCCTATGCCTTTCCAGGTGCACAAGATCCTGTTGGACATTTGTCATTGGAACAGCAGAATTAGGCTTTCTTCCCGTCCTCCCTTTGACCTGTCGGCTACTTATGCCTCCCTCTGCTTTGCCCTCCCTCCCAGGTGCACAAGATTCTGTTGGACATTGTAGTTGCAGCAGCGTCCACAGCTCCCTCGCTAGTCCGCTTCCCTCCCATGAAGAAAGAGGTGCGTTAACATTCATCCCGTACCGTACCATCCCTTGCCATGCCATGCCATGCCATGCCATGCCATGCCATGTCATGTCACTTGTTCATTGCATGCATACCTTCCGCCATCATTATACATGCATTGATACCTTGCTGTCTCTCCCGTCTTTGCCCCGTTTTGCCGAGGCCTTCCTCCCTTGAAAGACAAAAACACCATTTTACATTCCCGCTATCTCTACCTCATGTCGGACCCTCCTTTTTCCACCCTGAAATTTCTCGCCCTGCCCCACTTCAGCTGGTGGCGATAGCATCAGCAGCACTGGACGAGTACAGGGCAGAGGCGAAGGTGATGGTGACGGCACTGGTGGACATGGAGAGGGTCTTCATCCCTGCGACGCACTTCATAGAGGCGGAATACAAACGGCAGGAAACGCTGTTCAAGGAGATGACCACTGCGAGAAAGAATGCATCCAGAGCGGTGAGCAGGAGTGGAGTGCGTTAGGGTTGTGCTGGTGGCAGCGTTGGGACGGTAGGCAGGCAAGGGTTGGAGGGGTCTTCATCCCTGCGACGCACTTCATAGAGGCGGAGTACAAGCGGCAGGAGACGCTGTTCAAAGAGATCACCAACGCGAGGAAGTCTGAAAGCAGAGCGGTGAGAAATGGGCAGTGAGAAATGGAAGAGGGGTAAGGCGTACAGCATGGGAAGGTGGTGCTGGTGGCAGTGGGGTGTTGGCTGGCAAGCAGGCTTCGTTTCATCCCTGCGACGCACTTCATAGAGGCGGAGTACAAACGGCAGGAGACACTGTTCAAGGAGATGAAAGCAGGGTGCATGGGGATAGGAGCTGATGTCTTGTTGGACGAAGGAGGTGTCTTTGACCTCCTGATGTTGCCTCTTCTCCGCTTCCACTCCTCCTTGCCCCCTCTTCTCCCCTTCCCTGCTCTCCTCCTCTCTTACCCACGCAGGGCGAGGGCCTGTTCGGCTCCTTCATATCATCCATGACACGGAAAAAGGACGGCCCATGCCTCGTTTCTTACCATCCTGATATCCCTCTCACCCCCGGTCCTCCCTCTTCTCTCCCTCCTCTCTTCTCCATCAGGGCGAGGGTCAGTGCGGCTCATTCTTGTCCTCCATGGGGCGGAAGAAGGATGCATCGTGCCTTGGTGTAAGGCTCATTGCCTGATGTTCCCTCTCTCCCTCCCTCCTCTCTTCCCCACTCAGGGAGAAGGTCGGTTTGGCTCATTCATGTCATGGGGCGGAAGAAGGATGCATCGTGCCTTGGTGTGGGGATCGTTGCCTGATGTTCCCTCTCTCCCTCCCTTGTCTCTTCCCCACGCAGGGCGAGGGTCGGTTCGGCCCGTTTATGACAAGCATGGGGCAGAAGAAGGATGCCCCACCTCCTGCTGTCCCCCGCCGTTCCGTCCTCGCTCATTACCTCTTCTCTCCCTCCTCTCTTCCCCACACAGGGCGAGGGTCGGTTCGGCTCGTTTGTGTCAAGCATGGGGTGGAAGAAGGATGCCTCGTGCCTTGGTGTGGCTCGCTGCCTGATGTTCCTTCTCCCTGTCCTCACTGACTCCCTCCTCTTTTTTCCACTCAGGTCGAGGGTCGGTTCGGCTCATTCATGTCAGGCATGGGGCGGAAGAAGGAGGCTCCCCCTCCTCCCCCACCATCAGCATCAATCTCCGCTCCTCCCCTCCCTGCTCTCCGCTCTTCCCCACTCAGGGCGAGGGTCGGTCTGGCTCATTCATGTCATCCATGGGGCGGAAGAAGGAAGCTCCCGCTGCTGCTGTCCCTCACTGTTCCTTCCTCGCTCACGCTCTCCTCTTTCCCTCCGCTCTTCCCCACTCAGGGCGAGGGTCGGTTTGGCTCATTCATGTCAGGCATGGGGCGGAAGAAGGAGGCTCCCCCTCCTCCCCCACCATCAGCGTCCTTCTCTGCTGCTGCAACCGCCCCCAGCCAGCCCCAAGAGCCGCTGCGGGAACTTGCAGGTATGCATTTTTTTCTTGTTTGCTATCTGAGAAAGGAAGGCTTGTCCGCACTTGCCATCTTCATCGTTCTTGGCTTCGCTCACCTTGCTCTGGGCTCTTGGGTCAGGCCTTTTGTGGACGGTGAGTGAGTGAGCTCCAAGGGCGGTTAAAGCAAGCAAGCGAACATTGATGACATGCCTGAGGGAGGGGAGCGTTCGTAGGTTCCTGTGGAGGGTGAGCTCGAAGCTCCATCCAAGGGCGGTGGAGCAAGCAAGCAAGCAAGCGTACATTGTTGTAAACTTTTGGGGTTGTCCCTCCTCTCATGTGCTGCAGGGTTCCTGTGGAAGGTTAGCTCTAAGGGCGGGTGGAGCAAGCGATGGTTCGCCCTCAGCGACAAGACTGCCAGGGTGAGTGAGTGAGTGAGTTAGTGAGTGATTGAGTGGGTCTCGGAAGGAACACCCGTTTCTCATCAGCAATTACAATCATGTCCCATTCCATGACCACTTGTCCATCCCTGCTCTCTCTCCATTCTTTTCCTCTCCTGCCCCCACACCCCCTCTCCTCCCCCCACACCCTCCTCTCCTCTGCCTGTGTGCCCTACAGCTGTACTATGTGAAGAAGCCAGATGAAAAGACTCCCAGGGGCGTCATCCCTCTTTTGAGTCGACTCAAATAACCATCCCTCCTTCCCCTTCCGCCTGCACACCTCTCTCTCCTCTGCCTGTGTGCCCTACAGCTGTACTACGTGAAGAAGCCTGATGAAAAGACTCCCAGGGGCGTCATCCCTCTAGAGGTGAGCACCATTCGTCTTTTCAATTGTCACGTCACTCGCTGCCGTGTCTCCAGTCACCTCAAATCATGATTAGCTCCCACCATCAGTGCTGTTTCTTCCAGGGTCAGGGTGTTTGAAGGTAAATTTCCCTAGCCAATGGCTTTCGCCGCCACCTCCCTAGCCTGGATCGTCAACTTGTCTAGGCTAGGGAGGTGGCGGCGAAACCCAGGTGCCATCCGTTCCGATTCTGGGTCTGGTATGTGTCCTTTTTCTTCTCTTTCCTTTGGGTCCTTCTTTTCTTTGCTTCTCTCCGCTTACACTCTTATGTGTGATTCAAGCACCCCACTCTCAAACGGTCCTTTGTACTAAAAGGCAGCAAGGCACAAGCAGGGGAAAGCACTGCATCATTCTTCCCTCCCTTCTCAGGAATCCATCTTTGAATATCATTTGTCTCCAGACCAGATGAGGTGTCATGTCATGTGCATTTTGGAGACAACAACAACACACACCCCTTCCTCCCTCCCTCTCTCTTCCTTACGCTCTCAGGACTGCATAGTGGAGGACAATGTCGCCCCAGAGGAGGTGCCGTCTGCCTCGGACCTCAAGTCTGGAAGCCCCTCCGCGCAGTCGCTGTCGTTCAAAATCAGTAATCGCACCCCCTACAAGACTGTGGTCAAAGGTGAGTATAAAGCATGGTCAAATTTGACTACAGACAACGGTTAAAGCTGGGTTGCTATTGTGTAACAACGAGCTGGTTATTGTCTATATTTGTTTTACTTCTGAGTTTATCAAGAGCAAGATATCGCCAGGTTTAATTGCTTGCATGGCGAGTCGAGGCATTGGCGAAGCCGTACCCGGGCACTTGCATGGCGAGTCGAGGCATCGGCGAAGCCGTACCCGGGCACTTGCATGGCGAGTCGAGGTATGCAGACGCGAAGCGGATTCGAAGCACTTGCTCAAAGAAGAGCCTACGCTGACTTTGATCCCCCTCCACTCGCTTTCTCTTCGTCCCCTCTGTCGCATTCTTAAATCCCCTGTTTCTGTTGCAGTGCACAACGCACTTATTCTCGGAGCTGACAACCCGGCAGAGAGGCAGCAGTGGGTGCAGCGCCTGCGCAGCCACACCAAGGCGTTCAAAGAAGCGCCCTCGCCCCCACCAGAAGCAGCAGGCGGGAGGGAAGCAGGAGACGACTTTGGGGGCTGAATTTGATCCCCCTCCCCTCTCCAACCCTCCCATTCCCCCCTGGCTTCCTGCTTTCTTTCGTTCCCCCACTTCGTTGCAGTGCACAATGCTCTCATTCTCAGAGCTGACAACCCAGCAGAGAAGCAGCAGTGGGTGAAGCGCCTCCGCAGCCACACCAAGGCATTCAAAGAAGCGCCCTCGCCCCCACCAGAAGCAGCAGGCGGGGGGGAAGCAGGGGATGACTCCGGGGGCTGAATTTGATCCCCTTCCCCTCTCCAACCCCCCCATTCCCCCCTGGCTTCCTGCTTTCTTTCGTTCCCTTCTTAATTGCAGTGCACAACGCTCTCATTCTCCGAGCTGAAAACCCAGCAGAGAAGCAGCAGTGGGTTCAACGCCTGCGCAGCCACACCAAGGCTTTCAAAGAAGCGCCCTCGCCCCCACCAGAAGCAGCAGGAGGAGGGGAAGCAGGGGACGATTCCGGGGGCGCGGATGGGGAGCGGAATGAGGGGGAGGGCGGGCCAGAGGGACTTGGGGCGGGGGTTCCCCCTGCGCCTGGGATGCAGGGGGGGCCTGGGGGGGGGAATCAGCGGGTGGTGAGTCCGGAGGAGGAGCTCAAGGCGATGGCGACTGAAGTGCGGCGATACGTGCATGCTGTGCTGGCTCACCTGGCTGATAACATCCCCAAGGTGGGTGCGTGGTGGGAGTAGGGGGGGAAGGGAGGGAAGGGAGGTGCGGGCTTGGGGTAAGTGGTTCGTGAAGCCTGAGCCAGCAGGGGGCGCCCTGAGAGGAGGGGGGGGAGGGGGGGGGAGGCATCTGGGGGGGTTGTATCTAGAGGGGGCAATCAGCGGGTGGTGAGTCCGGAGGAGGAGCTCAAGGCGATGGCGACTGAAGTGCGGCGATACGTGCATGCTGTGCTGGCCCACCTGGCTGATAACATCCCCAAGGTTGGTGGAATGGGACGCTAGAGACCGGGTGTCTAATCAGTGAGTGTGCAAGTGTGGGTCTGGCTGGCAGGGAGGGTGTGAGAGGGAAGTATTGGGTGAAATGAGGCGATACATGCATGCTGTACTGACAACATCCGCAAGGTGGGTGGGGTGTGTGTGGTGTGAGTGAGGTGTGAATGGCTGTGGAAGCAGGCAGGAAACGTCTTCTGAGTGGAGAATTGAGATGGGTGTATGTGAGTGGAGAGGAGAACTATCTTGTGTCACCTTTTGGGTGAAAACACCGTCTCTACACGTGGCTCTCCCCCTTCTGCCCCCTTTTTCTTCCCCCTCAGGCCATCGTGCTGACGCAAGTGGAGAAGGCTAAAGACGCCATGCTTACAAAGCTGTACCAGAAAGTCAGGTACGACGATTTGAGCCGAAACCGGTTACCACCGTTTTTTACGACTGGTGTCCTCTTCCGCCTAAAATTCCATGCTCACAAAGCTGTACCAGAAGTTCAGGTGCGATGATCTGAGCTCTATTATTTGACTGTAGTGAATCGCGGTTGTGTAATTTGAATGCTTTGGTTTGTTTGGATGGAGGCGAAGCCCCTTATGCTGCCTGTGCTTAGGCACTCTCCTTTCCTCCTTCGTGCAGTGAGCTATCGGACGACAGTCTATCGGTTCTCCTCCAGGAGGAGATGGAGAGCAAGGGGAAGAGGGAGCGGTTCAAGCACCTGCAGAATGCCCTGCTGAAGCTGATGCTGAAATAATTGCTCCTCGGGGTGCCTATGCTTGATACTTCCCTCTTTCTTCCTCTTCCTTGCAGTGAACTGTCAGACGACAGTCTATCTGTTCTCCTCCAAGAGGACATGGAGAGCAAGGGGAAGAGGGAGCGGTTCAAGCACCTGCAGAACGCTCTGCTGAAGCTGAAGCGGTCGCTCAGCCTACATGAAGCCAGGGCATCAGCAGAAGAGGAGGCTGGCGCAGGTGAGAGAGAGTGGCAGCGAGTAAGGGTGTGAGTGAGGGAGTGAGAGAGGGAGCGGTTCAAGCACCTGCAGAATGCCCTGCTGAAGCTGAAGCGGTCTTTCAGCCTACATGAGGCGAGGGCGTCCGCAGAAGAGGAGGCTGGCGCAGGTGAGAGAAAGAGTGAGGGAGTGAGTGGGCGAGCGAGTGGGAGTGAGTGAACAAGTGTTGTGTGAGGCGAATGGCTGGCAGGTTGCCTTCAACAAAGACACAGCTTTTAACCTTGCCTGCAGTGCTTCAGTGCAAGAAGAGCACCTCTTGAAACACCACCCTCTTTTTGCATCAGCCTTACACCTCTGTCTTGCCTGACTACCCCATCCCCTCCCCTCCATTACACTCCAGGCGAGAAGGAGAAGGTAGCTGACTGGCGGGCAGCCTTCAACAAGGCAGCACCCGTGGCTCCCGTGCAAGAGGAAGAACAATCCTTCTGAGGCACCTCCCTTGTGCATCACCATTGCACCTTTGCCCTTCCACCCCCCCCCAACCCGCCCCATCCCACCTGCACCAGGCGAGAAGGAGAAGGTGGCTGACTGGCGGGCAGCGTTCAACAAGGCAGCACCCATGGCCCCCGTGCAGGAGGAAGAACAATCCCCCAGATCCTCCGCTCCTGCTCTCTCCCCAACCTCTACCAAGCCTGCCCGAACCTCCTCTGGAACTCCCAAGGGCTCAGGCTCGGGAGGAGCAGGCTCGTCTCCCGCTCCTGCCGCATCCCAATCCGCTGCTTCTGCTGCGGTGGTTTCAGCAGCAGCAGCTGCTGCAGCAGCAGGGAGGAGCAGGAGGAGGAGCAGGAGGAGGAGCAGGAGGAGCAGCAGGAGGAGGGGCAGGAGGGCTAGGGGGGGCAGGATCTGCATCATCCCCGTCCCCATCCATCTCCTACGGCCCTAGAACCAGCGTGAGCATGGCTCCTATGACCACGAGCCCCATGGGAGGCGGCAGTCCCATGGGCAGCACGAGCCTTGGCAGCGCAGGGTATGGTGGCAGTGTGGGCATGAGCAGCAGTGCTGGTGCAGCAGCAGGCTACGGCAGCACTGGGGGGGCGAGGGGGACGCCGCCTATGGCCGGTCCTCCTATGGGAGGAGCTCCTATGGCTGGAGGTGCTCCTATGGGTCAGCCTATGGGGCAGCCTATGGGGCAGCCAATGGGTGTGCCGATTGCGGCTGGACCGCCCCGCAATCCTTCCCCGTTGCGGCAGATGCTAAGTGGTGTGGGCATGGGGAGGAGAATGCCTCCTGCTCCCCCCACCACCGCTGCGCCCACGTACAAGTACCCGTAGCTCTGTGTTTGATTACAAAACCATCATTGCCCGTATGTATACGTAAGCACCTCTGGCTCTTCGCTTAAAAAAGTACGAGAATCTGAGAAACTGCCATTACCAATAGTTTTCCTCTGCTCACCAGCCTGCTACGTCCCATGTGTTGATCTGTGACCTATCTCTAGAGCTTCTCTACTGAGGGCGTGTTCCTACGGCCCCTTATCAGGCCAACCTCTTATCAGGCTCGCGTCACAACACACTGAAATTTCTCTAAACCCAAAAACCTTCGCGAATTTTACCAGGCAAAAATGCGAAGCTGATTTGAGGTGTCCCTGATAAGGGGCCGTAGGAACATGCCCTGAGACTACTTGTTGAACCACTGTTGTCTCGTGCATTTGTAGCTCGCCCAGAATCCACTGGATTTAGTGCAACCCTACTCTGTTGCACACCTTGATTCAGGATAGAGATCACTAGTGTGTTACATTCTTGTTACAACACCGTTTGCCCATTCTGCGAAATTCAGTTTGGACTAGCGAATTCAATCTTTTCGTCATGTTCAAATCCACGGCGCTGCGAAACACAGGAAATCGAACGCGTGCCTCTGACGAACAAAGCGCAGTTGCCAAGCCAAGCCTGTCGTTTCTCAACCTCAAATACTCCCACTACATCCCTCGCCTCGCACAACCGCAATCCGCAGCATCAAATTCTTGTTTCTCCAATAGGCCTGGCAGAAACATTCCTGCTTCTGCTGCCAGTTCACAATGGCCATGCAGTAATAACGTTCCTTTCCAATGCAACGCTGCATGAAGTGCGAATGCATTACTGAGTGATCTGTTTCGCTTGCAGTGTAGCGGCGCCAGAATATGTATCGAAGCTCAAAGACATTTTTGACAAAGCAGAGTTCAGCGACGTCGTGTTTGAGGCCTCAGATGGGACCAGGATCCCTGCACATCGCAGCATTGTCGCCATATGGTACCTATAACTGTCGCAAAAGAACATCGTATTGCGGATCCACATTATCATCGCTTTCTTCTCTTCAGGTCTTCACTGCTGGGAAACAGGTGGAAGAACACTCCAAACAAGAAAAATTCGGTCGTGAAAATAAAGGAGCTGGATGGTTCAACACTGAGGCAGTTTCTGTCGTTCATGTATGGTCATGAAATAACGGTTACGTTGGAGTCCATCAAGGTATGTATGCGAAGCACAGTATTTGTGTTGGATCTTTGCGTGCATTTTACAGTTTGCCACCTTCTACAGAGCGGACTTTCTATACTTGAAGCGGCGCATGAGTATGATGTTCCCGATCTAGTCAAGGTGATGGACCGCAAGTTACACCTGATAATTGATGAGCAGTTCGACGAGAATGATGAGGAAACTTTTTTTGAGGTTCTAAAAGTTGTTGGCCGAGCTGGTGCAAAGGTCACATTTAGAAGGCTTTTTGAGCAATTGGACGAAGAAACTGGTCCTAACTTCTTAAAGGTCTGTGTGCGTTCTCTTCGGGACACCAAGAGTAACACCTTGCACACCTATTTCTCACTTTGCAGTTATTTCCTGCAGAAGTTGTTCATGAGTAAGGATACTCGGGACCATGAGGTGGCATTTAAAGTTGCTACCATGACCTGGACTTACGATTTTGATACTGATTCGGATGATGAATCAGATGATGACGGCGGTGATGAAGTAGATGATGAAGGCGGTGTCAGGACTTGATTGATGAAGCATCATCTATAATGAAGAGGGAGAATGGACTCGGATTTGGCTGCTACCACCTACCGGTACCTGGCTGTCTGTCACAGCTCACATGATTGTCTGCATTTCACACAACATGAAGGCGGGCAATGGTGATACTCGTTTGCTCTATCCTCGCATTCTTTTGAACTTGCTGGCTGATTGGTTTTTGTGTGAGTGAGCCATGATGATGGGAAAGGGCATGAACATGCATGCAGCGTTCAGTTAGTTACTCAAAGTTCCACTCCACTTCAGTTCCATTTAAAATCAAGGAGGAATATGCAAGGCAAGCCACATCAGAATATCCAAGCTGCAAAGCCTCATGTTATGGCATTTATGGTATGGCATGTTATACATCAAGAGTTTTCTGCAAGAATGCCAAATCATGCTAGCGCCCTGTACTTGAGACGTGATGGTTCTTTGTTCCCAAGCCGCCTCCTCCTGTCCTCCTCGTAGTCACTGTACGAGCCTTCAAACCAAACCACCTGCTTCGGAAACGTTCAGGGGTAGGTATAAAAGAATTAACAACAAAGCAGAACAGTGGCTTAATACCATACATGCGCGTGGCTGTTTCTTACACAACATGCATCCTGCACATTGAAACACATTGAGGTATCGGAGTCACGTCTGAAAACTCTGAAGAAACGCACCTTGGAGTCGCCTTCAGAGGCCATGATATGCGTGGCAATGCGATCCAGGAACCAGCGGTCATGAGAGACGACAATCACGCATCCTGCAAACCCCTGAATCACGCCCTCCAGTAAATTCTTGGAGTAACTTTGGAGAATCATCAACAAACGCACCTTGGAGTCGCCTTCAAAGGCCATGATATGCGTAGCAATGCGATCCAGAAACCAGCGGTCGTGAGAGATGACAATCACGCATCCCGCAAAGCCCTGAATCGCGTCCTCCAGCGCCCTCAGAGTATCCACATCCAGGTCATTGGTGGGCTCGTCCAGCATGAGCAGGTTCCCTCCTTGCCGCATGGTGCGCGCCAGGTGCACGCGGTTCCGCTCGCCGCCTGACAGCACGCCCACCTTCTTCTGCTGGTCCGCGCCCTTGAAGTTGTACCACGCGCAGTATGCCCGGCTGTTCACCTTGCGCTCTCCTGGGAAGGTTAGTGGGAGAAGAGAGTGGGGAGGGGAGCTTTGTGACTGTGTAGCGCATGTGTGACTGTACGAGATGCAACTCCACCTTCTTCTGCTGGTCCGCGCCCTTGAAGTTTGTACCACGCGCAGTACACCCGGCTGTTCACCTTGCGCTCGCCTGGGGGTGGTGGGAGGGAGAAAGGGTGGGAGGGAGGGAGAGAGGGGAAGTCAGGCGTGTGACAGTAGCATGTGTGATTGTACCAGGGGGCAGCTATAACCAGTACAGCCCATACACAATATAGCTTGCTCCCATAACAACCCACAACCAACACAACACAACTCCCTTTGTTTCCACCAAATACAAGTCAACATATCACTGCTAAAGGACAAACGAACCTACCCAGAAGGATCTCATCTGCGCCGCCCGTGATCTCCTCAAACACCGTCTTGTTGGGATCCAGCGCGTCGCGCGATTGGTCCACATAGAGGGGCGCCACTGTCTCTCCCACTCGCAGCGTGCCCTCATTGGGGCTGTCCTGCCCCACAATCATGCGGAATAGCGTTGACTTGCCGGCACCGTTGCCACCAATCACCCCCACAATGCCTGGTGGAACAAGGGCAAGGGGCAGGGATGGGTTGGAGGTTAGGGGGGAGGGGGGGAGGGGAGAGCTTGAAAGACTGGCAGCGTGCCCTCATTGGGGCTGACTTGCCCCACGATCATGCGGAACAGCGTTGACTTGCCGGCACCGTTGCCACCAATCACCCCCACAATGCCTGGCGGTGTCAGGGGAAGCAAGGTAGGGACAGGGAGGGAAGAGCTTGTAAGACATGCGGGCTGGCCCCCTTGGGATTATCCTGCCACTGTGCCACATGCGGTGTCATGCCATGTCATACCTCCAGGCAGCAGGGTGAAGTTGACCCCATCCATAAGAACACGCTCCCCAAAGGCCTTGGCACCCCCCTCTGCCTCCAACATCACATCTCCCAGCCACTCCATGCCACATGCCACACCTCCAGGCCACATTGTGGCCGCCACAACACACACACCATCAAATACCGCACACCACCGTTTCATACCTCCAGGTGGCAGGGTGAAGTTGACCCCATCCATGAGAACCCTCTCCCCAAACGCCTTGGCCACCCCCTCCGCCTCCACCACCACATCTCCCAGCCGCGGCCCTGGCGGCAGGAACATGCTCTCCAGCTTTTCTTCCCGCGAGTACTGGCTAGCTTGGATGACAAGTTCCTCATATGCTCGCATGCGCGCCTGTGAAAGATAGGGTGAACGGGCACACGGGCACATGGGCAGGTGAGCATGTGGAAAAGACAGACAAGGCAGGAACATGATCTCGAGCCTCTCCTCCCGCGAGTACTGGCTGGCTTGAATCACCAATTCCTTGTATGCTCGCATGCGCGCCTGTGGGTTTGAGGAAAGACAAGGGAAACGGGCAGGTGAGCTGCGTGAAAGACAGACAAGGCAGGAACATGCTCTCCAGCCTCTCCTCTCGTGAATACTGGCTCGCCTGAATGACCAGATCTTCATACACTCGCATGCGGGTCTGCAGAGGAGGAAAGGGGGAGACGGAGGAGGGGGAGGGGGTTTTGAGGGAAGGGGGAAGGCAGGTACTACTAGTGAGGGTAGCAGGAACATGCTCTCCCTGCGCTCTCTTCCCCGCGAGTACTGGCTTTGACTGAATCACTAACTCTTCATATGCTCGCATTCGTGCCAGGGAAGCGGCAGTGTTGGGTGTTGTAAATGTATCTTATATATACAACATACATAGGCTAGAATAGGTGTAGCTCTTTAAGCTATTGGGGAATTGGGTGTACACTCCAACCACACTTTGTGGTTGGGTCAAGATTTGGTTTGGTCTTGGTCCTTGGTTGGCACTTGCCAACATTTGGTCCTAAGGCCAACCAATCACAAGCTAGCAACATTGTGGGGTTCCCTACTCCACAAGGCAACTCACCCATTGGCCAACTTAGTGGCCAATAGGGTTGCACCTTCTTCCAACCTCTCTTCCTTGCATGCTTGTACTATAGAGCCTCCTTGGCTCATTACTCAACCATTCTTGAATTCTATCATGGTATTCAGAGCCAAATGGCTCACGCCACCTCCCTCGATCCTTAGGCCGTAATTTCCTCTCCGCGTCTTAGATCTAGCCTCCCGCGGCCTCAATCCTCCCTCCCGTACCTCAGATCTAGCTTTCCGCGGCTCAGATCTACTCCTCCGCGGCCTCAATCCTCCCTCCCGTACCTCAGATCTAGCTTTCCGCGGCTCAGATCTACTCCTCCGCGGTCTCAATCCTCCCTCCCGCGGCCACAATCCTCCCTCCCGCGGCCTTAATCCTCCCTCTCGCGGCCTCCGACCGCTCTCCCGCGGCCTCAATCCTCCCTCCCGCCGCCACCCCTCCCTCACGCCTTCCGTCGCGGACGGCCAGCACACCGTCGCGGACGGCCAGAAAGCCGTCGCGGACGGCCAGAAAGCCGTCGCGGACGGCCAGCAAGCCGTCGCGGACGGCCAGCACACCGTCGCGGACGGCCCGCAAGCCGTCGCGGACGGCCAACCAACCGTCGCGGACGGCCAGCAAGCCGTCACGGACGGCCCGCAAGCCGTCGCGGACGGCCAGCAAGCCGTCGCGGACGGCCAGCGCGCGGCCACGAGCACCCCGCGCGTCGACGCGGACGGCCAGCGCGGAGTCGCGGCCGACCTGTGCGCCATCCCGAACGGCCGCCGCGCGATCGCCGACGACCTCCGCGCCGACGCGGACGACCGACGCGGAGCCGCGGCCGACCCTCGCGCTGACGCGGACGGCCGACGCAGAGCCGCGGCCGACCCTCGCGCTCTCACGGGCGGCCGACGCGCTGCCGCGACTGACCTGCGCGACCTCCCCCCTTTCATCCGCGCCCTGCCCCACACTTCCGCGCCATCCTCCCTCTCCCCTACCTCCTCCCCCCCCTACTTCACCCTTAATCGCACCAGCAACAGCACCTAGCAGCGGTACCTTTAACCCTAAATCAGCAGCGCCACCTCCAACGGCACCAGCAGCGGCACCTTCAACGGCACCAGCAGCGGCACCTTCAACGGCACCAGCAGCGGCACCTTCAACGGCACCAGCAGCGGCACCTTCAACGGCACCAGCAGCGGCACCTTCAACGGCACCAGCAGCGGCACCTTCAACGGCACCAGCAGCGGCACCTTCAACGGCACCAGCAGCAGCACCTTCCCGACTTCGCCATCATGGCGTCCGCAGACTCATCGGTCGACCTGGCGACCATTGACTCTCTCGAGTTGTTGGGCGACAACTCGGCCGCCAACTGGCACTCTTATGCCCACTCCGTCGAGGTGTTGCTCTCCTCGGTTGTCGTCATTGGATATACCCTCCGTTCCGTCGTGTTCCAGGAGGAAGGCGGACTCCAGCCCATCGCCCCTTCCGCCCCCACCGGACCTCCTCCTGACGAGCCCGGACCTGAGCCCGAGCCTCCTGGTGATCCTCCCACCTTCGCGCCGGATGTCAACAATCCTCAGAGCATGGAAACTGCCATCCGTACCTACCGCACCGCACTCAACGACCACCTTCGCCGTCAACTGCGCTATGAGGACGACAAGCGCGCCTACGACGAGGCTGCTGCCCGCCACCGCGATTACCAAGCTCGACTCGCCACGTACACTACACGTCTCGCCAGCTACACCACCGACATCGCTGCGTGGCGCATTGCTGACCGTCGAGCTCTCGCCATCCTCCTCGCCACTATCCCCTCCTCCCTCAAACGAGAGCTTTCACCTACCTCCTCCTCCCACCTGTGGCAACTGCTTGTCGACCTCTTTGACCGGCAGGACATCGCCACCCTCTATGCCCTCATCAAGGAATTTGGATCCATCACCATGGATTCCACTGCCGGCGCAGCCGCCTTTACTCGCCGCGTCCTTGACCTTGCTCGCCGCCTTGCAGCACTTGGCGTTACCTACCCTGACACCGTCATCTGCTGCCACCTCCTCGAAGGCCTCACTCCCGCCTTCGATGCCCACAAGCTCGCATACATGCAACTCCTCTCCAAGCATGACACTCCCGCTCAAGTTGCCCAGTGGATTATCACCACTGAGGCTGAAATCCTTCGCCACTCCTCCTCCACTGCCGCGGTAGCACAGCAGCGCAGCGGCAAGGGCGGACGTGGGGGAGGGCGTGGAGGTGGGCGTGGTGGTGGTCGAGGCGGCTCTGGCGGTCGTGGTGGTGCGGGTCGTGGGGCAGCAGCGGCCTTCCCACCCTGTCAGTATCTTCCCCTCTATGGCCCCACCCGAGGCCAACGCTGCAACCAAACCACTCATGCAACTGACACGTGCTTCAAGGCACTCAGCGATGAGTGGTTCGCTCGTGGGAACTCTGGCACCCCTCCTCGCTGGTCCGCCCTTAATCCCCGCCCCACTCCCCTCGATGTTCGCACCTCTCCCCTCTACGCCCCCTCCTCCTCCTCCCAGGCCCACCAGGCCTTTGCTCTCCCCTCTCAGCAGCAGCAGCAGCAGCAGCAGCAGAGTGTCCAGCAGCAGGGACCGCAGCAGTATGGGCAGCAGCTCCAGCAGCTCCAGCAGCAGCTTCAGCAGCTCCAGCAGCAGCTCGACCTCCAGCCCCAACTTCCTCTCCTCCCTCCTCCTCCTGTCCCCCAGCAGCAGCCGTTTCCCAGCTGGACCGCCGGAAATGCCGCCTCTGCGGCCCACCTCTCCGGTCCATCCCCTGCGCCGTCCACAGGTGGCAGTGTGACCCCCTTTCCCTCCTCTGGCTTTGTTGGTCTCCTTAGTCAGCCTCCTTCTGTTGCATCTCCTATGTATGCCCCTGCTATTAATGAAACCTCAATTCAGTATTCCGCCTCACCCTCCTCCACCCTTGAGTTCGTCTTGGACAGTGGAGCCACTGATAATGTCTTTCGAGATGCCGGCAAACTCAATCCTCTTCCCACATCCACGTCCCTCCTTGGCGCTGATAGCAGCTTTTCCATCCCCTGTCACAACACCTCCACCCTTCCCTGTCCTCTCTTTCCCTCAGGTACTGTCACAGGTCTTCACATTCCCTCCCTTCGCACCAACCTCCTCTCCCAAAGGTCCCTCCAACAATCCATGATCACCACTCTCACCCCAGGTGGTGCTAACCATTGTGATCTCTACCACACCTCCACAGGTCGTTTCCTCGCCCGTATTCCTTACTGTCCCCGCACCCGTCTATACACCCTTCGAGTTCCTCGCCCCCTCACCTTCCAAGTTGCCTCCCCTCCCCTCTTCCCCCCCCCCCCTCCCCTCCCCTCCACTAACCCACCCGTCCCCCCCCGCCCCCCTGACTCTGACTGCTCATGTCGCTCCCTCTCCCACCCTGCCATCCTCCTCCATCACAGGCTAGGTCACCCCAACTTCGCCACTCTGCGCTCCTCTGTATCCTCCGGTCTCCTCCACGGTCTCCCCTCTTCCCTCCCTCCCCTCCCAAAGTCCCCTGCCCCCCCTTGCGTCGTCTGTGTTTAGAGCAAGCTCAAGCAGCAGCCGCACCGGAGCTCCCCCTCCGCTGCTGCTCAGCCACTTGATCTTGTTCACATGGACCTCTGGGGCCCTAACCCTTCCCCCACTCGCCAAGGCCATCGCTACCTCCTCGTGCTCGTCGATGACCACAGTCGGTACTCGTCCGTCTCTCTCCTTCGGACGAAGGCGGATGCCCCGACCGCGATCATTGCTTGGCTCGAGCAAGCCAACACCCACTTTGGCCGCCCTGTTCGTCGCCTCCACTCTGATGGTGGTGGTGAGTTCCTTAATACCCAAATTTCCTCCTACTGCCAGTCCCGCGGCGTTCTCCAGACTCACACCCTCCCTTAATCCCCACAGCAGAACGGTGTCGCTGAGAGCCGTGTTCGGGAGATCACCAAAACGGCTCGGTGTCTTCTTGTCCACGCCTCATGCCCCCCTTCTCTGTGGGGCTACGCCCTCCTTCATGCCGCCCTCCTTACTAACCTCTACCCTCACCCCCTCCTCCCCTCCACCACCCCCACTGAGCTATGGACAAAGGACAAACCCGATGTCTCCCCTCTTCGAGTCTGGGGCTCAAAGGCCTATGTCCTCATTCACCCGTCTGACCGATCCCGCTCCCTTGGAAAGCTTGCCCCTCGTACCCTTCCTTGCGTCTTCCTTGGTCATAACCCCTCCTCCCCCGACTACCTTTTCCTCCACCCCCCTTCCGGTCGACTAATTCGCAGCAGAGATGTCGTCTTTGACGAGTCCACCCCGTACTATTCCTCTCCCCCGTCCACTGACCCACTCCCACCTCTGACCCGTCCCCTTGTCTGGTCTGACACCACACCTCCCCCTCTCCTCCCTCCTCCCCCCATCCTCCTACCCCCTCCCCCTCCGCCCTCCCAGTCCCACGGTGCCCCTCCCTCGTCTGGTGACATCTTTGACCCGGACCCTCTATCTTCCCCTGTCTCCCCCGCCCACTCCTCCCCCGGTGCCCCTCCCCCTCCCTCCCAACCACCTCCCTCCCCCACTCCCCGCACCATACTCACCCGGTATCCTCACACCAGGTCATGTGACAGTATCCTTGGTGCACCGCCCCCTGTTACCCTCTCTACCTCTTCCCTTCCCCCTCTTTCTCCCCTCCTTCACCACTTCTTCCAGGCTGTCTTACACCACGCCTCTCCTGCACCAGCCTCCTCGACCACCTCCCCATCCTCGGTAGCAGCACCTCCAGCAGCGGCCATCGCAGCGGCACCAGCAGCGGCAGGTGCAGCAGCAGCAGCGGCACCAGCAGCGGCAAGTGCAGCGGCAGCAGCGGCCTCCACAGCAGCACCAGCAGCGGCACCAGCAGCGGCACGAGCAGCGGCCCCAGCGGTTATCCGCGCCTTCCACACCTCCCTCTCTGAGGACTCCCATGAGGAGTTCCTTGACCTCCACCTTTCCGACCCCTCCCTCCTCCCCATCACCTTTGACCTGTCTGGAACACCAGTCTTCGCCTTTTCCTCTGCTCCCTCCATCTTCGTCCCAACCACGTACGAGGAGGCCATGGCTTGCCCCGACGCCCCGCTCTGGCTTGCCGCCATCATCAAGGAGCTCGAGGCATTTATCGCCAACTCCTCCTTCGTTGATGTCCCTCGCCCTCCCTCCTCTACGAACGTGGTGAAGGGGAAGTGGGTGTTTCGCGTCAAACAGCTACCAGGAGAACCGCCCGTCTACAAGGCCCGGTATTGCGCCAAGGGCTTCACGCAGCGGTATGGTTTTGACTTCTTCGACACCTTCTCCCCCACCGCCAAACCTGCTACCGTTCGCGCTGTACTCGACCTCGCCGCTCGCCTCAACATGGAGATCCACTCGATGGATGTCTCCAACGCCTTCCTGCAAGGCGTACTACGTGAACTCATTTACATGGAGCGCCCAGACGGCTTCCACCTCCCCTTCCCCGCCGACTCCGTCTGGCAGCTTCGTCGACCCGTGTACGGGCTCCGTCAGGCACCCAGGGAGTGGCATGCCAAGCTTGCTGCCACCCTTGCTGAGCTTGGCTTTCGCACCTCCCGCTCTGACGCCAGCCTCTTCCTCCGCACCTCTCCCTCCCCCTTCTACATCCTCGTCTATGTTGACGACATGATCCTCCTCACCGCCGACCTTGCCGAGCTCGAGACTGTCAAGGCGGAGCTGGGCAGCCGTCTCAAGTGCAAAGACCTGGGAGAGCTGCAGAACTACCTCGGCATGACCATCACTCGCGACCGCTCCGCCCGCACCATCTCACTCTCTCAGGGTCACTACCTCCAGCAGGTCTTGGACCGGTTTGACATGGCGCGCGGCAACCCCCAGCCCACTCCCCTCTCGGTTGGGCACCACCTCTCCCCACCCTCCTCTCCCTCTCCCTCCTCCCATCCTTATCCGGAACTCATCGGCTCTCTCATGTACGCCATGGTTTCCACTCGCCCCGATCTTGCCTACCCCATCAGCGTCCTCGCTCGGTTCGTTGGCGCTGGCAAGCACACGGAAGAGCACTGGCAGGCCGCCAAGCGTGTCCTTCGCTACATTCGTGGCACCAAGGACTATGTCCTCACTCTTGGCGGCCCTTCCCCACCACACCTCAACGGCTACAGCGACTCTTCCTGGGCTGATTCTCGACCGGATCGGCGGTCCTCTCAGGGCTATGGCTTCTCCCTCGGCAGCGGTCTCATCAGCTGGCGGTCCACACGCTCCTCTGCCGTCGCCCTCTCCTCCTGCGAAGCAGAGCTCTATGCTGCGACCATGGCCGCGCAAGAAGCACGCTGGCTCACCTTCCTCCTTGATGAGCTCGGAGCCCCCCAACGCTGTCCCACCATCTGGTGTGACAACGCCAGCACCATCCACCTCACCAAGGACGCTGTGTATCATGGGCGCTCAAAACATATTGAGCTTCGCTACTTCTTCATTCGCGATCTCGTTGAGGCCGGCCACATTCGTCTTGGCAAAATCGACTCGGCAGCCAACCTCGCCGACATCTTCACCAAAGCTCTTCCCCAAGCGTCCCACTCCTTCCTGTTGCGTCTCCTTGGGCTCACCCCGCCACCAGTTTTGGCGGCCTCCTGATTACATTTTTTCTAGCCTTATGCATGTTGGGGGGTTGTGTTGTAAATGTATCTTATATATACAACATACATAGGCTAGAATAGGTGTAGCTCTTTAAGCTATTGGGGGGTTGGGTGTACACTCCAACCACACTTTGTGGTTGGGTCAAGATTTGGTTTGGTCTTGGTCCTTGGTTGGCACTTGCCAACATTTGGTCCTAAGGCCAACCAATCACAAGCTAGCAACATTGTGGGGTTCCCTACTCCACAAGGCAACTCACCCATTGGCCAACTTAGTGGCCAATAGGGTTGCACCTTCTTCCAACCTCTCTTCCTTGCATGCTTGTACTATAGAGCCTCCTTGGCTCATTACTCAACCATTCTTGGATTCTATCATTGGGTGGAGGTGGATGTGGGCAGGCGTGAAAGACAGACAGGGAAAACGGGCAAAAAAGACACTCTCTCACGCACTCCTCACCTTGCCCTTCTTCTGCTGCCCCTTGGCCTTCTGTCGGATCCACTCCATCTCCCTCTCCATAACCCGCTGTAGCACTGACTGCTGCCGCTCCTCCCCTGCCAGGCGCTGAGCCTTGTTCTCCAGCCACGCAGAATAGTTGCCCTCAAACGGAATGCCCTGCCCTCGATCCAGCTCCAAAATCCACCCTGCGACCTGGGCGCAAGAGGATAGATTGAGAGAGAATATAAGAATTGTGGTAGTTGCCGCTGTAGCACTGACTGCTGCCGCTCCTCCCCTGCCAGGCGCTGAGCCTTGTTCTCGAGCCACGCCGAGTAGTTGCCCTCAAAGGGAATGCCCTGCCCTCGATCCAGCTCCAAAATCCACCCTGCGACCTGGGGACAAGCAAGGGGAGACAAGGGGGATTACGCAAAAGAGGGGATTTCGGTGATGATGCCATGCCGAGTAGTTGCCCTCAAACGGAATGCCCTGCCCTCGATCCAGCTCCAGAATCCACCCCGCCACCTGGGGACAGGGAGCAAGTGAGAAAAGGGGGGAAAGGGAGGTTGTGGTAAGGGTGAATGCTGGTGCTCCTGCTCCTTCCCTCCCCTGCCAAGCGCTTTGCCTTGTTCTCCAGCCACGCCGAGTAGTTGCCCTCAAACGGAATGCCCTGCCCTCGATCCAGCTCCAGAATCCACCCTGCGACCTGCGTGCATGGGAAGAGGGAGAAAGACAGGGAAAAGAGGGTTGTGGTAAGGGTGAATGTGCCTTGTTCTCGAACCATGCTGAGTAGTTGCCCTCAAACGGAATGCCCTGCCCTCGATCCAGCTCCAGAATCCACCCGGCAACCTGGATAGGGGGAGAAGGGGCGAGTGAGAGAGGGGAGTAGTTTGTGAGGTTGTGGGAAGGGTGACTGGTCCTGCAGCTGCTGATGATGCCACACCTCCCCCACCGAGTAGTTGCCCTCAAAGGGAATGCCCTGCCCGCGATCCAGCTCCAGAATCCACCCCGCCACCTGCGTGCATGGGAAGGGGGAGAAAGAGGGGAAGTAGGGGGTTGTGGTAAGGGTGAATGCTGGTGCTCTTGCTCCTTCCCTCCCCAGCCAGGCGCTGAGCCTTGTTCTCCAGCCACGCCGAGTAGTTGCCCTCAAAGGGAATGCCCTGCCCTCGATCCAGCACCAGAATCCACCCCGCCACCTGCGTGCATGGGAAGGGGGAGAAAAAGGGGGTCGCGGTAAGGGTGAATGCTGCTGCTGCACCTGTTGCTCTGTCCCATTCATGAGTTGCTGGCAGTAAGGGGGAAATCTGGAGCACGCTACCAGTGCCGACTGCTGCTTCTCCTCCACTCCCAGGCGTTGAGCCTCGTTCTCAAGCCACGCCGAGTAGTTGCCCTCAAAGGGAATGCCCTGGCCTCGATCCAGCTCCAGAATCCACCCTGCGACCTGCATACAGGGGAAGTGGGAAAGGCGGAAGAGTGGGGTTGAGGTCAGGGTGAATGCTGCTGCTCCTGCTGATACTCCTGCTCCTGCTCCTGCCGCTCCTCCCCTGCCAGGCGCTGCGCCTTGTTCTCAAGCCACGCCGAGTAGTTGCCCTCAAAGGGAATGCCCTGGCCTCGATCCAGCTCCAGAATCCACCCTGCGACCTGCATACAGGGGAAGTGGGAAAGGCGGAAGAGTGGGGTTGAGGTCAGGGTGAATGCTGCTGCTCCTGCTGATACTCCTGCTCCTGCTCCTGCCGCTCCTCCCCTGCCAGGCGCTGCGCCTTGTTCTCAAGCCACGCCGAGTAGTTGCCCTCAAAGGGAATGCCCTGGCCTCGATCCAGCTCCAGAATCCACCCTGCGACCTGCATACAGGGGAAGTGGGAAAGGCGGAAGAGTGGGGTTGAGGTCAGGGTGAATGCTGCTGCTCCTGCTGATACTCCTGCTCCTGCTCCTGCCGCTCCTCCCCTGCCAGGCGCTGCGCCTTGTTCTCAAGCCACGCCGAGTAGTTGCCCTCAAAGGGAATGCCCTGGCCTCGATCCAGCTCCAGAATCCACCCTGCGACCTGCATACAGGGGAAGTGGGAAAGGCGGAAGAGTGGGGTTGAGGTCAGGGTGAATGCTGCTGCTCCTGCTGATACTCCTGCTCCTGCTCCTGCCGCTCCTCCCCTGCCAGGCGCTGCGCCTTGTTCTCAAGCCACGCAGAGTAGTTGCCCGCAAAGGGAATGCCCTGCCCTCGATCCAGCTCCAGAATCCACCCCGCCACGTGAGCGCAGGGGGAGGGGGAGATCAGAGAGGGGGAAAACATAACAGCATGGGCGGTGGGGAGGGAGGCTGAGTGATGATGATAATGATGATGTGCCGTCGATCCAGCTCAAGAATCCACCCTGCCAGGGGGGGGGAGAAAAGGGAAGGGGAAAAAGGGAGAGAAGAGAGGGAAAACATAACAGCATAGGCGGTGGGGAGGGTGACTAAGTGATAACGACGACCTGCCTGCAGTTCAGCTAAAGATTCCACCCCAGCACCTGGGAAGGACCCATCGCTGACATACATAGTCACACCCTTCACACTCACATTGTCGAGGAAGTATCGGTCGTGGGTGATGGCGACAACAGTCCCCTTGAACTCCGCCAGGTACCGCTCCAGCCACGCCACTGCCTCTACATGCCATCGATCTGGTCAACACTGCATCATCCCATCTACCACCATACCACTGTCACATCACTCAAATCAAACTCACATTGTCGAGGAAGTATCGGTCATGGGTGATGGCGACCACAGTCCCCTTGAACTCAGCCAGGTACCGCTCGAGCCACGCCACTGCCTCCGCAACCCATCAGTGGTGACCCGTACTGTACTATCATGCCACTAAGGAACAATCGATAAACATCCGAACAGGTGTACAAGCCACTCACATTGTCGAGGAAGTATCGGTCGTGAGTGATGGCGACCACGGTCCCCTTGAACTCAGCCAGGTACCGCTCCAGCCACGCCACTGCCTCCGCGTCCAGATGATTGGTGGGCTCGTCCAGAAACAGAATGTCTGGCGCCTGATGGTGGGTGGGAGAGGTATGGGGAGTGTGTGTGGGGGAAGAGGGGGATGGGGTGCAAGAGTGCCTCTTTCCAGCCATGCCACTGCCTCTGCGTCCAGGTGGTTGGTGGGCTCGTCCAGGAAGAGAATGTCGGGCGCCTGTGCATAGGAGCAGTGTGGGGGGTGTCGGAGGCAGAGGAAAAGGCGTGAGCCACGAAAAGGGCCCTGCCAGTCAGCCGCTCGCTCCAGCCACGCCACTGCCTCCGCGTCCAGGTGGTTGGTTGGCTCGTCCAGGAAGAGAATGTCCGGCGCCTGAGGGTGCACCTCTACCATGGGGGTGGGGTACAGAAAGTCTCCTATCTGTCACCCCATGCTACTGCCTCCGCACGAGGTGGGCTCGTGGGCTCGTGGGCTCGTGGGCTCGTCCAGAAACAGAATGTTGGGCACCTGAGGGGATCGAAGGGGAGGGGGTTGAGATAGAACAAGCAGGAGAGCAGAAAAGAACGTCAATTCTCACAAGAGGGGATCGAAGGGGAGGGGGTGCGTTACAAAACGAACGCTGTTGGCGGGTCCATTCAGCCAATAACTGGGGCGGGGGAGGGAAGAGGGGAGGGTGAGTGGTCGCTCCTCTCGTGTATCCCTGTGGCAGGAAAGAAACAGAAGATATTACCTCCTGTTGGAAAACAGAACTCCCTACTTTTCACCTGTTTCCTTCCACCATTTCCCCATTTCCCCCCACTTCCGCCCTCACCTGCAACAGCAGCCGGCACAGGGCCACGCCCCTCCTCTCTCCGCCACTCAGATTCGCCAAAGAAGGATGCTTGTGTATCAGCAAGATACAAAACGGCCCTGACTTTCGAAGTAACGACAACAACCCCTCCTCACCTGCAGCAGCAGCCGGCACAGGGCCACGCGCCTCCTTTCTCCGCCACCCAGATTCAATAAACAAGGGACTTTCTGTAACAAGCATGGAATCAAATTAGATCCCCCCTCGACACCTCCCACCCCCCTCCCCTCTCACCTGCAGCAGCAGCCGGCACAGTGCCACGCGCCTCCTCTCTCCACCACTCAGGTTCGCCACGGGGGCCTCACCGGGAGGGCAGCGCAGCGCATCCATGGCTCTCTGAGGGGAGGAGAGGTAGAGGGTAGAGGGGGGTGGAGAGCGGTGCAAGTGGATGAGAAGCAGCAGCACTCAGATTGGCCACAGGGGCCTCACCGGGAGGGCAGCGCAGCGCGTCCATGGCTCTCTGAGGGGAGGGGAGGTAGAGAGGTGGGTGGAGAGGGGTACAAGACGATTCAATGGAGAGCAGGGATCAGGGCAGGGGGACTGGTGAAGCAGCAATACTCAGATTTGCCACACAACCCTCCCCAGGGGAGGGGGCAGCGCAGCACATCCATGGCTCTCTGAGTGGAGGGCAGGCGGGGAGGTAGAGGGGGGTGGGGAGCGGTGCAAGTGAAACTGAGAAGCAGCAATACTCAGATTTGCCAGAGGGCCCTGGAGCTTTCTACTAGAGTGGGAAGGGGGGGGACTCACCTGAAGCTGCCTGTCGAGCTCCCAGCCGTTGCAGGCGTCCAGACGGGTCTGCAGGCGCTCCATCTGAGCCATCAGCTTATCCATGTCAGCATCGCCCGCTGATGCCATCGCTACACTCACCTGATGGGTATATGTATGTGTGTGTGAGTGTGGGTACAAGCACGTATGGATGGATAAGTATGAGCACACATGGATGATAGTTTAGGCACATCAAAGTCGCTCCATCTGAGCCATCAGCTTGTCCATGTCAGCGTCGCCTGCTGACGCGATCGCCACACTCACCTGATGGATATATGTAAAGATATAAGCACGTGTAAGTATAAGCACGTATGGATATGTATGAGCACACAGTAGCACACATGTGAGGCGCCTCAAAAGTCGCTCCATCTGAGCCATCAGCTTGTCCACGTCAGCAGCGCCCGCTGACGCCATCGCTACACTCACCTGATGAAGAAAAGGCACGTATGGATATAGGCTCAGGCGAATATAAGCATGAATGTGTATGTATGGATTAGCACACATGGGTACAAGCACCCATGGACAAAAGGGCGTATGCTGATTATGCACCCACGGATATATGCACACATTGCGTAAGGGCATCTGACATAAGCACACACGGATAGAGGCACACACGCACATACTGCATAGTGTACAACCCTCCGCTCCGCGCGTTTAGTTCCTTGTCACTTAATTCGTTCCTCAACAAGTCTCCCCGTCTTCCTCACCTCCTCCTCACCTCCTCCTCACCTCCTCCTCATCTCCCCATCTTCCTCACCTCCTCCTCATCTCCCCATCTTCCTCAGCTCCTCCTCATCTCCCCATCTTCCTCACCTCCTCCTCATCTCCTCGTCTCCTCTCCTCTCCTCACCTCATCTCCTCTTCACTTCCTCCTCCCTTCCTCCTCTCACCTCCTCAAACTCCTGCAGCAGGTCCTTGGTCTCCTTAAGAGCAGGCTCGATATTATCCATAACAGTGACCCCATCAGCCAGCAGCGGCTCCTGCTCCAGGTACCCAATCTTGATGCTCGGATCAATGTAATAATCCCCCTCAAACGCCGTGTCTCTCCCCGCCAGAATGCGCATGAGGGAACTCTTGCCTGCTCCGTTCGCTCCCAGGAATCCAATCTTGGCGCCCAGGTACATGCCCAGGCTGATGTTCTTTAGAATCTCCTTTCCATTCGGAGCGACCTGCGGGGGTGCGGGTGGAGGGGAGGAAGTGAGGGCAATAATCCCCCTCAAACGCCGTGTCTCTCCCCGCCAGAATGCGCATGAGGGAACTCTTGCCTGCTCCATTCGCTCCCAAGAAGCCGATCTTGGCCCCCAGGTACATGCCCAGGCTGATGTTCTTTAGAATCTCCTTTCCATTAGGGGTCGCCTGCAGGGGTGGGTGGGGGACGCGAGGGGAGGAGGAGGGGAGGAAGTGAGTGTAATAATCCCCCTCAAACGCCGTGTCTCTCCCAGCCGGAATGCGCATGAGGGAACTCTTGCCCGCCCCGTTGGCCCCCAGGAAGCCGATCTTGGCGCCCAGGTACATGCCCAGGCTGATGTTCTTTAGAATCTCCTTGCCGTTGGGGGCCACCTGAAAGAGTGGGGGGAGGGAGAAAGGCAAGGAGGAGTGGGGCGAGAACGGGTGAAGACGGAAGGATCGAACTGGGCGCGCGAGGGAAGGCGGAGCGGGTGACGATAACGCGCTGGTATCTCGTCCAGACACCTTCCCCGCGCCCGGATCGCTTCTCTAGAACCCTGAATCCCTGTCGCGCAGGGCTCGGCCGCTACTGGAAGACGCAGTATGGTAGTAAGAATAGGCTTGCCTTGCGGAGGCGGTTCACGCTAAGGATAATCTTGCGCGTCTCGTTCTGGTACGCTGTCCCGCGCTCCGCGGACGGAGCCTTGCTGCCCGCCGACTTCAGCTTCCCCCCGCCTCCGCCGCCGCCGCTTCCCCCGGCACCTGCGCCGCCTCCGCCTCCGCCGGCTCTTCCGCCGCCTCCTCCGCCCTTCTTCCCCTTCTTTCCCGCCATAGCGACCACTTTCGCAGTGCGCGCTGCGGGCGCTGCGGGCGCTGCGGAATGCCGCCGTGCCTTGAGGTGAAACGTGGAGCCCTTCCATTGGGGGGGATCAATGCCGCCATTGGAGGCGAAATTCGAGGGAATGCCGCATTTGACTGTCAGTTCGGAACCAACAGCCAGGCATGTTGGCGAATAACTGAGAGCCATGGTGGGAATGTGGGAGTTGAGCTGTGGGGGGAAGGCTCCAAAATCTGTATACAGTTCATTGAAATTTTTATTTGGGCTTCTCAACATCCGTTGTCGTCCAGCCTGGTTAGGATACCTGGCTTTCACCCAGGCGACCCGGGTTCAAATCCCGGCAACGGAGCCTTTTGCTGTGTTTTGGTTTGGTTGGGGGGACCTCTACATGCTCTCTGCTGCAGCTGGTCGGCTCAAATATTCCAGTCAGCTGTCGTCAGAGGAATTTCTTTCGGTTCGGACGATTGTCATCAATCGTGATGGGTCAGCAAAGGCACCGGTTGGCCGACAAACTTCCGTTTTGCCGAAGTGGTCTGCCACAAAACCTGCCCGTGACATTACGTGATTCTGTATGCAATTCGTATTCGGGATGACAGGGAAATTCAGAAGCAGACTGACAATGCTACCCCTACAGTCTCGCTCGAGGGGGTCACAACGTGCCTGCATTTTGGCTCTGAATATTTCCCGCAAATGAGCGACTCAAATGGATGCTGACGGCTCCACAATCAGGCACGGAGCGAGAGCCACGTCGGATATATCCACCCATCAAACCCCCCATCCCGTCGGCCATGCGATGGCATTCCGTCACAAAAAACTTCCACCATCAGCCCACACAGACAGCCCGAAGTCCAGTTTTGATGTGGAGCTGACCGGACCGGACCGGAGGGGTTCGACATTTTCCGGCATTTCATAGCTCGAGGCGCGTCAATCTAAACCATCATCCCCCTTGGGAATTGTGCAGCTGGTGCCAAATCAAACATTTGCCTCGATTTCATCCACAGCTCTATTCCATCCTCAGCTTATCTCACCTTCACGCTGGAACAGCTGTCTGGCCGATCAGAGCTCCAGTGAGCTTTTCTGATCAGTAAGCTCTTTCACACTCAGCTGCTTCTTACTCCAGTAGGTGCGGGGCCTCAGAGACCCTGTTGTAGGCGACATTATTCCGCCCATTTCGCATTTCAAGAACTCTGTTCGTTGACATGTTTGAACCGAAGGATTAGCCTATGCAGCAGCGTGTCTAGTAGATTCTCGCAAAGCGCGTAATTACCTCAGTGTACTTGAGCTCCGTAATCCCACTATACTATCTCAGTATAAAAGCGAGAAGTTTGAGGAGCAGCCATGCCGCTTGTGGATGGCATGACTGCCTTAGACGATGCTCTGGAGGCTCCCGAATGGAGCAGCCTCGGAGCTGTCCGGACGGCGATTCGGAAGCAACTAACACAACGAGGTATCATTTTTCATTTATTTTTGTGGTCCTGATGCTTTAAGGCTGTTTGGCGGAAATGGTGCACTAAGTGGAAACCCAGAAACGTCAGCTTTTATGCCGCGACTTAGCGTATTCTCCTGACACCTACTATTTCGACCTTGCCGGAATCTGTGTTTCTCTGCCAGACGCAGGAGCTAAGGATCCATCGGAGGAAGTCATAGATCACTGGTCGAGGGAGATGATGGGTGTGTTGAACGACATGAACAGTGCTAAAGCTGATGTTATGAGGGGAATGGCACCTGAAGATCGCCGCGCATGGAAGGTACGATTCCTTATCATTCATGTCACTTATCGCACCTGAAATAGGAGCGTGATTTTTGTTTGATTCGACTCAGATTTTGCACCTGAAACAGGCGCGTGGGTTTTCGTTGATTTTCCGCACCATTGTGAATGCATACTGAAGGACAGAAAGTTTAAAGATGCTCGAAAGACGGAAAAGACACCAAAAAAAGAAAAAAGATTAAGTCTCTTTGCTCTGATTAAAAACACAGCATGCCAAAATTAAGGAAACTGGGCTGTGAACCCCTTTCCGCAGATGTGCGAAGAGGGACCGGAGCATCGAGCCATGGTGCGCAAGGGCCCGGAAGGCACGGAGGTGCACACGCTGCTGATGGAGGGAATCGTGAACGGACCCGTGGAAGCAGCCGTCGCCATGACCCGCGACGTAACTTTCTTCAAAGAATGGTACGCCACCCACTCCCCCCCACCTCCCTCCCCCACCCCCCCCCCCCCCTCTCAGTTGACCAGTATTAACAACCTCCACATCAGCAAAATGGTACGCGGCATGATTGGCCGCATGAGTGCCTCTCTACCTTGCAGCTGTCTGTCGGGTTGCTTATCTCCCCCCGGCTCGTGACGTTGCGTCTTGAGAGTGTTCTTTTGTTGCTCATCTGTGGTTTCAGGTGGCCGCAGCAGAACATGCCTGTGTACAAGGTCATTGAGAACCGTTATCTGAAGCGAATTGGCGACGGCTTCGATCTCACATACATGAGGTACTTACAAGATGAGACTACATGAGGTGATTGCTGCAGTAGGTGAGCCTCACATGTGGTAACCACCTCATTACCTTGGACCATCTTAACCAAACTGATATAGCATGGGATCACCACGAAAATGTAATTCATAACCCTCTAGCTCCTAGCCCTGCCCAATGACGATAAAAATTTTCCTTGCTTTTTCTGCTGGTCGAATCGTGTTTCTTGAGCAGGTTCAAGACCCCTTGGCCGTTCCCCGGGAAGGAGTTCGCCTTCATGCTCTTGAGCGTATATGACGCTAACACAGGAATGGTTACCACAGTCCTTCAGACGGTAGGTGCCTGAGTGGGAAGCCCGTGAGGAGATAGACATGCGGAGGGGAAGCTTGCCTTCTCATTCTCGAGTTGTGTCTTCTGTGTCACCAGAGGACAACACTCTTATCGACCCACACAAGCATGGCTTCCCTCGAGAGCCCGTTCCACCTGTACCCTCCTCTGGTGTCGTCCGCAAGGCCATCACCGGTGGCTTCACCGTGAAACATTTGGGAAAGGATTGCTTATGATGTTTCCCCTCCATCCCAAACTCTTCCTTCTCCCCGCCCCCAGCCACCAGAGGACAACACGCTGATCAGCCCAGCCAAGCACGGCTTTCCTCGAGAGGCCGTCCCACCCGTGCCCTCGGGCGTGGTCCGGATGGCCATCAACCGTGGCTTCACCGTGAAGGACTTGGGAGAGAATCGCTCATATATTATATGCCCTGCTGTTCTGTCCTCGTCTTGTCCTTTTTCCCGCCCCCAGCCTCCAGAAGACAACGCTCTCATTGACCCAGCTAAGCACGGCTTCCCCCGAGAGACCGTCCCACCTGTACCCTCGGGCGTGGTCCGCATGGCCATTAACGGTGGCTTCACCGTGAAGGTCTTGGGCGAAAACCGCTGCCACTATCGGGGAATCTTCACCGTCGATCTCAAGATGCCGCCCGCACTGGTCAATTTTATCACCAAGGGGTTCGGCGGGATGCTGTTTTCAGTGTTTAGCAAAGAGATCGAATCGGATCTGGCGGATACGAAGGGCAGCAAGGGGAAGGCGTTCCGGAAGGTTCTGGAGGAGGAGCAGCTGTATGTGAGGATCAGAGAGGCTATGCGTGAGCACCGTGCCTGGAAGGAGAAGCAGCGGGAGAGAGTTGGGGGAGCAGGGGGAGGAGCAGGGAGAGGAGCAGTGGCAGAAGCAGCAGCGGCAGGGGCGGGTGAAACAGGGAGAGGAGGAGGGGATGGGGAGGAGGGCGAGGAAGAGTGGGAGGGAGGAGAGTCGGAGGCGTTTTATTCTCCCGCCTCGTCATTCTCCTCCTCCTTCCATGCGCACTCCCTTCCTCCCCTGTCCCTTGACCACGCCCTTCCCACAGAATCACTCAACCCACATGCCACAGCAGGCATACAGCTTCGTGAGGCGCCTCAAATCTGCTCGCACGCCGCAGCCAAGCAGCGCCGCCCTAGTGCTCCTCCTCGCTTGAGACCCGTTTCCAGGGGGAGTGGCCTAGCAGCAGCAGCAGCAGCAGCAGCAGCAGGAGCAGAAGCAGAAGCAGAAGCAGGAGGAGAAGCTGGGTGGGTTGGCAGGGGCCGGTTTGGATTCCGCAGCAGCAGGCGCAAGGTAGAGGAGAGAGCTCGCAAGCTCACAGAAACCATTCCTCCCTTCTCCTCCTCTCTTCTCACGCCCTCTTCACCTGCTACCTCCCTGGCCTCCTCACTGTCCCAAGCTCGGCTTGAAGACCTGGGCCTGATCCCTGTCATCCCTTTGATCCCTGTGGACTCTGCTTCTACATCTTCTCACGAAGCAGCTAGCTACCGGCCCCACCACAGCGACCTGTGTCTGCAGATGCAGCCAGGTGATTTTGAGAGAATCGTGGCAGGAGGAGGTGCTTCAGAGAGCAAGGGAGTGTTTGGCAGCAGTGAGAAGGGGAAAGGGGATTTAGGAGGCAAGACAGGTGGCGGGCTGTTTGGAAGCGGCTGGAGGTTTGGCAGCAGCAGCAGCAGCAGAAGCAGCAGAAGCAGCAGCAACAGCAGGAGCAGGAGGGATAGCGATGGTGGTGTGGCGAGGAAGAGAGTCCCTGGCAGCCCAGGCCTTGGTCTCTGGTGGAAGGGGAGATCATCCCGCGTTGCTGATTGCAGCAGCTATGACACATGTGCAGCGGCAGGAGCAGCATCAGCAGCAGCGCCACAGTCACAGCCTCCCCAATTGTGGCTGGAGTTTCCAGTTCACAGGACTAACCGCAGGGGCAGCACTGGCAGCACAGGCAGCACCGGCAGCACAGGCAGCTCTGGCAGCGGTGCCATCACTGGTACTGGCAGCAGCACTGGCAGCAGCAGTAGCTCGTGGTCTGCAAGCCCTGTTCAATGGGAGGAGAGAAGGGTGTTCGGAGCAAGGAACAGTTCTCGGCATGCTGGTACTGGTGGGTCAACAGCTGGTGTCTTGAGCCCTGGCTGGGACTCCGGAAGCACTCACAGCAGCCGAAGCAGCAGCAGCAGCAGAGGCAGTAGTAATGTGCGCACTGGACATGCAAGCAGCCCGCTTCACAGTCAGGTTAAAGGAAATGTTGTATTGGCAGCAGGAGGGGATGCTGCGATTGGGGCGCCTGCTAGCAAAGGACTCGGGCGTTACTGTGATATGATGCCGAAGCAGCAGTTGGAGGTGAAGCGAAGGCAGGCAACAGAGAGACGGTTCCTCAATTTTTTGAAAGGAGGACGAGAAATTGACTTCGGTGCTTCATGACGAGTGCCTGCCTAGGTGTGGTCTAAATTGTGATTACAAGAAGTTTCCGTTGTAAAATACAATAATCTGATGTCTGGGGAGAGCCAAGATGACTGGAACCAATAAAACCCAATACGAGTCAAATCTTGCTACAAAAATGGCACAATATCAGCTACTGTACAAGATTATACGCAACCCATGTACAATTTCACACATGCATCACCTCTACAGTGGAGTGCAGACACCAGCGCTAGCCAACAGGCATCAGCTGTACATTAGCTGTACTGTACAGAGAGTGTATTAATAGCTAGTGCTGGGAACAAACTGGTTGCACAATAAGGGAACAAACTGGTTCCGTCACTGTGCCACCCACACCATCCCCTCTCCTCCCTTCACCCCTCGTCACTTGCTCTGCTTTGTGTTGCTGCCCTTGTCCTTGGCACTACCAGGAAGGCTGCCCTTTTTCTGCTACAGAGGGACGATGCAGGGAAGATGATGCAGGGAGTTGGAAACACGAGGCGAGGAGAAACAAAAGCGAGAGACATAATAAAAATCAGAATCCAATACACTTGACCACAAACGCATTTCTGGTACCTACCTTGGCGCACTTAATCTTGGCGGCGAGCTTCCTTCGTTCCACAGCTACATTGTCAACCTGGTAAGACAATCCCAAGGTAGAATGACAAAGTGCAATGCCAGTTGTTTTATCAACTAATTGACCACTTCAACAGCCCATAGACCACCTTAAGGTAACAAACCAGCATATTGAGTCAGGTCAGAAAAAAACCCCAATGGTTCCAAGGCAACACAAACACTAGGGCACATGCTGACCTGGACATGCAGTGCACACGCTGCAATGCTGAAGAGAGGTAGCCAGTTGCCGTCCATTGCCAGAGTGAGACCGCCCCTGTGGGACCAGAAATAGCATTGCAATGAGCGGTCAAGACAGGGCGGTCAGGAGAGGGGGTCAAGAGAGGGGGTCAGGAGAGGGGGTCGATACTGGGACGTTAAGATTGTCAGGTGTCAGATATTCGCATAACATTCGGGTTGCATTCCTGACACTAGCTAACGATCGGCAAGGGTGATGATGGGCAATACACACCTGGAATGGATGATGCACACCTGGCATGGATGATTGACACCTGGCATGGATGACTGACACCTGGCATGGATGACTGACACCTGGCATGGATGTGCATACCTGGCATAAGGTGCGGCATAGACAGCTGCAAAGAGAATGTACTTGACGTCACGGGAGTCGATCCACGCTAGCACCCAGCACTGCCACCATACCATCACATCACATCACATCACATCACACAGATTAAGGCGCATGACAATCGATACAATACACGTTTAGGACAACTACAATTCGTATATTGTCACATGGAGCCTTGGCAGATGCATTTCAGACCTTAATTGGAAAAAGAAGAAGAAAAAAGGAGAACCTCTGTCATGACAAGTACGCGTCATATCACAACAAGAACACATGCCATGCATCTATGGGTCACGGAATTTCCAATCGTGAGAGCAGCCCATCCGTAGCCACCCATCCATAGCCACCCAACCATAGCCACCCATCCATAGCCACCCAACCATAGCCACCCATCCATAACAACCCGTCATCCACTATAATTACCAGCCAATTGAAGAACGGAATAAGGCTGACCACCGTCATCACCCCCGCGCGCAACTCCCCCAGAGACATCACCCCTTCCGCCTCCTCTCCCTCCGCCTGGCCTTTCCCGTCCCCCACCCCTACTCCCGCCGCCAATAGCGCCGCGGCCGCCGCTGCTGCAGCATCGTCGTCGTCGCCTGCGCCGTCGGGTCTTTTCGCCTTTCGCGAAAGGAGCGGGAGCGACGGTAGGACGAGCGGCGCCGCGGAGAGTGCGATGGACGTGGCGATCGCTGCGACGAACGGGCCGTCGTCGACGAGCGACACCTGGCACACCGTGATTGGCCGGCGGGGTTGGTGCGAGATCGCCGGACGGAGGCCCAGGGTGTTTGGATGATGGATGTGACAATAGCGAGAGGGGAGGGTAGCGGTGGAGTGGCTGAGGTGGAAGGAACTGAAACGAGGGTTGTCGGAGACAGTCGACGCAAGGACTTCGGTAGCACTATTAATCAGAAAGGTACTCGAACTAGCCATGGCGGCGAAAGAGGAATTTAAAGCGGTGCTAATTTACTCCGATGGAGCGATATACTACTCTTAGTACCCTTAGTACCCTTAGTACTACTAATTATTCTCCCAAACAGCAGGGATTCTGATGGCAGTCCGTGCGGCGCAGTAAAATGCGCTCGCTAAATGTGTCAGATACGGTAAAATAAGTGAGACGCGCTCTTAGCAAAGTCTCACTGGTAGTCAACACCTGGCTCGTGCCCTTATACGACGGTATGCTTATAGTCAGCAATTGCAAGCATGCAGCATAGAACGCCTCTCGAGAAGACACGTGGCCACTGGCTCCATAGCTCAAGAGGAAGTGCTAGGTGCTACGCTGATTCTTGAGATTTCCACGTGAATATTGGCAGCTGTTGAACCAAACCGCCCTCGGGACGCGACACGAGGTTCTGCATTCCCCGGCGTCTCAAAAGAAATATGGGAAAAAAAAGAGGCGACAAAAGGATGTGGTTCTCTGTCGTAAATTCCAATAAAATAGATAATCCCAAGGATATGAATTCACATGCTACTGCTGGGAAGTCCCATATCCTGAAATCCTTGTGTGAGCCATATGCTTGTGCACCAGAAGCTTGAGCGAGGAAGGGAACAAGCAGAATTTAGAATTCTGCGAAATCCAGAATTCACTGTCTGGTCTGGTGCGTTACGATTTAGAACGGTATTAGGATACAACCGCTGGGTACTATGGGATGATTGCGGAACGGCACCGGATTGGACACGGGCAAGCGACACAGGAGGCAATTTCTCTGGGCTGGACCAGCACACATGGCAGGTATGCAGGGTGCCTATTTTCCTCGATACCCAAAGCCGCGTTAGCAACCAGACAGACCAAAACTACGGTAAGTCAAGGCGCATCAATTTTCCGAAAACAACCAAACTATAGTTTCCAAATTTGCAGAAACACCAAGAAACCTAAAAAGACAATAACGTGCAGGAGCCCATTATTTCATAAAGTCTATTTTGGAGAGAGAATAGGGGATCCAAACCCTGCGTCGTCGCTCAAATTCCGCGTGTGCATGCTACGCCTCGGCACCACCACAAATGCAGCACGTGCTTTTCTTCCTCCTCTTCTTTCTGAAAATTCCCCACGCCGGGAAACTTCCGACTCGCTCACATATCCAGCTGCTGCAAAGCGGGTGCGAATCTGGTCAGAGCTCGCGCTCTTTACAGCAACCTTAGAAGGACGATTCACGGAAGGCCTGGAGGATTGAGGCTTTAGTGCAGTGGTTCGAGCTGTGAGTGGGGGAGCACGGGAAGACATTGACAATGCAGCTGCAGTGACAGCAGCACCAGCAGCCGTTGCAGCAGGAGGAACAGAAGCACGGGCAGCAGCAGCACCAGCAGCAGCAGCAACAGCAGGATCTGCAGCAGCACCACCAGCACCAGAAGCACCAGAAGCAACACCAGCAGCAGCACTAGCAGCACCAGAAGCAACACCAGCAGCAGCACCAGAAGCAACACCAGTAACAGCACCAGCAGCACCAGAAGCAACACCAGTAGCAGCAACACCTGCTGGGACCGTTGTTCCCTGACCATCCCCAGCAGCTTCACCCGCGATTTTCTCAAAAATGCTTCCAACCGGCTTGCCTATTGCACCTGCAGCAACGCGAATGTCAGCAGGAGCGTCAACAGCAGCACTAATCTCAGCAGAGGTATCCCCATGCCATGATGCCCTTCTTGCAATAGCCCGGTGACCACCTTCGATTGGCGATTTAGGCCCAACTCCCCTTGCTGATCTAGGTCCCCCAGGTGTTGCACTGGCAGGGGCAGATGGGGTATCTGGGTGAAGGTTCCAGGACACTCGCTTGCTGAATCCGGGAGAAGAAGCTGCAGAGGCACTACGAGGTGATTTTAGGCTGGAGCGGGGAGCAGAGGGGGATGGAGAGGCGGTGGAGGAGTGAGAGGGAGTGAGAGGAGGGGATAGAGATGAGGGAGTGAGAGGAGGGGATTGAGACGAGGGAGTTAGAGGAGGGGACCGAGACGAAGTAGTGAGAGGAAGGGGACGAGATGAGGAAGTGCGACGGGGGGGATTGAGATGGGGGACTGAGAGGGGGGGATCGAGATGGGGGAGTGGGACGAGGGGATCGGGGCGAGGGAGCAAGTGGCGGGGACCGAGAAGAGGGACTGAGAGGAGGAGGGCGGGAAGATAAAGTGAGACCGGGGGATCGAGATGAGGGGGTGTGAGGAGGGGATCGAGATGAGGGAGTGATAGGAGGGGGGCGAGATGAGGAGAGACGAGGGGATTGAGATGAGGGAGTGAGAGGTGGAGATCTAGATAGGGGAGCGAGAGGAGGGGTTTGAGATGAGGGAGTGTGAGAAGGGGATCGAGATGGGGTAGTGATAGGAGGGGGTTTTCGAGAAGAGGGACTGAGAGGAGGGGTTGGAGATGAGGAAGCGAGACGGGGGGATTGAGAGGAGGGAGTGAGAGGCGGGGATCGAGACGCGGTAGTGATAGGAGGGGGTCGAGGTGAGGGAGTGGGGCGAGGGGATTGAGATGAGGGAGTGAGGGGAGGAGGTCGAGATGGGTTGGTGACAGGAGGGGATAGAGGAGGAAGATTTGGCTTGAGAGTCAGAACAGGACCATTGCGCTGGCTGAGGAGAGAGGACTGAGGAGAGAAAGTGCGTGCTACAGATCTTGCTACATTCACTGCTACATCCCCTGCTACAGTTCCAGCTACAGTTCCCGCTAAAGTATCTGCTACAGTGTCTGCCACGGTTCCTGCTACAGTTCTTGCTGCGTTTACTGCTACATTCTTTGCCGCATTTACTGCAACAACATTCCGGTTGGCAGCAACAGCAGCAGCTGTGGCTGTCGCCGTGACGCCCGTTACAACTTGCAGCTTCACAGATTCTGCGGCCTTTTGCGACGTCTCAAAAGTCGCTGCTGCTGCCGCCGTCACTCCCGTAACGACCTGAGACTTCACAGATCCTGCTGCTGCCGCCGCTGCCGCCGCTGCAACCTTAGCAGCAGAGACAGCACGCCGGCCAGCAGACTCGGGGTTCTGAAGCCACTCACCGTTCTTCTTCATCATAGCAGCAAAGTCCACGCTCTGGCTGTGCTTGTGATTCATCATTCCTCTCCTTGTGACCCCGCCTTTCCCTCCTCCTCCTCTTCCTCCTCCTCCACCTCCCCCTTCCCCTCTTCCAAATCCTCCTCCGCTGTTCTCCCCTGGTCCACGGGGGGAGACCAAACCCGGAAGCCCATAGCTCTCGGGGGGAGCAACCAGCCTCCACACGCCTGAGGCGCTGACATCCCTATCGGGTCTGGTTTGGCGGATTTGATTCGCCGCCCGGCCGGAGCTTGCGGCCTGGGTTGGTATCGAAGCTGACTCAGACGAGGCTGAAGGCGAGGGTCGGTCGGAGCGAGATGATAGAGCAGATGAAGAGAGAAAGGGAGAGGAGGAGGAGGATGGTGGAGAAGATTTTTGAGGCGCATCAAGAGGAGAGGAAGAGGGTGGAGAAGAAGGGGGAGAGGAAGAGAAGGACCAAGAGGGAACGGGTAGATCGTTGGAGGAATGGGACGATAGTACCGGGCTGCGGAAAAGCCTGTTCTGCCGCTCCTGCTGCTGCGATTGTTCCTGCTCCTGCTGCCGCTCCTGCTCCTGCTGTAATTGCTCCTGCTGCTGTTGTTTCTCGGGCAGGTGAGAGCTGCTTCCCTGCTGTTTCTCCGTGCGTTTGAGAACGGGGCGGCGCAGAGTGGGGCAGAGGATGCGCCACGTGCTGTGAGCATGCAGCACCGTCTGCTCCGCCTCCTTTGCTTGCTCCGCCTGCTCCGCTTCCCTCGCTTGCCTTGCTGCCTGCTCCGCCCGCTCCGCCTCCTCTGATTCCCTCGCAGACATCCCCCATTCTTCCTCCAGATTCTCCGCTCCTAGCGCCACGCGTCCGATCATCGAATCTCGACCGTCCATTCGTGAGATGCGTGTCAGGGTTCCTCCTACGATTACGCCACCCCGTGCTTTCTTCTCCTGGCCTTTAGCTCTGGAGTCTTCAAGTCCGGATTGATTTCCTTCCGCCTCTCCTTCCGCTTCTTCCGCAAGCGAGTGAGAAGCGCCGAAGAAGGGATTGGGGGAGCGACCTGCGGGGACGAGGAAGAGCGGGGAGAGCGGGATAGTGGGACGAAGAACAGTGGGGAGGGGAAGGGGGGCGGGCGAGGAGAGGGAGACAGGGGGAAGGCAAGATGTGGGGGAGAAGAGGGAGGGTAGAGGCAAAAATGAGATGGAGAAGGGGAAATATCATGTAAAAGTTGTGAACGTTGTAATTGCTGTAAACATTTTAGCAAGCGCTCTCAATTCCCGCTTGTGTCACTCAACCGCCGAAATTGACACGTCTTAAATTTCCTTCACAAATGCAAGGCCTTTTGTGATGTTTGCGTAAAGTCTCATTGTCATCTAATGGACAAAGTCTCAATTCTCGTTCGAGTCACTTTGTATAGTTTCATTCAAGGTTGTTTCGTTCAAGATAGTGTCGTTCAAGGTTGTTCGTTGTTCGTTCAAGATGGTTTCGTACAGTCCCATCATCTTTGGGTGGATGAGAGCGAAGGGACACGTGGAAAGAAAAATTCACATGCGCTTGTAACGAGCTCGGAGCGAGAAAGGAGGGTAAGGAGGGAGAAAGAAAGGCAGGGGGGAGCAAGGAGAGCAAGGAGGGGAGCTACGATGGAACAGAGGAATGTAGGAGCGATAAAAAAATATATGGGCTGAGAGGGGGAAGAGAAGGGGAGTAGGAAGGGGAGGCGAAAGTGGGAGGGGGTGAGGATGGTTTGGAGATGGTAGAAATAGAAGTAACCAGCTTTGGCATACCTGGTGCCGCAATTTCGCCAAAGGATTCCGATTTTGTCGCCCACTCGCGAACGCGATCCAACAGATCGCCCAGGGAATGTTTCAGTTTCTCGCTGGTTACCAACTCGTCGTCCGCTGCGATGGTTACAATCCTCCACGAAATCGGCATGCTGTTTCGCCCAGATCCCTGCAGTCGCAGAGGAATCGCCAGCAGCGGGAAAACTTCGTACGCGTCGCCAGGGTCGCGCGCTTGCGACCCAATCTCGAGCGCCTCCAGCGGCACGTTGTCGCACGCCGTTAAGAGCGAATCTGCGGCGCGCTCGGCGTTAACCGGCGGCGGCGACGGCTCATCCTTGCGACCGTCCGAACCGCCACTGGCAGAATCACCATTGTTGTTCGCGGCATCCCAGCGGGAGAACATCGACATGGATCGCGACGCGAGCACGCACGTCTGCGGAAGTATGCCCAGATTCCACGGTGACGCCGCTAGGAGCCCCGCAGGCGACGACGCCGACGACGACGCCCATGACGACGCCGACGACGACGACGACGACGATTGCGACGGCGACGGCGACGGCGACGGCGACGACGTCTCCGACTCGAGATCGGTCTGCACTTTAATACGACTGCCGTCTAGGCCCAAAACGATCACCCGCTTCTCCCGCAAAAATAGAGGGTCGTCCCGGCGCCGAAGCTTCTGGCTCCCGCCGCGATCGGCGGCGGAAGGGGACTTGGCGGCCGCGCGGCAGACGAAGGAGAAGGTGCAGGCGGGGAAGGGCGGACCGGGGTGGCGCGGGGCGAAGGAGTTGGCGGAAGGGGGAGGCGGCATGAGGAGGATGTCGTGCCAGATGGAGGACACGTGGCCGGCGTTGATTAGCGGGAGAATGCGCGTCGACGATCCGACGGTCCGAGTCGGCGCCATGATGTTGGTAGTTACTAGAGGCCCTCGGTCCCACGAGGCTCGTGGTATGAGGATGATGCGAAGGGCGTAAGGGGCCCTAATCGGGAAGAGTAAGGCGTCTGGGTTGACACGAACACTAATGAGGCTCCGAGCCCAGCTTTGAAATCTTGAATTCTTCGTTGAGAATGACTTCTTTGGGAAATAGTGGCAGCGTCGTGGTGGCGGAACGACAATTCGTTCCTAGTCGGCCGCAGCGACAACGCCGCGACGAGGACCAAACGGTCCCTCCGACCCGGAACCTGCAGTCGAGAAAACGACGGCGTCGGTCGTCGAACCCGACGTGAGATGATTCTGTCGTTATTCGTCTCCTATCCGGCGCTCGCGCAAAGTCGCGCACACTCATCCCCGCCTGATATTGGGCCATGAAAAACATCAGCCAGTAATAAAAACGGAAACTCTCCAATGCAGTCGACATCGCCAGAAGTGAAGTGTGCTGTAATGCTATGTGTCAGCGACCGCTGTAGGGGACTAAATGTGCCTTCCCATGTGAGACTATGCAGGCTACAGTGTTAGCGATTTGATGTGGTCCTAAATACTGTGCTAGAGGGTTCCTCGCAGAATGCTCGTTTTGTCAGATCAAGTGTAGTCAGCATTTAATGGCTGCGAAAGCGACTCGGGTTTCGCCCGCCCAGTAGATTTTTTAGGTGTGCTTTGTGAGTGAGGTTCGGTTCGGTATACAGTAGTGAGCGTTCTAAGTTGGCCCGGTTGATAAGGAAGCACCTACTGTATTTATCATTTGAAAATAGGTGTGGGCCTCTTGGAAACAGAAGGTTCATTAGCTTGGGGAGTCGAGTTGCCTTCCCAGTGCTGAGGACGCGTCACCTGAACGCCGATCTTGCGATCGATCCTACGTAGGATCGAAAACCGCCTAGAACTTCTGAATGCAATACGCAGGATTCCAGTGCGGTCAAAGATCGGATTTTGCAGGATCGTCGTTCAGGTGACGCGTCCTGAGCCCCTACACATACACACAAGACGAGAACCAAACCAGCTCTGCTGGGCGAACATTTTGCCAAAACCAGCTCGCACTGTTTTATGCAAGAATTCCTGAAAAACGAGTGTTTGGCTGGCTAGCGAGCGAACTAGGAGCAGCCAAGGCCGTTCCCCCCACCCCGACCAAGCTCTCGAAATGATCTTGGCGAGCGAGCCACCAAACCTTCAATCCTGGTCAGGCTCAGGACTGACTGCTTATCTGCGTGTGACAGTACACAGGGTGCCCAACCAGTGCACGCGCGTTTGGTCTTGCCAGGCTTGACAGCCTGCCCAATTGCAAGTAGCACCAGCCAGTTGCATGCTAGATACAAGCCCCTATTTTGATCGCAGCCGTTGAACAAACAGCTTATCACGCTGGCATCCGTCCGTTCGTAAGATATTTTGAAGAAGCTGGTTACATTTCTTCACCTGCCCACTACAGTCCCGTTTTTGCCCGTCGCGAACGTTGGCGAGCTGGCGAAATAAGGCTGCGCACTAGACACCCAAATGACCCAAAAAGTTGTAGGAGTCAAACGGGCATCCTGTGTAAAGCGTCTGTACAGTTTGCCGTGCACACGTATTTTCACCGCGTCAACATGGGTACAGTACTGTACATAGCAATTTTGGATCGCCTGAGGCCGGTGATGATAAGTTACCCTTCAATCAAGACCCAGACCAGCAATAGGTATTCATTCTCGCAAAACCGCTCCTGCATCAAGAATTCCCGCGAAAACCCTTGTGTGAAAATGTTGCTGTGCTAATACTACAGAAATGGATTTTAGTCCACGTGCCCCTCTCCGCTAGAGAGGTGACTAGTCGGAAAAACATAACCTAAAACCTTCTTGATGGTTTGGTCAAGCGAACAGCAATTTTCGAACACCCGCCAAAATTGCCAAGCGTGGCGCCAAAGGGTGCGAAAATTTTACAACTCCTACCTTTGTTCATAGGCACTGTACCCTCTACCTTTTAACACACCCTGTGTGCTGTCAACAGACACCTGAAGTTCTGCGATGTCAACACATGACAATATATTTCATAACCGCTATTTCATGGTGTCTTATTCAACAAGACTCGAAAATCTTTGTAGTTAGTGTGAGAAAATCCATGATATCTGCAGATTCAGGCGGAGTCTTCAAACATATTGAAGGATAAGTCAAATACGGATACTCTGTTAAGATGATATCCTAGTTACTCATTGCATCTAACATTTCAGTTACTTTTCCGTGGTACAAAAATTATATTGTAACAATAAGTGACAGCAGTACCATGCAAAATTGGTAAAACTGTTAGAATCTGAAGTGTGAAAAAGGATCGTTCAGGGTTGATCGCAGGTAGTGTCGCAGCGGAAGTAGTGAACTCAGGTCAGAGTGAATGTAAATGACTGAGATTGATGATTGCATGCATACATAGGGTTTATATAGAAATACAAAGGAATGCGAAACGACCTAGACTAGCCATGTACTCTAAGGGGTACATTCCCTTATTGAAATTTAAACCGTGCGGCGCGGGAATCAGTTTCAAACCTGTTCCCGCTCTTTTCACTTCATATGTTTCTGCCTGCATGATCAGACGGTTGCTGTGTCGCTTCGATTCTTCTGACTCCTCGACTTCGTACTCGATAGAGTAGGCTCTTGCAGCATACAGGAATGCCTTCTCATAAAACTTCATATCGTAACACTCCCCTTCATTCCTGGACGCGAAGGGTGCTGACTCGCTTGACCACTCCGGTGAGGTCGGAGCAGTGCTTGAACTGCTGACGTGGCAGACGCTTGGTGAGGAAGTCGGCTGCCATCTCAGTGGTCGGGCAGTATGCGAGGTCAACTTTGCCCTGGTCGATTTCGTCCTTGACGAAGAAGTACCGTAGTGCGATGTGCTTCGTGCGGTTCACGAACCCAGGCTTGTTCGCGATCTTGATCGCGCTCTGGTTGTCGCAGTGCAGGCGAAAGGTGGGCGAAGTTGGAATTTTCGCCTCCTGTAGCAGCTCCTGCAGGTACAGACCTTCGCGAACTGCTGCTGTCGCGGCGATGTATTCAGCTTCGGCCGATGACAGGGCAACCAGTTCCTGCTTTTGCGAGCTCCAGGAGATGGGGCCAGTTGGCTCCAGGCGGAAGACGAAGCCGGTTCGGGACCGTCGATTTGCTGGGTCAGCGGCATGATAAGCGTCTACGTAGCCGTTGAGGTTGAAGGATGTTGTTGACAGCGTGGAGTAGGAGATCCCGATGTCAGGCGTGGAGATGAAGTACTGCAGGGCGCGCTCCAGGTCCAGCTGGTTCTCGGCTACTGGCTTGCGGGAGTACTGTGCCAGTTGGCTGGCGATGTACGAAAGGTCGGGTCGGCATGTGACAGATGCGAACAGCAGGCAGCCCAGTTGCTGCTGGTACAGTTGGAGTCCCGCGGGGGACAGAGGCTTGTTGTCCGGTTTGTAGTTGGTGCTGGGGTTGCGGTAGGGAGTTGAGAGTGGTGCGCGTGAGATGTTGAATCGTTCACCCAGCTGCTCTGCGTACTTCGAGGCTGACAGATGAATTGCTTCTGGCGCGTAGGTGATATTCAGACCCAGAAACAAAGTGACTTTGTGGTTGATGGTGATGTCCACGCGCTTCGCCAGGTTTTTTTCAAACTGGTTAAGAAGCGTGTTGCAGGTGCCAGTGTAGAGCAGGTCGTCGACGTAGACGGTGAGGAGGATGTAGTCGCCGTTGAAGTGAAGGCGGTACATTCCCGGGTCGTGCGGCAGCTGCCTGAAGCCGATTTCCAGTAGAATTTTGTGCAGGTGCTGCTGCCAGAGACGAGGCGCCTGCTTGATCCCATAGAGGGATTTCTTCAGCTGGCAGACCCTGGGGTCTCCTTCTCCGTAGGTGTGTGGCTGCTCCACGAAGATGGTTGCGTCCACTAACGCATATAGGAATGCGTTCTTCACGTCGATCTGTCGCAGTGGCAGATGCTTAGCGGCCGCTATGGAGAGTAGAATTCCGACGGAGGTGTGACGGCTGACGGGAGCGAACGTCTGATCGAAATCGATCCCGTGACGCTGGTCGTAACCAAGTACGACCCATCGTGCCTTGAAGCGCTCGATGATTCCGTCAGCGTTGGTCTTGAGACGAAAAACCCATTTTCCGCTTAGCACCCTCCTCCCCTTCACTGCAGCACGATCAACGAGAACCCAGGTATCACGCGACTCCAGTGCTTTTAGTTCAGCGTCCATAGCTGCACGCCACTCCTTGGCGTAAGGGCCGGTGAGGGCATGGCGTGAGTTCTTCGGTTCGACGGAGCAAGCCATGGTGGAGACGGAGGTGTGGAGGCCGAGAAGTTGCGGGCCGGACATGTTCGTCGTTTCCGTGGTGTCGGTGATGGGGACTTCCACCACGTCATCATCGTCGCTCTCGTGGCCAGGTGAGGATGTGCTTGGTTCGGCGTCGCGGCGGGATGGTCCGGGCACAGGGGCGTCATCGTTGTCGTCGTCGTCATCGTCCGTGCGAGGGCGAGGCGGGATGCCGGGATGATCGTCGGTGTCGTCGCGATCGAATGCTGCCGCTGCTGCTTCATCCTCAGGAGACGTAAAGCTGCGACCGCTGTTGACATAGCCGCGAGCTTGGTTGCGTGTTTCGTCCTCAATCCACTGCTGCAAGGTGAGTCGCTCATAAAAGAGAACATCACGCGCGGGAACAATCTCCTTGCTGTCGATGTCGAGAATAAGCCAGCCTTTGTGCTCATTGCTGAGTCCCAGATGAACCCCCTAGCGGGCACGCTGAGTGAATTTGCCAATGTTTGCGGAAGTTGGCCGGTACTGCACCATGCACCCCCAAACCCTCAGCATGGAGGGGTCTCCCCTTGAGCCGGTCCATTTCATGTGTGGGGAAAGGTTATCCCTGTTGGCCGTGGTGGAGAGGAGGTTGTACAGCCGCACCGCGTGGTTAATGGCGTAGGGCCAGAACTTCTTGGGCAGGCAGGATTGGTTCATGAGGGCGCGCACTTTTGTCATGAGAGTGCGATTG